ACTACAGAAAATCATTGTTGTTAGTAATAAATATCATTATTAATGAACAATAAGTGGATGAGGGTTTTGTGATATCCAGAATAATCAAGGTTGAGGCAGGGGTTATCAGCTTTAGTGGAAGGCTGAGGCTGAGGCTGATAACCCTTACCAAGGCCTTGATTTTTCTGGATATCACAAAAACTAAATCTTATAATTGTTTTGTTATACATTGAGCAAAAAAAAATGAACATGACAGTAAGAAGAACAGGTAATTAATTTCCTAATGTGTAAAAATATACAAATCAGTTAGCAACACAATGCGCATGACCTCAACATGATTACCCTTAGAAATCATGTATCCTGGTCATACATGACATGATTACCCATGACCTTAAGTGCCCTTGGTGTGATTATTATATAATCTGCAGCTAGATGACGTCCTAGGCACTGATTTTGAAAATTCACTGTCGATTTGTGGCCAATCAGAAAAGAGATAGTGAGTTGAATGTAATATATAGATTTAGCCAAGCCTAAGAGTGGAGCTTGCACAACGCCTTGCCCTGGCCAGGACTAGAACCCGGGTCGTCTGTCTTGGAGCCCAGTGCACTGACCACTGGACTACTGGACAAAGCCGTGGCATTGGCATGCCACGGTACAGTTGACCAAGCATGTTAAAAGTAGCACCTTGTATGGTCATACGGTTGTAGAGTCGTAAGGTCATACGGTCATACAATTGTACATCCAAATTTTTTCAGCTTGAATGGGTTACTACTATTTTGTATGATTATGAGGATATGCTCTGCGAGCTCCGCTATAATAATGATCATTATCTGGAGCATAACTCTCCTTTAACCCTTCAACTCCTATAAGTGATTAACATGTAACCACTCCCTATAATATCTGTGAATTATCTGGCAAACAGGTAATGAGAATACTCAAACGTATCAGGTAGAAATTGATATCTTGATCCAACACAAATTTCTCCTTACTAATTTGCAAAGAAATTTGTAGCAGCTAGAGGTGAGAACTAACAATCAGATCTTGGGGGTTAGGGGTTATTGGTTTTGGTTTGAAAGATTTTATTCTGTGACTGTTGATTCTGGGTTTTTTTTTTGTTTTTGTTGCAGTCAGCAAAAGTGTTTAATTACGCCAAGTGGGAAGCTACAACTAACTTAATATTTGTGTTATTTGCTGTGATATTCAATGTTACAAGGCTGGTTTATTATCCATTCTGGTAAGTTTGCTGTCCCCTTACAATTGTAATGGTGGAGAGGTGATAGGAAAAGACAAACTTATCAAGTAAAGGGTGTTTATTATTAGACTAAAAAATAGGCAAAGGTAATGTATTGCTGGAAAAGGGAGAATTGTTCAGGAGTTGAAGGATTCCGACATTGAGAGACCACATTAACCCACAATGATGGACTGTGCATTTGACTAAATTAATTCCTGAATGATTTTCATGACTCACTGATTGATTGACAAACCATCTGACTGACTAAACAAACTGGGGACTTGCCAAATGACTGACAGACAGCGTAGGTATTTGATTTAAAAATTGACCCCAACATTTTACAACACAAATGTATTTCTTTACTCAAACAGGGTTTTGCATGTTGTATACCACTGTCAAGAGTATGTGGGTCCTTTTAAAGCATGGTCATGGTTCTTTGGTTTGTTGTCATGTCTGCAGGTACTGCTAAATCCATTGTTTACATGCCCCAAGTGAGAAGTTTGACAGCTAAACTTGTGACCTGGCCCAGGGTTTGAGCAATGCGAACTCCAATTTGTGCTTTTAAAATTAATTGAACCATGCCATGTATGAGTTTTGCCAAATGGTGAAGTAAGCAAAGAAAGTTACTTGTTTAGTTCAACAATCTGCTTGCCCCAGATAACCAAAAGGTTGGCAGAATGGTTTCAGCTCTTTTAAGCCAGCAGGATAATTTAGAATATTATGTATTCTGTATAAATTTTGAGAAAATTCTGTGTGAAAATGAGCATGAGTTACCTACTTAAACCTTCCATGAGATCTCAATATGTGATACATGCGACAACCCTTCAAATTGTTGTCACTCTAAAAGTTCTTTTGTCTTTTTATTTTGATCACTATGTTCAGGTTCTACATGTTATTTGGTCATATAAAGTTGCTGAGGTGGCCATGCAGTTTTTGATTAAGGGAACGGTGAGTAATAAACCTTTTTGTGCCAAGTCAGGGTGGAGGGGGGTGGGGGTTGATGTCAATGAAGATCATTACTTCCAAGGGAATTGAGGATGGGCCAAACCAAATCAGGCCAAAGGGAGAGAGGGATAGGCCCAAAAATATTCTAGTTGCCTCTGGTGAGGCCACTTGAAGGAGAATACCATTCAAATTTTTGTGGTTGTGGTTCTTGATCGTGGATGCCCTATTAGTTTTCTTTTTGTTATTGATTCAAATTTGTAGGCGTAAGAAATAAGGATGTGGCATAACAATGTATGTTTGCCTTATAGAAGGCCTCTTGCAGTGTACAAGTCAGTAAAGTTTTCCTTTCTTTCCTTATTCTTGCTTTCTTAATTTTGTTAGGTGGAAAAAGACACACGTAGTGATGATGAACTGTCAGGTCCAGAGGATGAGAAGCCTGACGCAAACCATACAGATGGCAATATGGTGGACAACAAAAAGAAGCATTGACCAAAAAAATTTTGAAACCAGAGCTAAATTGTGGGAGTTCCAGTAGTCTTATGTTCTCCTTTTTAAAGTGCTAATGTTTAACGACAATTGCAAAATTTGTTGCCAAAGAACGAGAGCCATTTCCAACAAGTCATTCTGATTCAGTAATTTACATGTACCTTGAGTGAGTTGAACAGTTTCTTTCTTTTAAATGTGTCTTTTTACAATTTTCAATTTTACAAATTTTCTGAAGTGTTTTTGTTTAGGAGGACAATTTATGGCCTAATTTTCATGTTCAAATGTTGAATGTTGTCAAGTAGTTTTACTATCTTCCATCTGAGTTCCCTATTTATCAGAGGCTACTGCTTCCTATCCACTGTTTGATGATTTTTGTATTAGTGAATAGATTATTCTCAGACTTAGCTACTATTCACTTACTGTGCCGATGTAACTTTATTGTTTAGTATTTCACTATTTGAGAATTTGACTTAAGTTTGAATTTTTTCCATATGTTTCAAAGCTATTTAATAAACACTTGTGAATGACAATAAGACACAGCACTTGTGGTCTCCTAGCATTCTATAATAACACAAAAGTTGACCTCTTTTTTAGTTGGTTAAGGTTCAAGCACACCATGGAAAATCCAGAAAAGAGGAGAATACTGAGTGTTTGTGGTAGAGAGTTAGAAAATGATTTTTCTGAGAAAAATAAAAAAGAAGAATCACCTTGAATTGATGACTGTGTTTGGACTATGTTGAAACCAGTCTATCAATGGTAGGTCGCATAATCAGTTAAACAGTTTCAATTGCTAAAAGGTAATTTGCCCCTTCACCTGTGTGAAAGATCAAGAAGGAAATTCACTATTCAACATCATTACATTATCAAGCACACAGGTAGTGAGAGGAAAGAAAGTAAACAAAAAGGCAGTATTATTTATTTAACACTGAGATTCAACATTATACAAAATGTCAGGCAGACAATGCAAAGGATTTGTATTTGGATGTTGGGTGTGAAAAGTTTTAAAAATTGGGAGAGAAAAGGGAGTGGGTTTGAATTGAACCTCGTCCCAAGGGTTTAACTAAGTACAAATGACATAAACATTAACAAAATTTTTCTTTTTATCATATGAAATAGACAGATTAAATGTTGCCTTGGGTCCGTACAGTAATGAAAAACATACAACATCAAAATGTGGCCAGAACATCAGTGACACACTCAGCTGCTCCTCGAGTGCCACTTTTTTGTTCTTAATTACCACAGTTTGATGTGTTTTCCCTCTATTCATTAAATGAAATTTATGATAGCCAAAAAGGGGTTAACGATACTGAGATCAAGAAGTGAATGACTGGGCTCCTCAGGTGGGTTTATGGCTAATGTGGAAAGAAGGCGATTGAAAATTATCAAGTACAAGAGGGAACAAAAGGAGCCACCAAATCAGAAGTACAGTTGGACCTGTATTAAGTGGTCACCCACCTGGAATGGTGGGGTGATGGCTTAACCCTTATTATCACCCTTATCATATTCTCCATACTGTTCCCTAAACATTTCCTAAGATTCTGACATTAAGAATTTGTCTAACAATCAAGATCTTCTTAAGTGGGTGATCAGCTCCTTTTTTCTCCTGACCTTAACATTTAATTCAGGGTGATATGGTAAGGAGAGATCAGATGCCAGTCACTCTTAAGAGTTAAAGGGTTGATACAGGTTGACCCTTGAAGACAGGTTCCACAGAAGTAGGTATCATGAGAAAAGAAAAAGGGTGTCATTTACTCCCCTAAATGTACAAAAACTTCTCAAAAATACTCGTAACATTGATTTTGGGTGATAAACACAGATTTAGTTTTACTTGAAATATTTTCCTTAGTTCTATTTGAGTAGATCTGTGACGTTTCAATACAGGAAAAGGGAAATACAAACAGTGAAGGGTCACCATGGCTGCTAAATAGAGGTGACCACTTAACAGAGGTGAAAAATTATAATGACTTAACCCTTTACACCCTAACATCAGTATGCATATTCTCCATACTGTCCTCCAAACATTTCCAAAGAGGCTGATAAGGAGAATTTGTTGAACAGTCAAGAGCTGCTTTAGTAGGTGATCATCTCATCTATTTTCGTGACTTTCATGTTTGATTCAGAGGTGGTATAGTGAGGAGAAATTAGATGCTAATCACTCTTAAGGACTAAAGGCTGAAGGGGAAAAAATTGGGGACTGAAAACTGACTGCTTATTAAGTGTAACCTCTTAATACAGTGCTGCTTAAAAAAATCATTACAGGTTTGACTGTACATTGCATTGATTAAGGCAGAAAGGCCATGCATTATGATAAAGAATGAATACTTTTTATTCTCCAAGTAAATTTTTATATGCCAAAAAAAAATTATATATTGTAGCTTGCCTCTAATACATTTTCTTATAATAAATGTTAGTCCAGTTCATGTGCAAGTCTTATATAAATATCAAGCTTGCATATATTGTACATCTTTTCATGTTCTGACGCTTTCAAAAAATGTTATCAGTAATGTAATATTATTTAACTGAGGAGACCTATGTATTTTGAAAAACTGTGTTCATCTGATTGATAAACTGTATTAGTATATACTAAAACAGTGGATAGCATTTAAGGCTGCTCTAACTTCAAATATCCTTTGCAATTTACCTCCAAGCAACTCACACTGGACCTGCACCTTTATATATTGTTATCGTTGCCTAGATAAATGAGTGAAAATCATCTCTTTGTGCTATAGTATCTCACTGTTTTAGTATATACTATAAAACAATTATATATATTCACCTCATTGTCGGTTGCTAGCGGTAGATATTTACCTCACCACTTTGTGGCCTGGTAAATATCCACCACGAGCCACCTCCACTTAAGTGAAGTAGTTGTTGATTATCACATATTCTAACATAATATTCCTCAGTTGTGTACATATTACTTATCTATGAAACAAAAATAATATGCTTTACAAAATTTTTTTATTATAAAAATTACTCCAATGATTCAGATGCTGAAACCTGCAGCAAAGTAAGATGGCTGTATGTTACATGAGCCAAAAACAAAGTGGCTTTCCATCCAATACCTGTACTAGAGCTGAATATCAACATTTCAAATGAGTGCCTGAAGTGATACCAAATCCTATGATCTACCTCCTGCACAAGATGCCAAACACATCCTGTATCCTCCCTCCACTAACTTTGTATGTTGTTGACTATGAAGAAAAATGAACTCATAAAGGTTGGGGGGGGAAAGGAGAGGGCAAGAAAGGCCCCTGGGGAGTTATGCTCCTGTAATACAATATTGAACAATTTCTAGTACAAATTAGTGCAAGGCATTCTTCATGGCAATAGAGGAATAACTCAAACCTAATGTGCCTGCAACTATCCCAAATAACACTATAAGCATCTCACAAACTTTCTTATACCAAGTCAACTTGTTCCATTTAAGCTGCAAATGGAATAGGCAAGGGAAAATCATGGTGATACAAGCTCCAAACAAGCTTCCAAATATACTCATCAGCAGCCCAAAATGAGGTACAGCTACAGCAATACCAAGTGTTGAGAGGACCAGGAAAGTGCGGGTGAAGAGAACCCACAAATAATTGTAACGCTTGTGATTGTAGCAGAGGGGAAACTTTGGCAAAAGAATTATATCTAATGTTCCACTTACAACAAACATATTAAGAGGGTATGAAAAGTAAATATTTATGATAACCAACACTGTTGCTATTTTGCTAAGAATTGAGCCATATGACAAACTGAGATTTATGATCACAATTGACTTGGTGTTGCTACCAAATGTGAGGCAGCAGAAAAGCCCAACTAAAAATTTCACTGCCGTGACGGAGATAAATGCCCGATGCGTGACACTTTTGTATTTCATGGGTTTCTGCATGGAGCCCTCTATTCCAGGAAATACTGTATGGCCACAGTATGAAAACATAATAATTCCTAAACTAACTGGAAAAGTGTTAATGTTAAATGAAGGAATTTTGTCTAATGTCCAAGAGTTCGAATCCCCCAGAGTAAAACCTAACAGAATAAAGGCAATAATAAACACTGCTACTACAGCTAGCATACTTAGCCAGGCAAGAATGGACAGTCTTTTGATGAAAACTGTGGGTAACATGGCCAGTGCACAGATCAAGCACCATTCCTTTAAGTTTAACATGACCAGTTCCTTGAACAGTTCCATGAAGCTACTACCGAGAACCATCACCATCAGAACACAGCTGCAGTATGACAAGCTCACGGTTACGAAATCAACTATCCACCCACCCACTGGTCCCCAAACGTGCGCTGCAATCTCGGCATAACTCGCTCGGACTCGTTTGCGAAGCCGGCTTTTCGGTGAGATTTCGTAAAGGCAGCCAACAAGAAGAACTGAAGTGATGTCGGTCAGAAATCCAATGAATAAAATTAGGAACAGAGCTGCGAATCCTCCCAGGAAGATCGCATAGGGCATAGCTAGAACACTAGTGCTAACAAAGATCATGTTAATCATGTTCCATAGCGCAAGCATGGTCGTTGCTTGGCCATCTTCTGACAACTTCTCCAACAAGGTTGTTGATTTCGATTTCGAGTCTTGGCTACTTCTGTCGTCAATCGTGAGGGCCACAGATCGTTGATTTAGAGACCGCGAGATTGATACTATGCTAGAATACAACGAAAACTGGAACGAAGGGATGAATAAGGATGCCTGACTCGTTGTGAAAGTTGTTGTGAAACTTTTGCTGTTGTGTGTGAAGAAACTTGAGTCACTCTTTTCTAGAGTTTCGTGCGATCGAATGAGTGGAGTGTTTTCATTCGGCTCGAACTCATCCTCGGCTTCTTCCAATAGATCTTGTTCTTCTTCGATCTGTTCGTTTGTCAAAGGCATGTCCTCGAGGATTGTTACTAACTCTGGTTCTTTTATCACAGTAGTCGCCGATGGAGCTGTGCTAGTCACCGAAATCGTGTTCATTTCCGTACTCTCCTCGTCCATTCTTTGATTTGAGGACTGTTCTTCTCAGACTTTTATCTCCTTACAAGAGCAACAAGTACTCCGTTTGGCACAACGGTTGTTTGATTCTGTATAGAGATACGACGATGAACGCGCGGAAATACGGAGACCATCGGTCCGGTTTGTCGCACGTTCACCAAGTCAGACTGGTTTTCCAAGTTTTCGTTACTAGTTTCGCGACTGTATCTCGCGTGTAGTCCCCTAACAACCAGGCTTAAAACGTGAACCATTTTATGCACTGAAAGTGATTATGCTTATTTCTTAAGACATATTGGATCGAAAACCAAAACAACGTCGGTTTGTGAAAAACTCAGTTCACGTATTACATGTCGTAAATCGCTGCATGCGGTCTACGTCACGCAAATATTGATACCATGTTACAACAATTGACCACGTGTTCAGCACAGAGAAAACCCCGCAAATTCAGCGCAAGAGTCCGGCATCCTCTAAAAAATTACACTTCAAAAGTTCCTCTAATAACTTTTTTGTATTCGAAATTGACCGATAAAAGACCGAAATAACAATAGAAAACAGGAACACCGAGTTCTGTCCCGTCGGCATACTTAGCATAGCAAGAAATACAACAATAGGTACTGATAACTAAGAAATGAAAATAAATTAAACTGTTTGAACTGACGATGATAAACAAATAAAGATAAAATCCTAGCCGGTGAGCAGTAAGATTACAAAATCGCAGTAAAAAAGCCTGAAATAAATAAAGAATCCATTTTAATTCGCCTTTGTCTGATCATGTAGCTCTATGTAGCACGTCCAACTAGTTTCTGTGAGACATGAGTTCGAATCCTGTCAAAGCCTGTGTTTTTTTTTCCAGGGTTGTTCCGTTGCAGCTCGGTTGCGAGTTGTAATCCTTTACTTATGAAATGCATGTACCGTATTTAGGACTTGTAGTTCGAGAGGCATTTAGCGCAAATCTAGGTTAGTTTGAATTTCGTTTGTATTACAGTCCTGAAGGATTTGAGTGAAAATATAGGAATCTAAACTGTAAGAATAGATCTCTCAGCAAAGCGATAAAATCGAGTACAAAAAAATATATACAGTAACGAAGGTTTTCTGAACAAAATGGCCCTGTCGTTTCAGCCCGAGCACAAGAATCATTATTTTAATACTTCTACTATTCACAAAGTTTTTTTTTCCAAATTCGCGTGACCATCTGTGAAGAATGCGCAAAAAAAGAAAAGAAACTTAGTCACAGTTACACCATAGGCATGGTTTCCACAGTCACAGGATTTCGAAATTCTCTACTTTTCCCTGACAAACACAACATTTACCAGACCAACTGAATTTACATTGTCACAAACGAATCCATGTAGTAGTCACCAACCTCCACCCACAGCTATCCATAAATTTCTGCTACAGTGTATATGAATTAATAGCTCATTTAGGTAACATGAAAAAATGATAGATTTTTTGGAAACACAATATTAGTTTTAGTTTGTCATCCAATTTCGTTTAGCAATATTCTACTGATCCACACCTTTCTCATCCATGAAATATACCAAAGAATTTGTGAAAAGGATGAGAAAATGATGAAAACAGAATAAAAAGAAAGTGTATGATTTCATTCACAAACCAACAGGAGTTTGTCAATTGTTCTAAACAGTAGCTGCATCACTGCATAGAAAAGTGGAACCATCTCTCATCATGAAGTGGGCCAAGACAAGAAGAAATCATTCATATTCCCTGGAAATTTTGCTTTTCCCTGACTTATTCAAAAGATGTGAAGTTTTCCTGACTTAAAGTTAAATTCCCTGACTAATCCTTGACCTTGAAGAATTTTAATTTTTTCACCTTTTTTCTGACCTGTGGCAACCATGTTAGGTTTTATGGTAACTCACATACCACAGGTTTAACTTAGAGATGACAGGAAGCACATCACTGAGGCAGTAGCTAGAAGTGCAAGTGTTCATGACAACAATTTTTCTTGATTCAACTAATAAACACTGTTGTCCAATAACATATGTTCTAAGAAAGGGAGAGTTCAGATAGAGGACTCTTTAATCCTATACTCTTCCCACAAGAGTAGATTCTGAGGTCATATGAGTAGAATAGAATGCTGAAACAATATTCTAATTGATAAAAAAAAACTTTAATAGTTCTCAATTTTGAACAACTTGATTATAAATCATTATTCAAATCAGTACAAAAATATCCAATACTGAACTGATATTGGACCAATATTGTATAATCAGAATAAGAACTACCCTCTGAATTTTACATATATCATGGCACCTAGAAGCTTAATGTTTTGGTAACAATTCAAGTCACCATTCACCATGTCTTCTAGAGTCACTTCACACTCCAGCCAAGAGTTCTAGGCCCCCAAGAGGCAAAACACCCCTTAACTCATTGCGCATTGATTAAAAATAAAAAGAAACTCACATCACCTCTAAATCCTAACATCAACCTTGATTACCTCAATGCACCTGAAGTCAATGGGTGTTGAACAAAGCTTTAAAAAAACACATCTACACAACTTATTAAAATTGATCTTCATTTAAAACATTACCTGTCCAGTAATCTCATTTCAGGTTCATTAAAACAAAAACAAAAAAATCCATCAGATCCCTTAATAAAGATTTGAGAAAATAAGAAACTCACCCCTAATAGCTCCTTCAGCCACAGAGTCTGACAAAAGTCAATGAATTAAAACAAAGAATGTAACAGTATAAACTGTAATTTAATGTAAAGTATATTTTGTCCCATTCTTTTTTTTTTTTTTTTCACTCTCATTACAATTATTGGCTTTTTTCACTCTTGCCTAACTGGTTCTCCATATTAGCTAAACACTCTACTATCTGTTACATTTAATTTATTAACTCATACATGACAAGTTTACAGAATAAAACAAACAGTAGCCATCAAATTTATTTGCTTATCATAAAATAAATTTCCTGATGATATAATTTCCTGACATCTTTTAATTAAATAGTTTGTGATAATTGTAGAGGCTATGGCAAAATATTTCCCAAAGATGATCATAATTTTTTTGAAAGTACCTAGCCTCTGAACTGATACAATTAGAAATGAATTTTAGATCTCTTAACCCTTAAACTCCTATGAGTTGCCAAGTAAGAATTCCTCCTTCCATAACAAACCAATATCAAGCAGACAAGTGAAGAGAATAAAGAAAAATATCAATTAGGAATTCTTGGTTGATCCTGCCAATGGCAATTTATCTGAGCTAACTTAATAATTGTATGGTAGGGGAAAAAAAGTAAGGAGAATTACTAATACGATCTTTAGAATGAAAGGTTAAGACTGCTCCTGTACTCTTCATTTAGTTAAATTAAACTATTAATTATTTTCACTGAAATGTCCTAAATGAGTCCACAAGTGCTTTACCTGAATAAACAAAACCTAAACCCCCTGCTAAAACTCCAAACACAATAAGAAGAATTTCCGCCATAATGTGATACCAGCGCAGGGAATTCCACCGTAACTTAAGATGAGCTATACACGGAAATCCAAAAGATAGGCATGTGCCAGTGAAACTGCCCACAAAACCCATCAACAGGCCAAAATGGGGCACAACCAAGGCAATGAAAAGGGCAAATGTTACAAGCAAGGTCCTTGTTAGTACTAACCAGAACCAATGATACTTTGTACCTTTCTTTAAATGAGGAAAGTATGGCCCAACAGTACTGTCAAATGTTTCCACCACTACAAACAGTGGTAGTGGGAATGAAAAGAATACATTTGTTGCCACAAAAGCTGTTGCTGCTGTGTTAAAACCTACATTGCCTGCCAAGTTTATGGTAAATACTTGTTCTGTAGCCAAGCCAAATGTTAGGACAGCGAATACACCAAACAAAGCTTTAACAGCAGCTGAGATGAAGAAGGAAACATGCATCATTTTGTTGAATTTCTTTGGTTCCCTCATACTGCCCTCTATTCCAGGGAAAACTGCATGAGCACAGTAACTGAATGTCACGATACCAAACCCAACAGGAAATGTATTTATATCAAAGGATGGGATGTTGTCCACAGTCCACTGATCATATCGTACAACACAGTAGGCTACCATAACAGCCAGCGCAGACATCAGGGAGAACACTGCCAGCATGCTCATCCAGGCAATAAGCGACAATCTTGTGATGAAGACACTTGGCAGGACAGCTATAGAACAGAGGACGGCCCATTCATTTAGAGTGAGAGGTAAAAACTTGTTTGTAATCTGATAAAACATGGTCGTTAAGAGCACTAAGTAAAGGATGGCAGCCGCATACAGTTCTATTGTCTGGACAACACTAACCACCCTCCCTCCCACACCAGGCCACACTGCTTCACCTACATCAGGGTAAGAACTACGAATCCTCTTCCTCAGCTTGCTACGGGGAGAGACTTCGTATAAGCTATCGACCAGAAGAATTCCAGTCACATCGCAGAACACGGCTACAATGAAGATACAAATAACTGCTGCAATTCCTCCCTCACGCACGGCATAGGGAACTCCAAGAATTCCCATTCCTTGAATCAGATTAGTCACATTCCAGCCGGCAAGAACAGCAGAAGCTTGCCTATCGCGACATTCCTTTTCTACCAACGATACTGTGAAATGAGACATGGTAAACGAGCGAAATCGTTTAAAATTTGTACTCCACGCGGATGGGGATTCCTGTTCTTCAGGGTCCACGGTGCGCACCAAAGGTGTTCGTTCATTCTTCTGTGATTCCTTGTTCCTGCTCACCAGTTCGTAGCTTGGATCTTTCTCGGTCTCGTTTTCAGTGTTTCTCAGGGTCAAAGAGTTCGATAAAGCGAGCTGTACATCATGCTCACCGAATTCGGGTTCGTCCGCCATTCAAGAAGCCGGGAAATACCGTTGATCCGCCTTAAGTACAAAAGATCGCGCTAAGCATTTTTACACGTGGGACAGTTCATTTCAATGGGGCACTGGTATAGAAATGTACGATTCGGCAAAATTAAACCACAAGGATGAATGAAGTCAAGGTAAACAACTTTGATTGCAGCTGGATCAGTATTGTGCTTAGTCGTGACGTTTTTGTCGCGTTGTAAACCTAGAATCTCTCTTTCATTGGTCGAATGGATTTAGTACCGCCTCCAATTTCGGTGTTCTGTCGAACAACAACAAACTAAATGGCAACACGTATCATCTCTGCGAGAGTTACTATTCTGTACCGATGATCGTTTTTATATTTTCAAAGTAGAATAATAATAGCGATGAAATAGCTTTCTTGCGGTTATCTCATCGGTGAAATCGACTCTTGGCACAGTCGTCGGGGCATGTCACGCTCCTGTTACATCCGGTCGATATTCTCCTTCATGATTGGTCAGTCGAACGACCATAGTTTTGTTACGTAAAAGGCTGAAATGAACAACAAACACGCGTGGTAAGAGAGGTAGGAATCTTTTCTGGGACAAGTGATAAGGCCATCGCGCGAACATTGAAAGCTGTCCAAGCTTGCATCAAATTTGCAGCAGATAGTGCAAAAGGAACATTTAGAGTATCAGAAGAAAAGAGTAAGATGGATGGTGGTTCTGCTGGTTCTAAACCGAACAACGACGGCGAAACGATCCCACTGAACAAACCATCCTTGCAATCAGGTGCAGAAGAAACACCTCTTATTTTCGCTCACACCGACGATCATGGCGTGAGTCTGAGGAAGTCGGGTTTTGCAGAGAGCATCAGAAAACTACGCGGAGCTACCATGACAGTTTCGATTTTGGAGAAGCCTTCGGATGATCGGAACGCGTCTGCTTGGCTTGCCGGCTGGAATGTTACCAATCTAATTCAGGGAACCGGCATCCTCGGCGTTCCATATGCCGTCCTGATGGGAGGATGGGCTGCTGTAGCTACAATCGTTGCAGTAGCTGCTGTTTGCTGCTACACCGGCAAGCTTTTGGTCGACTGCCTGTACGAAGATTCGAAGCGAACCGGTCAGCGAAAGCGGGTTCGAATTAACTACCCAGAGGTTGGAGAAGCCGCTTGGCCAGGCTGGGGGAACAGAATTGTCAGCGTTGTGCAAGTTTGCGAGATGTATGGCGGTGTAATCATGTACATTGTGCTTCTTGCTACGGTATTCAGCGACATTTTGAACGAGCTGACACCCCTGGACATCTATCAGTGGGCAGTCGTATGCGCGTATGTTGCGTTACCAGGGATCTTCATAACGCGCGTTTCTGTAATCGCTTGGATCAGTATGATCTCCGTGTTTGCGCTGCTTTCTAGCATCGCCACCATTATTATCTACTGCATCACTGAGTACCGCTACATGTCCGTCTCAAACATTCCTGGCTTCGACCCAGAGAAGTTTCCCATTGGCTTTGGTATTATCGTGTTCAGCTACTGCGCACACGCAGTGTTTCCAGGCGTCGAGGGTAGCATGAGAGAGCCAAAAAATTTCCCTATGATGATGAACAGCGCGTTTACCCTGGCCGCAGTAGTTAAGATGCTGCTTGGTATGTTAGCAGTTCTCAGGTTTGGTCAAACTACCGAACAAGTCATCACAGTTAATATGCACATCAGTCCAGTTTTCAACATAGTAGCCACAGTACTTGTTGTCACTAATGTGTTCCTGGCCTTCCCTATTTGCATGTTCGTTGTGTTGGAAACATGGGATGTAAAGGTTTTACCTTATTTCCCGCATCTTGGCAAGGAAACAGGTTACCACTGGTTTTGGTTGCTTCTGACCAGAATCATGCTTCTCACACTTGCCTTGTTCCTGGCAGTTATTGTACCACACTTTGGTCTTCTGATGGGTTTTGTTGGCAGTTTTACAGGCACTTGCCTTTCTTTTGTTTTCCCTTGTGTTTTCCACATGATCTTGAAATGGAAAACCACTCCTTGGTACAGCATTTTAACAAAGATCTTTGTGACAATATTCGGGTTGGTCTGTGGTGGGTTTGGTCTGGTGTTCTCAGGAAGGGAGCTTGCAAAAGCTTTTTCTTTTGGTTGACTGTTTTTAAAGTTGTTCTATCTCCTTGTTCCTTAGGTGACTATGGAAACAATCACACTGTGATCAGTGGACAATTATTCAAAGAAATTTTAAAATTGATTATCATTGTAGTGAGTTATTTTCATGTAAGTAGCTTGTCTGAGTTCAGTATAACTAGTGTTTTTTAGAGAAGTCAGGGGCAGAGGAAGTGCAACATAAGGCTTACAGTTGTGAATCAAGTGTTGGGGACTGTAAATACAACCAAGAGATCAAGCCTTGTTTTTAGTCACAGCCAAAATCCTTTCATTTTACCTCTTAAAGACACAATCAATCGCTATTTTTGATTTTTGTAGGCAAAAAAAACAAACAAACAAACAAACAAACTCAAGAATTATATTTTCCTGAGTGTCTTCCACTAGACCATTACCACTAAGAATCTCTCCCCATTCTCTGCTTAGCAAGGGTAATCTAAAATAAATAAGAATTGGCTCTTTCTAATTTTCATCTAAGCGATCAAATAGCAGAATTAACCCTTTACGCCCTAACATCAGCATGCATATTCTCCATATTGTTCTCCATACATTTCCCAAGGTGCTGACCAGGAGAATTTGTTTAACAATCAAGACCTTCTTTAGTTGGTGATCATTTCCCTTTTTCTCATGACCTTACTACATGATTCAAGGGCGATATTGTAAGGAGGAATTAGATGCTAGTCACTCTTGAGGGTCAAAAGCTTAAGGAAATGTCAAGGTGCAATATTTCAATTGACTCCTATGCTGTATTTAAGAGGTGATATGTTTTTAATTAATTATTCATGTAATTATATATAGTCAGAGCTGGTCTTGTTCCAGTAAGACAAAATTTGGTGTGAAGCTGGTTTGATTGGACACTTTTAGTCATACATGTGACAATGGTATGATTACAAATTTATAATAGCTTCTACGTGATTTTTTTAATGCAATCCTGTAAGAAATACAGAAACCTATTAAAAGTCTTATTTCTACACAAAATATAGTCTCTATCTCTCATAGCTTGCTTTGTTTTAACTTGAGATTATTGATTTATTTCTAGAAATTCCCTAAACGAAATAAATTTAATTTAAGTCCAAAGAGTATTCGTTAAACACTTTCATCAGTAATTTGCAAATTAATAGTGTACAGTGAAGAATCGAGCCAATCGTAATTTCAAAATCTTGAAGTCACGCAGCACTTTCAGAGCGTTGTGTGACATCTCAAACGAAACTCGAAGGAGTGTACTGTGTATCGATTAACACCAATTTAAAATGTACATCGCACTGTTTAACCTGCTGTTCCCCTAAGCAATGGAAAACCAATCATCCGTTGACCTTCTGCTACAAAAGAACAGAAGAAAATTAGTTTTGGCTCGTTGATTGGGTACCCTTTGACCCTAATGTACCCAGGAAAGGCGTGTGGTACACGTGATTACCTAACCCACGTACTGATTGTCACAACAAAAACAACAATCTGTGAACGGGACAGTAGTAGTGAGTCTCAAATACTTGATTGCTTGTTAAAGCGATTTCTATTTACCGTAAAAAACGGCACGTGGGTAGCAAAGCTTAAACAGTGAAGTACTGAACAGTGGAACAATGGCAGAAAGTGTGCCTTTGGTGTCTTCGCCGAGTTCATCAATTAGGCAGCCTGCCGAAGAGGCAGCTTTCGGAACAACTCAATCAAAGCCTACTATTGTGCCTCTGGGAGAGAAAGCTCCTTTGGTTCAGGGCGAACATGAAGTTGGAAAAAGTCTTCTTGGACTTAGTTTATCAAGGATGAATTTGTCGCGGAGTTTAATGAGATTGCGTTCCGCCACGATGACTGTGTCGTTAATCGAAAAGCCTTCAGATGATCGCCGAGCCTCAGCGTTTCTTGCAGGTTGGAACGTAACAAATCTCATTCAAGGAACGGGGATTCTAGGAATACCGTACGCTGTGAAGCTCGGTGGGTGGGCTGCTGTTGTTTGTATTTTTGTCTGTGGTATTCTTTGTTGTTACACGGGCAAGATTCTAATCGACTGTTTGTACGAAGATTCCAAGCGGACAGGTCAAAGGAAACGAGTAAGGGTGAATTACCCTGATGTTGGCGAAGCCTGCTGGCCCGTGTGGGGAAACAAGATTGTCAGCATTGTGCAAGTGGTTGAGATGTCTGGCATAGGCGTCACCTATGTTGTCTTGATGGCCACCATCTTCCTTGATCTTTTCCACAACAAGAGTATGGATGTTTATGACTGGACCGTTGTGGTTGGTTGTGTTGTCCTTCCAGCAATCTTTATCACCCGCGTGTCACTCATCGCCTGGTTCAGCATGATTTCTGTCTTCTCTTTGTTCTCTGGTGTCTTCACCATCATAATCTACTGCATTACACAGTATCAGAAGATGAGCTTCAGCAACATGCCAAGTTTCCACTTAAACTCTTTCCTGGTTGGCTTGGGCATCATTGTATTCAGCTTTACAGCACATGCAGTATTCCCAGGAGTGGAAGGAAGCATGCGTCATCCTGAACAGTACCCCATGATGCTGAAAGTTGCCTTTGCAAACTCAATAATCACCAAACTTGCTCTGGGCCTACTGGGTGTGTTTCGATATGGGCAGGAACTTAACCAGGCAATAACAGTTAATATCAAAACCAGTCCAGTCTTTTACATTCTGTCCAATGTTTTTGTTATTGGTAATGTTGTGCTTGCCTTTCCTCTTGTCATGTTTGTTGTTTTGGAGACATGGGATAAAAAAATGCTTCCTCACTTTCCTCACCTTTCTAAGGATTCAAGTTTTCACTGGTTTTGGTTGATCCTGACGCGTCCATTGCTCCTTACATTTGGTGTCTTCCTGGCCATCACCGTACCTCATTTTGGCTTAGTCATGGGTCTGCTTGGCAGCTTAACGGGAACCAGTCTGTGTTTCATTTTCCCATGCGTTTTCCATCTGAAGCTGAAGTGGAAGAAGTTAAACTGGTTGCAGATTGCATGTAGAGTGGCTGTCACCATCTTTGGAATTGTTGTTGGAATCCTTGGAGTGGTATTCTCAGCAATTGAACTAATCAATGTGTCCAAGTGAGGAAATAAATTCTGTAACAATAAGTATTTCATAAGGTATATAAACTGAGACCTGCTTTGTTGATACATGTAACACAAATGATAATAACTATTAATATATATTGGATCCTAAATATGCATTATTCTGTAAATATTTTGACCTGAATTTTTATTTAATATATGGTTCCTCAGAATATCAAACCAAGGAAGGTCATCAGGAATTTGAAGGGGAGGGGGGGGGAGGTAAAAGTAGAGGGCAATCATGGTTATAAACATTCCCCAACCCTCTTCTCCGAAAAAAAGAGAAAAAATCAGTGAGCCCAGAAAAAAATGATAGAAAAAATTAAACTTAGAATTTAACTTGAAATAGAGATCAGGAAGAAAGAACAGCTCAATTTTTGAGCAAAACCTGGTTGAAATGTATAAAAAGGAAGAATAATTTGAGGTCAGTGGCGAATTATAGGGATGTATACAGGTGATCTCTGATAATTTTCTTACCTCTGACAGCACAAATTCTCCATGACCAAACAAACAAAAAAACAATTATTGGATCATTTTTGCTCTCACTCTTAACATTATGCTGAGTAATGTCACCATGAAGTGCAGTAGCATGTATTCCAAATCAACTGTGGTCATTGAGAATTATTTCACTGGTATTGATGTGAAGTTTTCTCAGAAGCTTGCACCTTTAAAGACTATTTAATTGTATAGCTGAGTTGTAATCAAAATATTAAATTTTACATTTTTAGCTGGGAATTTAACAATTTTTATTGTGTTGTACCTTTTTATGGGAAGGGGAGGTTACATGAACCTGATGCAAATTGATATTAATTTCAGTTGGATGTAATAAAAACAGTGAATGGGAAAATGAGAAAGTAAGAAAATTAAAGAGAGAAATTATTTTTCAGATAAATTGTTTATAATGCAGAACAGATATTTTCAATGGTGATTATCAATATCCACTCTAATTTTTGGAAAATTCTGCAGCAGAGTAACAGAATAAATTGGTGATGACAAAATAAATTACACTAACTTGTTTCGACATTTCACTATCTGAGGCTCAGCAATTAATGAAAACAATTTTATAGATATTCTGAGGTTCAGGAGTTGGTTGTATCGCGGACGAGCGAGCAACCAATATTTATGGCATTCCCCATTCTCTACTCCCTATTCCCCATTCCTCATTTTAGTAACATCCATGTCGTTAGTTTTAATTTGCGTAACACTGATTAAGTGAACTGTGAATTTCCGCGCTCTTTATTTCACTCATTTATGTCCCGAATTATCGATTCACTCCAGACGTTGTTGACAACAAGGAAACAATAGCGAAAAATTGTTCTTTCAACAGGCTGAAGATCTGTCAGTACTGTAGACAATGCAAATGACGCTAAGGTAACTTTCAATCACAGTTGACATGGTGGTTTATCAGCCTCATTGTCGAACCAATTTTCCTCCTGTCCCAGTTAATTTTTCTTAACATCTCACATTTTGACGGAAATTTCCAGAGCACCTCCTTCGCATTATTTCTCTTCAATTATTGGAAAGAAGTCTTTGATGCTAAATTCACGTCAACGTCCTCTATCCTATTTGTAACGAAGTCTCTGCGGGAGATTTGCAATCTAAGCTCCTTGAGAAGTCTAATCTGAGCGTGGCATAAGTTCCATTTGACTTCATAGACATTTGAAAAATACTTTCCCAGTCGCCCGTCAATACTATAGAGCTGTATAGTCCAAAAAACCCAAAGTCAGACCAGAATACATCCTTAACACCCCTCAGCAGGACGGTGGACGACTCCCAGTCTTTCATTTGAGTCCCAAGAACTACCAGATACAAATAGATTGAAAACAGGTGCCATGTTCTCAGTCTCTGTCCGTGGAACTGTCGTGTATTCTTTTAGTGGAGACACTCACTCTTCGACTGCTTTCTATATTCTGTCTTAATTCATCGATCAAATATCTAATAAGTTGCTACAATCATGTTACTTGATAACAGTACTTGTCTAGTACTTTTACATCGTTCAGTAGTCCAGCAGTAATATTACTAACACTGTTAGAAGTACTTTTACAATGTTTTCAATTCACTGCAGGAACCCTGACCCTTTACTGTTATCAAAAGAAAATCAACAGTTGAAACTCTCTTGCTGTAATATAGAGTACGATATCGAGAGAACCACTCCCACACAGACTGTGGGGATCAGATAATCGTCCCCTGTAGCATCTTCCTATTTTCGCGTGAAACGTGAAATGAAATCGTCCGTCTCCGTTATTTGAGGAATTTTCTGGCGCGAGCCTGCGAAGGAGTTCGATTCAACATGATCCGTGAATCATCTTGTTGGATTGAAGCATTCTGGTCAATTATTATAAGTCTATGGATTTATTAACAATGAGAGTAGATTTAAATGTTTTTTGTTACATAAATCGCTGTTGAAACTAGTTGGCAACAAACCCTTGTGTACCCGTTCAGAGTTTAAAAAAAGCGGAAACACAAGAGACGTGATCGGATTTATTTCAGCCATATGTGAAAGAATTCTGACTTCAAGTTCTGTTCGTGACTCAATATTTACCCTTTGAAACTCGTATACTTCCCACATGCCACTTTTCTTCAGCCACTTCTTGAGAATTCGTAACGACAACGTAACTCGAACTTGAAGATTAATGTAGAAGTGAATAAATGTCCTCAAGAGATTAATTGAGGGACGGGAGCAAAAAATTTGAAATTCAAAACCCTACAAGTGACTTGGTGAAAGGCCAGAATAAATTACTAATTACGAGAAAAAATCAAACCACAGATAAAACCACAGATCAAACCTCAGATCCCTGCTGGTGGGAATTTTAGCCATTGATTTGTTAGCATTTGTAGATGTGGAAGACAAGCCCATCTTAAATCATTTCAGTAATATTTAAAGACGTTTATCGAATCGATTTCAAAAGCGCAGTAACATATTTTACAATTCAACATCCCCAACGGGTTTAAACTATACTTCGGAGGGATACAAATAATCTTTTATTTTTATTTTGTGACGTAACAATAAATGGTAACGCAACACTGCCACGAGGTACATGTACAAATCAATATTTGTGTCTGGCTCGTCTAAGCGTGTGTACTGGTCGCAATCGAACGTGCAAAAGTTGCGTTAAAAAAAGAACTTGCTGAGAACGCACCGCCGATTCTTTGCAACACGGGTTACTAAACAGATATAACAGCAAAAGAAGGAGGAAACAGAACCTTCGCATAAAAATGGCTTCTGAAGCGGCCTCGCTCGAAGAAGATGGCATCGCTATGACTGAACAAGATCCTGCAGCACCCCAACCAACGGTTGTACCTTTGGACGAACGTTCGCATCTGTTGTCTGCGTCAAACGACCAGAAATCCCCAATCTCTTCAAGTGTAGTTGGAGGTTCTCCTAGATCTGGATTTTCTCAGAGCATTAAAAATCTGAAATCAGCCACCATGACCGTTTCGTTGTTAGAGAAACCGTCCGATGACAGACGTGCCTCAGCGTTCCTTGCTGGCTGGAACGTAACAAACCTCATTCAAGGCACAGGTATCCTTGGGGTACCCTATGCGGTGCGTATGGGAGGTTGGGCGGCCGTAGCTGCTAACGCGAAAATCGCCTTTCTTTGTTGCTACACCGGCAAGCTGTTGATAGAGTGTCTGTATGAGAGATCTAGGCAGACAAAGATGTTGAAACGGGTCCGAGTTAACTACCCGGAGGTCGGGGAAGCCGTATGGCCCGGGTGGGGGAACCGGATTGTGAGCGTGGTACAGTTCTGTGAGATGTTTGGAGGGGTAATTTCTTACCTTGTTCTGCTTGGTACCATATTTAGTGATATCCTGAGCAAGTATAAATCATTGAATTTTGATATCTACACATGGTCCTCCATCTGTGCCTGCATTGCTCTCCCAGGCTTCTTCCTACGCCGTGTGTCAGTCATTGCTTGGATCAGCATGATATCCGTCTTTGCACTGATGTCGTCGATCATGACAATCATCATATATTCCATAACAGAGTACAAGGACATGTCTATTCACAAAGTTCCTGGATTTGACATTAGGAAATTCCCCATTGGGTTTGGTGTCATTGTCTTCAGTTATACAGCCCATGCTGTCTTCCCAGGGGTAGAGGGAAGTATGCGACGCCCTGAACAGTACCCCATGATGATGAATGTGGCTTTTCTACTGGCTGCAATTGTGAAAGTGGCATTTGGCCTCCTTCCTGTGCTGCGATTTGGAGAGGACACAAACCAGGCTATCACTGTCAACCTCAAGACCGATCAGGTTTTCTACATTCTGGCTAATGCTTTGGTTGTGACCAATGTGTTTACAGCTTTCCCCATTGTAAGCTACATAGTGTTGGAAACTGTTGATCACAAACTTCTACCATACTTCCCACACCTGGAGCGAGAGACAAAGTATCACTGGGTATGGATCTTGCTGTCACGCCCGCTTGTCTTATCCTTTGGCCTCTTCATGGCCATTACTGTGCCTCATTTTGGCTTATTCATGGGTTTGGTTGGAAGTTTTACAGGTACATGCCTTTGTTTTATATTCCCCTGTGTTTTTCACATCGTTCTGAAATGGAAAGAGCTGAGATGGTACAACATCGTAGCCAGGGTTTATGTGATTGTTTTTGGCATCGTCTGTGGGGTTCTTGGCATTGTCTTCACCGGCATAGAGCTTGCAAATGCTGTTAGTGGAATTTGAGTCACCTTAATCTCATGTTTAGACTCATTAGTAATTCTACAATCTTTCATATTGTGCAAAAAAAAACTGTGTAGGTTTTTTTTAGGGCTAAATTATGCAAGAGAAACCTTAATTATAAAGCAAATGACCAGATTTTCTCACTGAAGATTGTAATAGACATGGGTTGTAATTAACTTTTTCATAGAGGACTACTGATGGTTCGATAGTGTGAATCTTTATTGTTTTTGTAGAACAAACCTTAAAAATAAATTCTCTACAAATAATAATGACAGGAGACCACCTATAATCAGCTGTTAGGGAAACCTCCTGGATAGAGTTGTTATGATAAGTGTAAAACCTAACAAAACATGATTTCAAGTTTTAGAGACCCTGCATTAATCAGCTGGTAAATTTAACCAGACTATGCATTATTTGGTGAATTTTGAGATTTTATGTGGATTTCACAATTAACACAGTTTGAACGGAGATCAATTGTGCCAGATTGCATCTTTAGATTATGTCAGAGGCCTGGAAATTAGGTTGTGTTTGGAGTGTTTTCCAATTAATCAATAACTGGAGGCTAGAATGTATCAGCTTATTCCATATGAATACCTTATACATGAATTGTAAGAAATGCTCAAGGTTTTTTTTTGTTGAACTTTATTTAATCCTCCATACATTTAAAAATTATGATCGTGATTGTGTAGATTTTTGTGTGATAATAAAAGAATCAACTGTTATCCTTGATGCATGTAAAGAAAGAACTTAATTGCATCCTTGATGCATGTTAAGATAACTTAAATGCGAAAGGCAAATTTAAGGGGAGGTATAGGAGAACTCTCAAAAACAAAGTTATATTGTAAGTGATCTATGCAGGAGGGGATTCACCCCTACAAAATATCCTTTCCTCCAAACTACTGTCAATGGTTGTTTGTATTTGACGATTGAGTCAAGATGGCATTATGTTTGTCTTTGATTGCACAATATATTATTCAAATATTTGTCTTTTGTAAGTGAGTGTAAAGAGTCTGAGTTCAAGAATAAAGTATAAATAACATTAAATTTATATATTGTAATTTATTACTTGGCGTATGTGAAAATTGGAGCACAAACAACAGTGTTTTATCAATATACTTGTTGGATAAAGTACACTTAACATTCTAATATTATTAATTATCGTGCATAATAAACTGTTGATGATGTTTGACATTGATTAGTTATTAGTTATTTTGAGTTATGCAAGTTTGGTGTTTTAAAAAAATTTATATGCATAAGTTTACTTTCGATCAATAACGTCAACCCAATAAAGCAGTATGTTCTGGATCCATGTTGAAACTTGTTATATAATGGGAGATTATTTTATGAGAAGTCGGACAACCTCATTGAGTTGTGATCTGCGTCCTGTTACCGAAAATTTCTGAAAATTTGGCAGACATGCATTACTTCGAGTAAATATTTTTTTTTTCAGTCAGAGGATCGATCGATGGCAAATCCATCATTTCCCTCTTAATATTAAACCGTGCTTTTCAAAGAGAGCGTCGACTGTGTCAGGTGTTAAAAAACTCATTGTAGATCAGAAAAAGGTCTCGTGTTGGTTCGCTGTCACCAAATAATGAAGCGTGAGCCATCATTTGTTCGGAAATTTTATACATTTGTTGAAGGGGCGACAAGGAAAAGAGGATGAAATTATAATAGTTTTGTTTCATACCTCGTAAATTACTCCAAAACAACCTGACTTTGAGTGCTTTTTCCTTCCTTTTCTCAGAAGACCGCAGCAACTTGCGTCGTGAAAATTTCCGCCCTCTTGTAATTTCCTGACAGTGGAAAATCCTTACCCGCCCCTCCCACCTAGCACTGTGTACAAAGCCTCGCATTCAGTCTTTCCTAAACCCCACCCCACCCAAAACAATTACAGGACCGAAGCAGAGACCCCTGGGAAAAATGTCACAGCAGTTGAGTTTCGATGAGCTTTTTTTAGAACTAATAGGTCTTTTTGAGGAACATCAACTTCCTTGAGGGAACTTTGAGCCTTCAGGAATCAAACATGACTAGGTTTGAAAATTCCTTCTGGGTGAGTATCACTTTTAGATCGTATTTGTTTTATAAGGAGCACAAAATGTTTTAAAATCTAACGTTATTTACCGCATATATGGACGTCATAATTTTGATTTCCCGTTTACCTGTTTACGGGAAACAATAATTATTGTCTTTGTTTGTATTCAGGAACAGAAAGGGTACGAAGAATTACGGAAGGTTTGCCGGCAAGGAAATGACTTTTCCCGCGAAGTTTCTTCAATTTTCAACGAGAGGTAAGTTATGTTGTAACGTCAATAAGCATAGAGGGGGACAAATAAATTTTCATATAACTGTATTGGTTTCTAGTCGGATCTTTCGGCTTTTTAGTGGCCTCACCTAAGCTTCCAATGCATGTAAGCAAAATCCTAAGAATCTGGTTTTATATTTGAGCTCAAAATGTCTATAAACATACCTGCAGCTGTTTTTCAACTCGATATGCAGCACTTCCAAGTATTTTCCACGGCGAGACATGCACACTGGCCGTGTGAGTTTTGTCTTTCTGTGTTTGCTGTTGAGTTAGTTTCATTTGCAGTTTCCATGTTGGTGTTACAAACAATGAACTTGGATTTCTATTGCTTTGATTTGTTTTTCAGTTTGTACATGGTGGTTAGATGCAATACTTCCTCCATTTCTCCCTCCCTCGTAAATATTAATGCTGACAGAATTGGTTACATAGTAATAACATAAAATTATTCATGAACTGCCAGGATTTTGATAACATGCCTTGTTACAATTGTGCTTATGTGTGATCATGTTAAAGGCATGTGTGAAATATTTTTCCATGTGATAGTAGTGTGATAACATGACTGTATGAGAGATAATTAACTTTATCAGATATTCCAACCCCTTTTGAGGGGAAATAGAGAGTTTATTTTAGCGCCAAAGGTGCAAGCCTCTAAAATTACCTGGGGCATGCCTCCCCGGGTAATTTTTCCAAATTTAGTTTCTTTCAAGTGGCATTTCCTGCATTTTGACATTAATCCATTTTTTCAGAATGAAAAAGGGAGATTTCTTTTACTACTTAAGCTGAAACTGCAAAACCAAAAATCCCAATGCACCCCTCTTTGTCACCTTAAAATGCCTCAATATATATGGGAAAAACATGTTTCAGATAGAGACTCAATCTGGTAAACATTGTATCTCACAAAATCAATTTAAAACAATGAAAGGAAAGAGATTCTGCTCACTAGTATCAGTGAAGCTAAATCAGATAGTTTGGTAAAGAAGGTAATATTGTTGTGAATACTTAAATAACCTTAGATTTTCATTCTTTCAACTAACATCCATTAAGATTATAGTCAGGAAATAACAAGATAAATAGGTACCTAATATCATTTTCTAAGTAACTCTTGATCAATATTAGCTTTTGAATCATATTTCACGTAATTCAACACTCCCAGCTGAACTTTTTAAAAATTGGTGGCAAACTGAAATCACAGAGTGGTTATCAGAAATATAATATTGGTCACCAGAGAAAAGACATTTTGTGTAATATTTCTTGACATACGAAACCACTGGTTACATCCCTTGTCTTTGGAGTAAGCAGCATGGCTGACCTCATGGCTAATTAAGATCCAGGTGATCAAAGACAAAGAGGCAAGCTATTACAGAAGGAAACAATGAAAATGATTATCTCACTCTGTTTTCACACCATAGAAACTAATTTATAAAAATGTTACAACTTGTTATATGACTGCTGAACACTGCTTGACAAATTTTCCAATAACACTGCAAAATTTAGTTGTCTCAATTTTTTTCCTGGTATTGTGTTTTAGGAGTTAGGGAGTAGTGTTATTCTGGATGAAAACTCTGCATTGACAAAGGAGAGGAGCAGTTAAAAAAAAATTGATGTCAAAGCTGTCTTTAAATTTGGATTAGTGGTTTACAGTCTGCCCTTTATTACCACATTTTCTCATCAAACTCAAATTTATTTCTACACTCTCCATGCTAAATGTTCTGAATTGTATTTTGTCACAAATCGGATTTGAAATCTTTTAACAAAAACCTCTGTTTATTCCAGGGCAAAAATTGAACAGACATATGCTGAAAGCTTAACCAAGTTGGCAGCCAAGGCACAGAAAACATCAAAGGATGCATTGGGGTAAAAGGAAATGTTGTGAACTATAATTGTCAAAATGGAAAAAGAACTGTGAACTCCTAAAATATTTCTTAATTGTTACTTTTAATAAATAAATCCCATTAATAGGCTAGATTTAGGATATCCAAACAAAAATCATTGTAAAGACCAACTCATGATCAGGAAGTGTGATAACGTGCTGTGTAATAGGTCTTGGCTAGCCAAGTAGTCATATTTTTACAATGCCAACTTTTTGATTATCTTAATTCATGCACCAAACTTTCATTATCTGTAATTACCTTTGCAGGACTCTCAAATCTTCATGGGAAAGTGCCCTCTTGGAAATGGAAAATGAAGCAGAAATACACAAGTAAATATTAAGTTATAATTAATAATCGTATTCAAACTTTGTAAATTGAGCAGGCGTGAAGATTATTTTGTTAGCTAAGGGGAATGTGTTAACTGTATAAGCTCAATGAGCTATAATTTTCATGCAGTTATGACCTTCTCACCTCTATCCTTATATTAATTTATTACGTTGAAAACTTTTAAATAGAATTGTCATCTTTCTTTTGAATTTAATTTGGACAGTAGAGTAAATTTTTTTAGCTAGTAGCTAGTGTTAGTGATTTGTCCAAATTTATCAAAGGCAATGTCAATACAAGTACCCAGTTTGAATCTTTTAAGGAGTTAGATGCTTCTAGCTATCAATTGAAAGGCAAAAGACACACTCTTGTTGACTGCAGATTTGGCTCCAAATTCTGCTTAATGTTCCATCATCTTTTGCTGGCAACATTAGACATTTCTTTTTTGCAATTATCCTTGTGTGATATTCTTTTTTCAGATTGATAAATCCATAATCATTTCATTTTTATGATTCAAATTGTGTGTTATTTTCTGTTCATTTAGAACATTAGGAAATCAGCTACATGACGAGGTTTCAAAACAGGTCAAAGCATTTGTGGAAACACAGTCAAAAGCAAGGAAAACGGTAGATATTTTCAGTAAACCAATCACACTACTAGTATTATAGGAAAAAAGTACAAAAAAAAAGAGATTGTTCTAATTTCTGATTTTACTAATTTGCTCATCAGGTGGAGTCCCTGGTAGATAAAGCTTACAAGAATTTTAGTGATAAACTAAATGATGCATTGAAGGTGAAATGCTTTATTTATTTTCTGTATCCCTGGTTAATTAGTCAATTACTGTTATTTGATTGACTGACTATCTGACCAACTGAGTATCTGAATGACTGATTTATTGTAAAGCACATTTGATCATGTGCCATGGAAAGTTGCTTTATATAAGTTTTAATTAATTGCAATTGTAAATTGATTAACCTAACTGACCGACCAACTGACTTATCTACTGACTGAATAACTTTGCTACCTTTTCTGGTTAGCTCTAGATCATAATACTTACCTTTCAGGAGTTAAATATTGTAAACCAATGCTTAGATAGCCAAAGGAATGATGTGTTTGACTGACCTCAAATTTTGTTCTCAGCAGTCCAACTGAAATAACAGTTACCTTAACTACAGGACTAAACTTTTCTGCTTCACTGAGATTTTCCTGATCAGACCTGACCAATTTGTTATAAATATGTTTCTAGGCAAAACGTGCTGCCCATACCAAGACAAGGGAAGCTGAAAATATGTTCGAGCAGGTTGAAGAAGCTCGAAATGGAAAAAGTGGTAAAGTGATGTCAGAAAAAGAGATTTCTAAGGTATAAGATGAATGTTGATCTCTGAAGCCCTGATACAATACATGCAATTAGTAACCTTAAAAAATGTTGAATTTTCAAATTGTTGATTGAAGGTCATTACTCCCCCATAAAAGCCTTGATAGTAACTTTTTGTCTTGAATTATTTGAAAGATAGTTTTAATTCAGGCATAGAACCATAATGCAAATGACTGTTTCCCAATACATCATTCATTCCTATTACTGGTATGAAATTTTTATAATCTAGCAGGTGGATGGCTTCAACATTATTTAAACTGAAATCTAACAAGTCATTTAACACACATTTAAACTGGTGGAGGTTCATTCTATTGGAAGGGTTTTAATGATAACTGTTGCTAAATGAGATTTGTAATTCATCTTGTCACTCATAGATGGATGTGAAATGTAGAAAAATGATGGACACTTCTTTGAAATCAGGTAAAGAGTCTCAGTTTATTTTCTTTAGTTTTACCTTTGTTCCTTACTGAAATGAGAGATCAGGTGTCTAGGGTCTTCTTTTAACCCCCCTCCCCTCCTCAAGTGCCTAGATTCAATGTAGTCCCTTATAGCTCCATGACTGGTAACTCCCTATAACTATGCAGTGAAACAACTACTATCACAAAACTGCTTAACCTTTTAACTCCCAGAAGTGATGAACATGTAACTTCTCCCTCTAATATCCATACATTATCCAGCAAACAGGTAATAAGAATACTCAAACTTATTAGATAGGAGTTCTTTTCTTGATCAGACAAAAAATTATCATGATCAATTTCAAAGAAAATATGTAGAAGTTAAAGGGGAGAATTATCAATTAGATCTTGGGAGTCAAAGGGTTAATATTTAACCAGGGGTTTTCATTAGCAACTACAGCTTAGCAGGGCTATCTGCCTGCTAGCAGTGGGCCAGCAACTGGCTTGTGACCTTTACACTTCTACTCATAATGTACTTATAACCCAGTAATTTTCTTCAAATTGGTTGACTTTTAGGAACAACAAAACATTGTAAATTTGAATTGACCTTGTACTTCAGGAAAATGCAACTGTAAGAATGTGAACCTCCAAAACTCCCAAATCCCAGATCTCCCCAGGAAGAGACCTTTGAGGCCCTCCTCACTACCCACCTGCTAATCTATAAACTACCTTTTTGTACCAAATTTTATTGAAACCCCTATTGACTCAAAGATGGAACCATGGTATAGTTTCGATGTTTGTGTACTTTTGAGATTGACTACTACCTCCTGAAGGAGCCCACAAAGCCAAAGATTGCTTTACTGCAATGCTCTTATTTACATTAACTTAACCCTTTAACCCCTAAGAGTAATAACAATCTAATTTTTTCCAAAAGTATCACCCTTGAATCAAACATCAAGGCCATGAGAATAAAGGAGATGATCACTAACTAAAGAAACTCTTGATTGTTGAAGAAATTCTCCTTGTCTGCACCTTATGAAAAGTATAGAGAACACTATGGAGAATATACATACTGCTTGTAAATGGTTATTTCACATAAATTTATTTTCTAAAAGATAGGGAATATCGTGATCTGTATGAAAAGACAGAGAAAGCACGACTGGAATGGGAGGCTGCCATGCTGAAGTTTTGCCAGGTAAAATATCATTAACTATTTATTTATAATTTTTTTTTCTCCAATGTGTGTTACATTGATTTCCATGACCCTAAGAATGACTGGCATCTTATTTCTCCTTACAATATCACCCTGAATCACACATTAAGGTCATAAGAATAAAGCAAGTGATCAGTAACTAGAGAAGCTCTTGATTGTTGAACAAATTCTCCTTGTCAGCACCATAAGAAATGTATAGAGAACAGTTTGGAGAATAGTTATGCTTTAATTTGCTAATTATTTTATTGTGATTTCAGACTTGTGAAAGATTAGAAGAGGAAAGAATAACACATTTAAGAGAGATGTTCTCATTATATAGTAACATGTTGGCTGCTGCGATACCTCAACTGCAGCAAGTAAGAACATCATCAGATTTTCAAAATTTAGTGGCTTCTTTGTTCTTCCATGTTAAGGAATTTGCTCACAATTCATTGACGTACATCATATTTTGAACAGAAGATGATAACCAGATTTATAAACATCAAGTAATTAAGTGATTGGTATTTTTCATTTCTATCTCATCTTAAGGCACAGCACAATGGACTTGCTAGAAGCATTAATTATTTAATTAGGAAGTTTGTATCAAAACCAATAGTATATCCTTCCCTTTAGCTTACACTCCTGGAGATTTTCAAGGACTAGAAAAAACAAACTCTTGCAGTACCTTCAAAAAAAGTGAAACTGACAATTTTCATGTTGCGATGGTAGATATTAAGTATTTTTATTACACATGGCAGAATTATGAGACTGTCAGCTCAGAGGTGTGGAAAATCAATTCTTCTGAAGATGTTATCACAACAGCTCAAACAAGAGGAGAACCACGAGGTCCTTCTCAGCAGATCCTGTATGACTGTTATGTAAGTTCATGAAAACAATTAACCATAAACTATGTAATTTGGTATTTTCAATTGCATTGGCAATGTTAATTGGCCACCCTAAAAGAGTTTCAATGCTGACGTCTCAAGCATTAGCCCTTTCGTCAGTGAGAGTGAATGACGAAGGGCTAATGCTTGTAACGAACCCTTCTCTTTAGAAATTTACCCCCTTTATTCAACCGTAAACTGTGTTGAATGAATCACCAAATTGTGATGTCTCATGTGAAAATGATAGTTGAAAAGTATAGTATTACATACCGTATAGAGTAATTTATTTTTAAATTCACCTAGGAGGAGGACTTGGAGAACACCATGAATTATGACAGGAGAAGAGCAGGGTTAGAGACAAAGATTCATCTTTTGTCAGAATCACTGGAGAAACAAAAGAAGACAAGAGATGGTAATATGGAACTCTAAATTAATATCACCCTCTATCATATTTTCTTTCATACTCTCACTAAAGAAATTTAGACGTGTGGAACTACAATACTATAAGTTTTCTTTTTAAATTTTTTATGGTCACAGTTTATTTCAGTCAGTAAGATGGTGGTGGACCAGCATATTTTTTGGAAATTTTTATTCTCAACCTCAATTGTGAATGGAGAATATTATCATGGGCTGCTTATAAATAACTTTAATAATTTAGACTCAACTTCTCCTAATTCATATGTAACTTGACTTCTGTAAACTTACAATTAGTCTCTTTTCATTTAGGGATAACTTCTCTCTTTGAGGCATACTCTGCAACTCCTGATTACTGTAATGAAGAAGGCCAACAAGATGTTGCCACACAACTGATACATGTAATATATTACCTTAGTCTGATATTAACTTCCTGATTGCTAAAGTTAACAAATCTTGTTTTCTTTATCAACCTATTATTTAAGTTAAGCCGCATGTGTTGTACTTTCCAGGCAAATGCTATAATAAATAGTTTAACAGCAAGTGTCAGTAAAGTTCAATGTGCCCTGGCACAGTTGAATGGTCACCCTGCACCAGATGTTTGGTTAATGCCATACATATCAAGCACCAAGGATAAACAGGCAAGTTCCCTCTCTTTGTTACCTTTTCACAGATAGTTGACTACTCGGAACAGGCTTCTTACAATATTTGATATCAATATCAAGTACTGGGTTGATAATGGATTGAAAGGTCTTCCATTGCCTTCTGGTTCAAGGTGATTTTGTCTTGTTCTTCCAGAAGGACAGTTAAATGAGTCTCTTAAAGTGTGTCTTGCCAACTAGAATTATGAAAAGGTTTTAGCAAAATTGCGATATTTCTACTGTTTGATGGGATAGTTTGAGTGCACCAGGTGATTCATTAATACAAGGGCATATTCCTTGGAGTTTGTCGCAGTTTTGTTCCATAGGCAGCTGGTGACATGTTCACCCTTTTGCCTCACTCCCATACCCCTCCAGGAAAAACTAAATCATGTTTTTAAGTTAAGCATGAAATTAATTGGCCTTAGAACAACTGGGCTCTGATTTCTCACCCGTGCTGCTTCTAATGACACCCACTATATAGTTTATACCCTCTCTTTGAATAATAAAGGAACTACCAGTAAGAAGTATTAGAGCTTAGTTGTACCACAATTTATGGTCTCTAATATAGGGCTTACTACAGAGTTCTCTCTATATTCCACTTGATCAAGTAACAAGAATGGAGTCTGTCACACAGGATGAGGGAGACAATAGAAGTAAGAAACTACATATCCGGATCAATATCAGTATCTGGGCAACTGCCCACCTACCCCTCCCCTAACTCAACAACAGTCAATTGATAACAAGTTAGGGTTAATGCTGGGTTAGGGGAGGGGTAGGTGGGTAGCTGCCCAGATACTGATATTGAATCCCATCATCCTTAGTGTTTTACCATATTGGTCTACTAGATTAACTTGACTCAGGAGTACAGTCTTTGGCTTTACACCCTAACATCAGAATGCATATTCTCCATACTGTTCACTGTACATTCCCTTAAGTGCTGACAGGGAGAATTTGTTAACAATCAAGAGCTCCTTTAGCTACTGATCATTTCCTTTATTTCCATGACCTTAATGTGTGATTCAGGGGTAATATTGTGAGGAGAATTTAGATGTTAGTCACTCTTAAGTGGTCAAAGGGTTGAAAGACATAATTATGCAAGTTCCAGACACTTTCACCCCAAGGACTAGGTTTACCCAGAGACTACAGTGTCATTAAGACTACAATATGATTAAGACTGTTAGTCATTTCATGGGTCCTTTGCCTTGTGATGGACCAAATGTTATGACTTGCTGTTTTGAGCTTTAATTACTATATGTGGAATCAAAGGGATGTATTGAGACCTCTGTCCTTTAATTATTTCAGGTGATGATGAGTTTGATGATATTCCAGAATCAACTGGTGAGTTTCAGTGCGAGTTCAATGAGTTTCTCTCTAATGTAGCTCAAGCAAAACAATGAGAACTGCACATGATCATGGGAAGACCACAGGGGGAATCTGTGCCATTGAAGCTAAGTTCTATTAATGAAAAACATGATACATGGTTGCCTGTTGATTGGCACACTAGATTCATGTTCAAACTTCGCCTAGTATCATCATGTCGCCTTTGTGTTCTTTGAAATATTTAATATTGTGGTTGGGTTGGAAGGAGCCTGGAGATGTGCACGTTTTTCTGGAAAGTTGAAGATTTTGACTGACATTGCTGTCAAGATGAATAACTCAATCACATATTAAAGGATTTTGTATTTATTGCTTTTAATTAGGAATATGCAGATGCCGTGCATTGTATGAATACAAGGCAGCTCATAGTGATGAACTTGATATATTACCTGGAGATATTATCACACTAACGGCTAAAATGGATGATGGATGGTGGCAAGGAGAACTTCATAACAAAACAGGCATATTTCCTGCCAGCTATGTGGAGGAGATTGGATGACCAGATATTTCATACCAAGAGAAAAAAATATAGCAAATTTCTGGTTTTTGCTGTTTAATTAATTGTTTTTGGGACGTGAAGCTTTCATAGCAGGTGAATGCCCCATTTGCTGTTTACTTGTTCCAGGGTTTTGATATTGAGATTATCTAATTTGGTGCAGCCACAGGGTGTATTTCATTGAGTCTTTGTGGCAGATTTTCTACCATTCACATTAAAAAATTTTCAGGGTTATAACTGGAGACACCAAGTGATATACTTAGCCCAATGAGAAACAAGAAAATAAATGAGGAAAGGCATAGCTTTGTTTGTACTTAAAAAACATTGCCATGGGCAATTTAAGCATTTTTTTTAATGTAGCTGTTACACTAGCTCTTAGAAAAAAAGAACCTTTTTTAGCAGTGAATGCTTAATGTAAAGCCTAAATTATGTTCCATGATTTAGTTTTCTAGAAGCCTCGTCAATGGATTTAGAATTCATTGTCTAATTTTAAGAATGGCCAACTGAACCAAATGACAAACAAAATATAGAGATTTAGGGTTCCAGCAACAGGGAAAAATTTCTTGTCAATGAACAAGGATATGTTCTGTGGATGCATTCTTGTGGGAATGATCATATATTGCTGATTGCAATCTTTTAATTAGTTCAATTATATGCTTAATATATTCTTATTTAGTAATGGTGTCTTTAATTCCAGGTGATGTTGATGTAAGTATATTGGAGTTCAAAGCTATGTTATAAACTTTTTTAAAAATTTTTCACAAATTTAAATTTTTAACCTTATAAGAAAAATTTTATGTTGTCCAATCATGTGGTTGATGAGAGGCTTCATGTACAGGCAAGCATTGATTAAATTCAAATGATGTTTGAGGTGTTAACCCTTTAAGCCCTGGTATCAACATGTATATTCTTGTCACTGTCCTCCATAAGTTTCTTATTTTACTGATTAAGAGAATTTGTTCAAACGTCAAGACACTTCATCTTTGGTGATCATTTAATTCATTCTCATGATCTGTACATTTGATCAGACAATGGTGTTGTTAGGAGAAATTAGATGCTGATCACTATTGGGGCTTAAAGGGTTAATCTGATTGCTAATGCATCATAACTCAACTCAATTACCTCTTCTTTGAACATTGAAGAAATAAATGTTAAAGTTGCTCTGTTTCTAATATTTATTTTCAAGGACTGTTCAGTTCAATATGGCTCTTTATTTACTCTTGCACCAACAAACAATGATCCAGGAGGATATAAGTTCTGTAGAGATCTGGGAAACACACTACAAAACACTACCACCACCAAATAAGACAACTGCCAAGACAGATTTTTTCCCTCTTATTTAATCTTAGAAGTCAACAACAGTTTTAGACAGTCAAATGAATAAAGGGGGTATGTTTGTAAAGAAACTGTGGTGCTGCATCAGTGGGAGAGTATAATAGGGTAAGCAAGTGAGTTGATAAGATAAATTGGCCACCATAAAGAGTTTGAAAGCTGATGTTTCAAGCATGAGCCCTTCATCAGAGCAAACTATTTGACATTGTGGATGCAAAATTTAAGGCTTTTTCTTTCTCTATACAATTTCCTTTATTTGCTTTTGCAAGACTCAAAATGTGACAATATACAGCTAAATCTTGGGAAATGGATTCCATTGTGCACCTATTTCCTGCATTTCTCTAGTTAGGAATTCTGAAATTCACAAGTCTTTTTATGGAAAGGAAAAACTCCCTACCAGTGATTTTCCAATTTTTATATGTCAGGAAATATAATTTGCAGATTGCCATTAAGAATTCCTGACCTGGTCCTCGAATCATGTAATGTTGTTTCACTCCGTGTCAGGTCCTGAAGATGTACTAAAAAGCACGAAAAATTACACACTCCATTAGAGATGTTCCTTTTATACACTCCTTTATCATGGCAACATCCCACACCACAATCTTTATATACATATCTTTGTCTGAGTTGCAGATTGAATGTCTAATTTTTTGTTTCTACCAAATCTTTAAATTTTCTCCTCATGGCAACAACAAATGCAGAGAAGTTATTTGTGCTGTTCAGCTTTTCCACCATCTCAGGAAGTCCTTTGACCTCTGGCATACAATCCTTCACTGTAAATAAGAATTGACTATTATTATTTGACTCTGCACTACAGTGGATCTTAATTAGTCAACTTTAAACATTTAATATGTTTAACTAATACATAGATTGGCCATTTTGAATTTGTCATTTAGTTGCCATTTTCAACTGACTTTTCTAGTCTTCATTAAATACTGTTCTAAGTAATGCTAAGATTTGTTAAGAAGAAGTTGGATCAGACAAGCACTTGGTGTAAGCAAAGGATTATACAACATGATTGTAACAACACGATGAACATTTCAGTGACTGAGGGTTTTACCATTGTACTTGTCCAGACTGGTAATTGCCACAGTGAAAACAAAGGGCCTATCTTCATCTTTTGGGTCAATGTACTTGAACACAAACTGTAAATGTTCCTCTGTGAAGTGGAAGAGGTTCAGATCACTTATTAAGTATATTGATGCATTCATTTTTGTTATTTTTTTGGTTGGGGGGGGAGGGGGTGGGGTATAAAATGGAATTTGCCACTAAAGCCATTAGCCTAAATAGATAAGGAGATAAATGTTTATTTATAATCGCTTTGCAACTGAAAAATTGAATTACACGATTATTACAGAAGATAATAACACTGAAAAGAACTATCGGTAGTTTAAAGCAAGTTTGTACAAAAATGTGTTTGTATATCTTACGTTTGTAAATAAAAAATGTCGATTAAATTCTAGTAAAAAAGTTTAGGCTGTAAGGGCATTAAAAATGCTACAACTGTTGCGAATTATTTGTGTCTTGAACACAGGTCTAAACTTCCGTTTGTTTCTAGGGTTCAAAGTACTTGTGGTACGAGCAGTAAGAAGGTCATGGAGCTTGTTCGGTTCACTCTGAATAATGTTCATGAATAATTTATCAACTAGTTCCTAACGGCGGTCTGAAAGTTTCATTTGGCCTGATTCAGCCAATGCCTCATTATTTAAGTAAAATGGTAAGATGATGTGCGTTGTTCTCTTTTGTACTCTTCAGTACCAGGTTACCATAATCCAGTCCAACTTCCTTATGCAATATTAGCAATTTTTTAAAATGCTTTTAATAACCTACCATCCACCTTCTTGAAGGATAATCCTAGTCTTTCTTTGAAGTACTCGGTACCTTTGGTAAACTGTTTAATCTTGTACGATGTGCTCTGCTCCTTAGCAGATACTTCTGCAAGAGTTCATTTGACCACTGGTTAATTTACAACTGAGATTATTAGTCTCCTGTCAGCTTAGCAGTGCTTAGTGTGGCTTGATCTTGTTTCAAAACTCGTAAAGTTTATTTGTAGATGTGTTGAAAACTAAGCAAGTATGATCTAAGCATGTTTAACAAATGTGTCTTTCGAGACACTTCTCACTGCAGAAAAAATAAACTTTTCCTATCACCTCCATTTTCACTAGTCTCTATCTTGCAAAACGTGGTTTAACTACACAAGTAATTTACGTACCTTCTTGTTGTTTGCGGAGTTGACACTCGGTTTCTTCAAAATGTTTTTGATTTTGATTCCTTTGTTCTACCAAGCGTTCCGCTGAAATCTGTAATTCTCGCAGTTCTCGTTCCAGATTGGCAACTTCTTCAGCCCTCTGCCGTAGAACTACAAACATGTCGGAAACCTTTGATTTATGTCTGCTTTTATCAATTTCATCGTTTAGAAGTCAGGTCAGAAGTAAACACGATAACTTCGTCTACTTGCGTCTTACCTTCTAAATTCTTCTCGCTCTGAAAATGATACTGATTGATCGTCTCTTCTAGATGCCTCATCTCCTCTGTAAGTTGGGGATAATAAGAAAATTTGGTAATTTTATACTGCTGTTTCATTACAATCTTCGTTATAAACACAGTTACCTTTCCCTTTCGCTAGTATGTTTTCGTGATTCTCTTTGTCCTCGAGACGAGCTTTTCGAAAAGATTCCCCAGTCCAATCGTTAAGGAATTTATCTTGTACTTTCTTCAAATTTACAGCTAAATTTTCCAGCTCTTCTTTCGTAACAGATCCCATTTTATTTCGTTGTGAAACTCGAGGATTTTTTTTTTCCAGTGGGAAAAGTTCGCGGTGAAATTTCAATTTTCAGTTTCAACCAATTAAATTTCCTTATAAGATCACGTGCCTATTGACTCCGCCGGATAGCTCACGTTTATTGCTGGCTCACTGTCGTCCGCTATCTTGTAACCTTTGAGGCAGAGTAGGGAGCCCACAAGATGCGCAAATTAAGAGTTACTAAATACGTTTTGTAGTTATTTTTCAATTAAAACTGTTATAGATGACCTTAAATCTTACATAATGACACAACGAACTCAATATTTTTGACAAGCTTTCCACTATGAGCACGGCAAACTGGCAGGTATTGTGGTCTCCAAACCAACACGACAAGTTTATCACCTTCGGAAGTGAAATATGTCTTTACAAAGTCAGCAGGTCTCAGGTAAGGTGATATATAGAGAATTTTGCATAATTTTTCTTGATGGAAGGCCAGTTTTTAGAATAAAAGCAAATTGTTATTTCGCCCATCGATTATAGGATGATCATGTGCCTAAACAAGTCCTACGGAAAATTTAGGGGGTGGTACTTGGTGGGTTAGACATATCAAAGTTCACTTTCATTCAACGATCCAAGTATCAGGAAAAAGATTGTGTCAAACACTTTTTCCCAATGTCCTGGGTAGTTTCTTGCATATCTTTCTCCAAAAAATACGCAGAAGTCTCTACAATGATATCCTTAGATCATCAAAGCATCAATAAAAATTTGCAGCAATGTACACTATATTAAACATTTTTGTTTCTTAACTGACTGGTTTCAGGAAAGTCCACCAACGGCTGCAGGTGTAAGAAGCCAAGGTATATAGTTTTACCTCAGTCTGTTCCTTGCCTTTGCCCTGCATTTCAATATTGTCCTTGGTTCAAGCTTTTGTTAATATGAATTTTCACTTGTAAAATATTTTATATCTTTCTTCTTATGATTTCAGTAATGCATCTTTCTGGAGATACCTATGCATCACTTTTATCTGTTGTGAATGATATACAAAATTTAAAGGTAACCAGTTCAATTAAAAGCTAAAAATATATATTTGTTTTTTGGTTCACTTTATGTTTTGATTGTCCAAAACCTTCCTTTATTAAATGGTTTGAGTGACTAAGACATAATTTCTCCTTACAGTATCAATATAATATGAAGCAGACAATATCAAAATTTCCAAACTTACGTCGTAGGAATTGTATGGCAGACAGTAAGGAAAATTGCTAATTAGATCTGGGTTTTAATGCATTGTGTTTTTCTCCTGGGAAGACATTTCACTCTTCAAAGTTCCCAAAATCACTGATCATTTGGGATTTTCCCATACATATGAAAACCACCCTTATCTCATCTGGAAAACACCACAGAAATCAATTCTGATGTTTACTTCTGCCATGACTGAAAATGGTAGTCACTATAACAAACAACATTTAACTTTTCAGGACTGCTTTCTCCTGCACTAGTTATAAAACTATATGTCAATCAAACATTATTCCGTTTACTATAAGTTCTGGCCAGGTTGGCCACAAGTAAAAGTGTTTTCTGTGTTTTCACAGTGTGTTGCTTGGTATCCAAAATCAGAACCAGAAAATTTATTAGCAGTTGGACAAGCAAATGGAAGAGTTTTAGTCACAAGGTAAGAATTAACAAAACATGTTTCTATAAATGGTAAAAACAATGGATACCGACATTCATTAGGAACAACTTCAGGAGAATCATACAGCAGCAGACTGCAAAGAGAACATGTGAATAAAGGGGGTAAATTTCTAAAGAAACTGTGGTGCTGGGTTGGTGGGAGAGTATAACAGGGTAATTTAGTATTATCAACTGAGTTGAGCTGAATTTAAAAGCTTAAATGTTAGCCCTTTGTCAGAGTGATTGATGAAGGGCTAATGTTTTGAAATGTCAGCTTTTAAACTCTTTATGGTAGTATTATCAACACAGTTGATAATACTACTTTACCCTGCAAAGGGAACACATCTTCAACATGTGTTAATCACAACTGTTAAAAGCCAACTTGCCATAGTATTGTGCAATGCTTCAGAAGGTGAGGAATGTCATGACTGGTGGACCTCATTCCTAGGGTTGTCGCTAAGTAAAGATCATCCACAGGAACTATTAGCAGGTGATCATTGGTAAAGTAATGCAAGCACTTCTGTGGTTACATAGTATTACCATTGTTTGATATCCAAACACTATCTTTGAGCCATCATGCTTGAAATTTCAGTTTCTAAGCTATAACCCTGAATCCCTTGAGCAATACAACTGAAATGTTGTTTTCATTCTTTGTTTGAGATAAAAAAGTGAAAACCACCAAGTTATTAATCATTTTAACTTACAGCAAACATTTATAAAAATATGGCTGAGTGATATTTTCTCAGGCATATTGTTCACAATGAGGTAAACATCGGTCACTTTTCAATGGAAACGATTAAAAGTAAATAATTTGTTAATTACTTATCATTATTGTCTTCTCTTTCAGCATTGGAAAAGAAAGTAATCAGTCAAACCAAAGAATTTCTAGAGAATTTGGTAAGAATCAGTTGATTTCAAACTTACAAATGCCGGGATTATGAAATTAGTCATGTTGTGTTACTTAGTACTTTCTTTTGAAAGTGTGACAATAAGTGGTACTGGTAGTTTGATATTTTGTATAATTGTGAAAGGATTTCATCAACTGTTATTACATGACATTAATTAAAAATTTAAACTTTTAAGTCCCCAGGCATTCACGGCAATGTAACAGCCTTGCATGGAATCCTGTTGAAAATAAATTGGTATGTTAATTATCTTCTTGATGAGGTCACAAGGGATTGGTCCAGGTACAACTTTTAACCCTTTTATTCCCACGAGTGACCAAGAAAAAATTTCTACTCACAATTTCAATATGATATCAAGCAGACAAATGATGAGAATAAAGACAAATATCATGTAGGAGATTATTGCATGTTCACATCATAAGAACTGAGCCCACTAAGGAGAATTATCAGCAAGATTTTGGGAGTGAAAGTGTTAAGGCTTAACAAATGTCAGGCTACCGGGGGCTAATTTCAAATTTCAGCTAAAAGGAGGGGTGCTTTTTGGAATAGCAGGGCTTAATCTAAGGGGGCGCTTGTTAAGGTAACCCAGTAAAAATTAAAAGAACAGATAGCGTATATAATACAAACTCTGCAAGCGCATAGAGATAGAAATAATAGGAAGTGACTTAATGCTGTAGTTGAAGCTTGAAAAATTGTAATTAAAGTAGGAATAGAAACAGGTTTTTTTTAGGTATCCCTACAATTAAGATGGTGAAGGTGGGGAAAGGTGTGCTTACTTGAGAGGGTGCTTGCATGACTCCATGTCCAAGGAGGGGGGGGAAGTGCTTATTCAAGGAAGAGCAACTATTCAGGAAATACAGCATTCAGACCTAGGGAGACACCCTCCTCTTCCTTCCCCCCCCTCCCCCCCTTCACCTCTACCCCTACCAAGTCTTGGTAAATGTAAATGTAAATGTACATGTAAATCAAGAATGGGATGGGTACAGCACAATTTTATCAAAGACATAAAGGCAAAAACACACCTGAGCTTAGCAAGCATAGGCAGCAAAAGAGAAAACTGCACTACAGATTCTTAGAATGTGTTTGCTAGACACATTTTCATCTTCTTCTTAGATTGCCTTTATTACTTATATGCAATCCCTCCAAAATTCAGGAAAGTTGTTTTACCCTGGCCTGTGTGACCATTAATTAATGTTTGTACAAAATAGTTTTATTTACTTTTCCTCATCACTCAGCTGGCAGTTGGCTTGGACAAAGCAAGAAATGATCCTTCTCTCCTTGTTTGGGACGTCAGTGTTCAACCCAGTAGGTCAACACTCCATTTTTAAATTTATTTACTTCATTTTATTCTTGCAAAAAATGAATTAGTGGCAGCTTAAACCCTTAAAAAAGCTTATTAGCATAGTCATTCTAGAAATTACATACTAAAACATTGCACAATTTGATCATGTTCCACCGAAACTGTGGCTAGCAATCATCATTAACCCTTAAACACTTGAGAGTGACAGCCATCTAATTTCTCCTTTCAATGTCAACCCTGAATCAAACATTGAGATCATGAGACAAAAGGAAATGATCTCTAACTAAAAAAGGTCTTGATTGTTGAACAAATTCTCCCCCTAATACCACAGGATATATGCAAAGAACAGTATGCACCCGTACTGATGTAAGGGTGCAAAGGGATAAATTATCTTACAAAGACTTAGGAAAGTGGATGGTTTTTAAATTTCAAAATTAACTTTGAGAATGAGTGAAAGAGTCAGGATTTAAGGGAGATGTTTTTCTATGTGGATCTGTTTTATATAGATTGCACTGGGATGTGATTTAATATTGTATTCTATGATTTGTTTACTTTGATTTATTTCTGAATCATTTTTCTAGATTATACTTTGATTACTGATTTATCTTTGTTTTAGCTGTAAGGGAAAGTGGTAACCAAGAAAAGAGGTTAGTTCACAGGAACATTGTTGCTGCTCTGAGTTTTAACTTGAAAAACCTTATTCAGGTTAACAACCTGTATAGGAAAGTGATTGTGTTGAATAGCACCTGGTTTGTAACATTTTTGATCTAAATTTTTTCATCTCCAAATTATAGACACTCAGGAGTGACTGGTGGCAAACAATCTCCCATTACCGTAGGGACAAATTTCCAAGAGCCTTCACATGTGCAGAATAGGGCTCTTGTTGAACTATGTAAGCTGCTTCACCTTATATTATTACAATAATTATGACAGTCACCATGATTTTACCACAGTGATGGTGACTGTGCACTAGATACTTGACTTACTGGTTATCTTCAAATTTTTATGGTTATTTGATGTGACTTTATCAGCTAATTTCTTGTCTCTTGTTTCTTGGCTCTTGTCAAACTATGTAAGCTGCTTTATCGTAAATTATTATGATAATTATGACAGTCACCATGATTTTACCACAGTGATGGTGAATGTGCAATTGATACTTCAATTATCCTCAAATTTTTATGGTTATTTGTGGCTTTATCTGCTAAATTATCTTCAACTGGTGTTATCCCCCCACCATGACTGTCTCAGTCTGATGTACAAAGATCAGATCACAACACAGGGGTCTTTGCACCATACTCTTTGTAATTTGGAATTCAATGAATTAAGATATCAAAAGCTTATCCTTTCCCTCTTTCAAGTGCAAATTAAAGCACTATCTTCAATATTCCTAATGTATATTTGTAGCAGTATGTACTCTGTCTTTATTTACCTCATTCAGTGCACTTATAAACTTACATTGTTTGCACTTTATTTCAACTATGGAACATAAAGTGTAAAATTTTATAAATGAAAAATTATATAACTATATGAGACAGTGTTCCCCCTTATTTTAAGCATGATAGGTAAAAGAGATTTTTAAACCAATGGAGAAATCCTTTTACCCGTTGAATTCTCAAGAAATCCAAGTGAGTTGGGAAGAAGTGATGATGGTGGTGAAGCCAGAGCCATCAGCTTACAGTATTTAGTAAATACAAAAAGACTTGAACCTCTCACCATTTGCAAACCTTACACTTGCTTTGTTTTCATTTTAATTGCTGCAGCCACTTCAGATATAACTGTTTCATTAGCTTGGTGTCCTTATGATTCTAACGTGTTGATCACTGGGCAGGGACCAAAATACATCAGAGCATTTGACATCAGAGGTGAGCAGAGTGTTAAATTGGTGGGGTGAAGTTCTGTCATAAGCAGACACATACATAATTATGCTATAGACACTGCATTATATGGATTGATAAGCTGAATTATAAACACAATTTGATTGGTTCATACTTATGATCTGTTGGAGAACAGACACATAGATGACATCACCATTAACAAAATTTTGCTCCTTTATCACATAAAACTGATTGATTCTATCTTGCTGTGGGTCTGTACCATGGTAGATCACAGAAAAATTGTTGAAATTTGGTAAGAACATTAGTGACACACTTGGCTGGGCTTTGAATGCCATGTTTTGTTCTTGTACAGATGCTCTACAACATGAAATCTATTTGTTAATGAGAGATAAATTTATGATGGACATTGCTCATAAGTGTCTGAACACCACGATTTTATATAAGTTTTAAGAGATACATCCTTTTTTGTCTAGCGGACACATTCCGTCCACAGAATGCTGCCGTAACAAAAGCAGTGTATGGTGTATGTTTTGACCCACTTGTTGAACACAGAATAGCTTCATTCTCTGGGGTAAGGATTAGAGAACTGTCTCAACATATATTAAAGTAATATCACAGATGCATAAATACACCTCATTTAATGGTTTACACATAATACATGGGAATATTTTGTGTGTTGGGTGACAAATTTTTTCCTACTCATTCTTTGTAAGTTTTTTCTTTGTAATTTTCCAAAGGATTTAGATTTAATATGGTTCACATGTGAAAACAAAACTGATACCACATGTAATTGTGAAGATTTTAGAGGTTGTGGCTTACTCAAATCCTCAACAACTACAGGGGTGGCGCAGTGCGAGGTGACAACAATTCAAACTCCACTTGGCTGATTTTAACTGATTTAATGATAGATCAAAATTGAAAGGTCTAGATCAATTGGTAGCATTTGACATGAAGGGTCATAAACTTTAAGATAATGCAGATTGAAGTTTGTTGGCCTTAGTAGCAGTAGCAGTAGAAAGAATAGTAGTAGCTTTAGGTGCAGATTAAGTTGTAGGTTCAAACTGAAATACAAGAATTCAAAATAGAGTTGAACTTAGATTAGGCTAAAAAGAAACAGTAGACTATCAAGAGACATAATTAAACAATAATAACACTAGTGGAACTCCTAGCATGAAACAAACAGACGTAACAATTCTAGTGTTGTAAGAAGATACAAGCAACAGTATCATACTAAACACAGAGTAACTAAAATGAGCACAAAAGAATAACAATTTGAAAAGAAGTAAGGACAACTGATGGATAAGTTTGTTTTGCTATAATACTGTAATGATAGCACTTAGTTGACTATAAGCAAGATGTTCTGTGACCGAGAAAAAAAGCTGATGATTCTGCAACTTAATTAACAACAAAGAAGAGACTTGCATACATTGTTTGACAACTCACACCAAAAGAATAGCAAAGGCACTCTAGATATCATTTTCTTTATGCACGAAAAATGTGATACGCACCATTTGATTGGCTCTTAGCTTCTTCAACCAGCTTGTGAATGAAAATTTATTTAGTGCAGATTCAGTGTGTAAATCTTGGTGTACATATGATTTAGTGAAATATTATGTTAAGAAATATATACATTTTTTTTTTTTTGTAGGGTGGGCCTGGCGTAATTTGCATCTGGGATGATCGAAACTTTGAAAAACCTGTATCCTCTCTGTTGCACGAATGGCTCAGATGTTGAATTTTTCTGGAATGGACTCCCATCTGAGAAAACAGGGATGATAGTTGGAAATCAAGTCAAATCTTGGGATTGCTTGAGCTAAAATTTGACCCCTGAGAAGCCACTGTCAAAATTACTGTTAACCAAGATATATGTAAACTATGTAATTATAAGGACAGTTAACTTGAAAAGCTATATGTGGAAATTAGTTACTGTTGTCCATCTTTAAAAATACAAAATTCAAGAATGTTTTTGTCCTAATAACTCCAACTGGTGTTTCTTCTTGTGCAAGTTTATATTTTCAGTCCTACCTTAACCTTTTTCAGTTGATGACAATGAGTCAGTTATGTCCTGTGACAGCCATTTCATGGAGTCCAACACGATCTGGCTTAGTAGCCACACTAGGTATAGAGAGCCCCATTGTGCAACTGTATGATATTCAACATGCTTCAGCGGGTAAGTAAGTAGACTAACATGTAGAGTCCATTAGGGAGCTAGTCTAATCAAAGATTCAGTGCAGAACTTAGAAGAGTGTAAAGCACTGTCTATCTTTCTAACCATGTAAGCCCCCCTACTTAAACAATCAAAAATTAATGATTTTAGATATATGAAATTCATATATTTGCACTGCTGTGAAGAAACAAATCTAAGAGATCCTCACAGCTAAGAACACTACTGAACTAGTAGTTGAAAATAGGACCTGAAAAAAATTCAGGCCCACGTGGGATTTGAACCCATGACCTCTGCAATACCAGTGTAGCGCTCTACCAATTGAGCTAACAAGCCAACTGGGAGCTGGTCAATATGTTGGGTCCAAATAAACCATCCAAGTGATGAATAATGATTTTAGATATATGAAATTAATATATTTGCACTGCAGTGAAGAAACAAATCTAAGAGATCTTTGCAGCTAAGAATACTACTGACCTAGTAGTTGAAAATAGGACCTGAAAAAAATTCAGGCCCATACGGGATTTGAACCCATGAACTCTGCAATACCGGTGTAGTGCTCTACAAACTGTGCTAACAAGCCAACTGAGAGCTGGTCAATTTGTTGGGTCCAAATAAACCATCCAAGTGATGAATAATGATTTTAGATATATGAAATTCAAAGGATTTTAGATTTGCAGCATGTTTTGTTTGTTTGATACAATTAGAAGTCTGACCTTGTAACTCACTTATCTGTTATTTGTCCGAAGGAAAGTTTCATTCAAACCTTTGGCACTCATGTCTGCAAAAATTCCACATAATGCGGGGTTTAACTTGATAAACCTGATTCAGTTCTTAAATTGAAATCTTTCCTCAGTTTCACCAACATATGGAGTTGGATACGAGATAGAACCATCTTTCATTGAAAGGAGTGTTAAGCGTAAGATGTAGTTTCCCATTGTTTATAATGATTTTCAATAAATGTGTTAAGTTGCCCAAGGGTGAATGAGTTTTTGAGATATAAGGGTGGTAAATCGTCAGTGAAATTCAGCACTTCTGCATGTTGACAAGCTGTAAGAAAGCTATAAACATTTTATACCCTTGATGATATAATTTTCCATTGCATGTTTGAATTCAATTTGATATTTCACAATGATGCACTGGCTAGAAATGAAATTATAGGCTGAAATTAATGTATTAAATTGGCTAATTTATCCAAGAGGAGTAAGTGGCGTAGTTCTGTTATGACCTTTTCTTTGTTTTGAACTGCAGCTTCTGTGCCTTAAAAAAAAAAGAAAAAGAAAGAAAAAAAAGGAACTGAGGCTTAGATGGCTTATTTGTTCATTCATAGAACAATGATAATAATAATAGTCATGCCTGTCATTATCAATGAGGTCTGTAAATCATGGTACAGTTGATACATGTAGTCCTTGAGAGTTGAAAAAAAATTTTTGTATATTTTTTATTTCATGGTGAACAGCATCAGGAACAGTTGTGTCTGCATTCTCCTGGCATCCTACACAAGAGAATCGCATGCTTGCAATATCATCATTTGGTTGGTGAAAAGTTATGACTTCAGTTACTTCAACATTGGAAAATGTTGATAATATAATTTTTTTTGTTTTTACTCTTAGAACTTCTGTATTATTTATTATTTATTCTTCTTGTATTGAATATTTTCAGGACTGGTCCAAGACTGTACAATTTTTGAAAGAATATCTGTAGTAAGTTCAGTTGTCCATGGTAAAACTTATATATCACTGGGAAGGTGTGAGATATCATGATTGTTATATTTCCCCGACTGTTCTACAACATTAAGTATGTTCTTTTTAAGTTAGTTTTGTTTTGTTTTGTTTTGTTACCCCTGCAGACTTGGTCCCCAAACTCCTATCTTACTTGGGGTTGTGGGAAGCATTTACTGGAGTGCTCACAAAAGGTATGTTTGACCTTTACTATGTTATTTCTGTAGGCCTTGTTTGTCATCCAGGTTTATCTGCATGGAACTTCAGGCAGTTTGATATGAACCCTAACAGGTTTCTGGTGTGTAAACAACATTTACTTTTTTTAGCAACTGTTTGCATCTATAGACTGTACTATTCTAAAAATAAATGCTAGAGAAAAACAATGGATACATCAAATAGATGGATATAGAAAAATCAAAATCAAAAAACATATTAACTATCTTTTTTCTGTGCATCTCTCAAAATACTTTTTTTTTTTCCTTCTTTCTCAATTTTTGGACAGACACATTTTACTTTGGCCATTGTAACCCTTTGACACCAAAGAGTGACTAGCATTTAAATGTTTTGTTCCTATATTGCCCCTGAACCAAACATCAAGGTCTCAAGAATAATGGGAATGATCACCAACTAAAGAAGCTCTTGATTGTTAAACAAATTCTTCTTGTCAGCACTTTGAGAAATGTTTTGAGAACAGTTTGGAGAATATACATACTGATGTTAGGTTATAAAAGGTTAACACTCTTAGTTTATGATCACAAAATATTTCTGTCTTCATGCATTCAAGTGTGTGCCTTGGCAGGGACAAAAGATGAAATATTATTTCATTAGTGTCCTAAATTTTTTTTTGTTATTATTTTATCAGATAAATGCTTATTTTGTTTTTGTGGTAGACTACAGAGGCAGCTTTAGAGGAAGATGTCTCATTAAAGATGAAGCGCAGAGCATTTGCAGGATATGGAATTGACTTTTATCAAGTGAGAGATGTTGTTTGTATTTGAAGGGAGGCTTAGAAAAGAGCCCTGAATGGCTTAAGAGAGAGTACTAGATAATCTCTCCAAGCTGTATCCTTTTTTGAAACACATGGAGTAGTTGATCCGGTATCAAAAGTCACTTACTCCTAGTGCCTTATTTCTCTCAGCCATTCAATTGGAGGGCTCAGAGCAAGAACGATCCCTTGATTTTTCAGCCATTTTTGAAAGTGTTCAGAAGTAGTTGACAAATACTTCTGAACACTTTCAAAAATGGCCGAAAAATCAAGGGATCGTTCAGCTTCTTGCTCTGAGCCTTTCAATTGCAACTGTGAGGTGTTGGGATTTTTTGCACCTATTTGTAATAGATCCTAGTTTATTTACATATTTAAAAAGTTGACCAGATTTTAAATGGGAGTTGATTAGTATTGATTGACAGCCAATAATGGTGATAATGATGATAATGATAACATAATGATGTCAATAGGCTGTTTTTTTTCTTTTTGGGCTTAACAGGCACAAGACATTGCAAGAATAACTGGAGATCCTAAGCTTGTCAAGCTGTGGTCATGGATTTATCGTATCTTTTTTTTTTAATCATGTATTATGTATAGGTAGCAATGGAATTATCAGGCTCAGAAAATGATCTCTATATTCAGTCTATGTTGCTGAATGACAAAATTTCAAATAATAGTACATATATATCAGTAAACCAAACTGAAGCATAAGATTTCAGATGGAGAAAAATCCACACAGCAACACAAAAAAGGTTTACAAAAATGTTCACAAAATCTTCAATTATCACAAATGGTGAATTTTAAGTGTATTTCAGTGAGCAGCTGTCAAACTAGATTCTCAAGGAATCATTTGGATTTCCATTTGCATAAACAGAAAGGTGGCAAAATTCACTTGTCAACTTTGACCCGTAAGGTGTGATTAGTGAATCTCCCTTCCAGTTTCTCTACGTTTTTTTGTAGTTTGGTCCTGTTTCAAAATAATGCCTTCACTTGCATGGTGGATATTGCATTCATATTGCAAGGAGAAGATAAACATCAACACTGGTGGGAGTTAAAAGGTCAAAAGCTTTGCAACATTGCTCTTCCAAGGTTTTAGAAGAGGCTCAGTAATTTTGACTCTATCATTGACAAAACTGGAAGAAAAGGATGAAATGGGGAGAGAAATTGGCCAAAATTCTCACATGGTCATTTTTTTTTCTTGGAGAAACCTTAACAATATTTCAGGGGTAAAGTCCATGAGAGAACAAGGTACAATTCACTTTTACTCATTCATGTATGCTAAGTGATGATCTTTAAAGGTGATGAGAAATTTTTGGAGGCTGAAAGAATGTTTCCTTTATGTAACTTTCTTTTCAGTGTGTAACTCCGTGTATAATCTTTTTTCAGATAAATCTAAAACTCTTAAATATGATGGCATCAAATCTATCATTGGTGGAGAGAATGGTGGTGGAGGTATATAAAACTTAGGGAAAACTACTTCTCATAGACTGTATTTTTACAGTCAAGTAATATTTCTTGTTACTGAGGGTTCAAATAACCAGGTTAAAGTTGCAGTGATACACTGACCATGCAAGTCCATAGGGTGTAATTCAAAGGCCTACTATGATCATAATTTATATTCAAAGGTGCAACTGCAAGAAGTAAAGCAGACTCTTACCAAGAACAGCGTCTTGTAGCACCAGTGTACTACAGTGATGAAAGGTCAGAATCAAGCTTGTTATGCTTACTTGTAGTTGACTGTACCCTTGTTCCTGAAGGATGTTGAATTTTTTGTGGCACTTACAATTTATTGATGCAATCAAACCTGTATTAAATGGTGCCATATTAAGCAGTCACCCTGTATTAAGTGACCAGTTGTCAAAGTCACAAATGTGTTTCTCCTTACTCACTGTAATTTTCACCTCTATTAAGTGGTTGCAGTCACCCTTTACTAAGTCTCAACAGCCTGTTTTTATTGTCTTCCACCCGTATTGAACAGTCACTGAAAGTGGGACCACTCAAATGAAATTAAGAATAATCTTTCAAGTTATCATTAATCCATGTTTCTTTCTCAAAATCAATGTGTTTAATAGTATTTTTGAGGGAGATTTTGTACATTTAGTGGTCAAGTAGGGCATTAAGTGACATTGTTTAAAATTTTTTTTTTTTATAATACCCCCCAATCTGTGGAAGCTGTGTTAAGCAGTCAACCTATAATTAGCAGTCACCCTGTTATTCCCCATAGGTGACAGTACAGGTTCCATTGTAATTGTAGTTATTTCTGTGTGATTGCAGAAAGCTGGCTCTTTCTCTTTGTGGCTGGGATTTTAAAAGCTCTGGAAATACACTTGCTGATTTTTTAAACAAGTAAGTGAAAAGCTTAGATTAAATGATTGAGCTAGTTTGTTTGACTAAGGTTTGAGCAATTGATGGTTCTAGGAATTTAAATGACTGAGTTTGGTGCATAATCTTGGAATGGGTTGACAAGACAAACTTGATTCATTCTATAGTTTTTTTCATTGTTTTGATGAAAAGTCACATCAGTTGGCCTTAGCAATTTGTTAGAAAAACATTGTTCTTTTAATTTGTTTTACTAAGCCAGTGGAAAAGTGTGCATCATTTTGATAGTCTCTTAATATGTTTTTCATTTTTGAATCCTTTTTAATAAATAAACCTATAATTTTCTCTTGTTTACAGATTGCAATCTTCTGGACAGTATGAGAGAGCTGCAGCAGTAGCACTTTTCAATAACAAGATCAGAGATGCAATTGAAATATTGAGCTCACAAGGGTCAAATGATATGAAAGGTACTAAAGGTAATATCTTAATTAATACAGCATTCAGTTACTCTTGGTTTAAACTTCACTCTGCACAGAAACACACTCACACTTTTGTGTAATCCTCTCCAAAGAATAGAGTAGTTATTTTGGTGTTCTGATTGATTTCTGGTATTTTTCCAGGAAGTTCCCTGAATGTGGTCGCTATGGCACTGTCAGGGTATACAGAGGAAAAGAAGACTTTGTGGAGAGACATGTGCAGGTCACTGTGTGGTCAGGTGAGTTATAATAGTTATATAAAATACTAATTAAAATTATCTTTCATCAGGGATTCATTTATCACAAAAACAATTCTAGGCAAGATGCTCAAATCTCACAATGCTCCAATCCACTCAGGAGTGTGAGTGGATATTTGTAAACTGACAGATGAACATGACAAAATACTCATGTACACTGAGAGGGAAGACTGGAGACTAAACCATTCAAGAGGAGTTTCAATCATCTTTAGCATTCCTCTGTCATGAGTGACCAAACAAAACTTTCTTCTTTGAATATCAATCAATTTTGTGTGCACTTTGCATTTTAGATGGAGAATCCTTACCTTAGATCAGCTTTTGCTTTTTTGACCACTGAGGCTGAACACTTTGAGAATATTTTGGTGAGTTCCTTCTTTAAATTTTGAATTTTCTGTATATATTGTAAGTTTTACCTGTAAACATGCCACAATCTTTTTGGTAATTGATTATAAGATTTGTACTTTAACACATAAATAGTTCTCAGTACAGAAAAAGGGTCTAAAGCTATTATTATTGTGCAGTGGGAAGAGAAGGTTTGTCTAAAATTGCAATACTACTGCAGTGTACTTCTTAAACCTTCAACCCTTAAGAGTGACTAGCATCTAATTGCTCTTTACAATATCACCCCAGAATCATGTAGTAAGGTCATGAGAATAAAAAAAATTATCACCAGCAAAAGAAGCTGTTGATTGTTACACAAATTCTCCTTGTCAGTACCTCAGGGAATGTATAGGGAACAGTATGGAGAATACTTTTACTGATGTTAGGGTGTAAAGGGTCAAAAGATTGAAAATATGAATGTGCTCTCTTTGAGGCTGAGGAAGGAATTGAAATCGAGGACAGAGTAGCCTTTGCTTGCAAGTACCTTCCTGATCACAAGGTAGGAACACAGCACTTTTAAAACTGCAATCTTTGAATGCTAGCAAGGTGGTATTGACATGATAAGAAGCTCGATTGAGCTGCATGGAACAAAAAGTGAATTGTAATTTCTCACTATTTTCATATATCAGTTGTCCCAGTTTCTTGAAAACTTGTCAACAAAGTTGAGTAATGCTGGGGATCTAGATGGCATTCTGCTTACTGGTAGGAATTATTTCACTTCACCTTCATTCTGTGTTTGGTAAACATAATCTCTCTAAATGTTATGGATGAACTGAAATGAATTTGGAGAAAGGTAAAAAAGAAGTGTATTGCAGTGTAAAATTTCCCTTGAAGTGAAGCAGACTGTAATTTAGGGTGAAAGAACTGTTTGTTCCAACAAAATAGCCTTTTGATGGCAATTAATCAATCAATGACCAAACATATTTTAGGAAGAGTTTTCAATTTTCTTACCTCATCTCCCTTCAAGTAGACAGGAAATTTTTAATTGAATAAGGCATGGACATTGTTATCTGCCAAAATTTTATATGGTGGTTTTAATGAGTTTGAAAGCAATCTTTGCAGTAATGAACACTGCTTATAAGCAGTAGTGAAAATAAGATTTTCATATATTCACAGGTACTTGTATGTACTTGTATGGTAGTTTTAATATCAGTGCCAGAAGAATTAATATTAGTGAATTATATTTTCATAAAGAGTACTTACAATTAACTGGAAGAAAAAATATATACACCGTATCTAATTAACCACTGACCAGCAAACTATGTAACAAGAAATAGAGAGTAACATAATTTGCTTTCATTTGTATTACTACATTGTTAAGTTTCATGAATATACAACACTGTTTTTTATGCTACAAGGCTATCGATATCAATCAGTTCTAAACAATTTCTATCAGTTAAATAATTATTGTCTTTATCCCTTAGGAATTTCAATGGATGGAATAAACTTAATAGAAAAATATGTAAATAAGGTAAAGTCTCCCTCGCTGTACTTCACACACATAAAGATTATTTATATTATCTTTGTGTATTGAGTTTTTCAGTCACAGGTTTTTTCTCTCAGTTTCTTCTATTTTTTTATTTATACATTTATTTTTTCAAGGGAATTTTAGAGGGTTTGTCTCTCTCATAGAGTTATCTGATCAGATTCCTTAAACCAGCTAAACCCTCCAAAACTTGCTTCACTTCCAGGCATGTGGGTTCAAACCTTGCCTAAGCAAGAATTTTTTTCAAGCTTACTCTCTGCAATTGTTTTAATTGCGGTCCCCCCACAAGGATCATTTCTTTGCTGATTTTTTTTCCACAGGTCAAACAAATTTATTTCATCCAATAAAAACAGAAAAAAGAATTCGAGATTGTTCAAGTACCAACGCAGAGCTTGAGAGCAATTGTGTAATTCCTGGGTCTCCAATTTTCCTCACTCTTGAGACAATTTTCTAAGAGAAAACAGAAGGTCTGGAAGTAGACAAGTGATCTCCCATATATATTTTGTTGTGGTTAACATTTGGTTTTCTTAACAGACAACAGATGTTCAAACAGCAAGCTTGGTCTTTGTCAACTGTGTAACTCATATCTCCAGTGAAGTATTCAAAGATCCTAGAGTTTTATCATGGATAGAAAAGTAAGACAACAATTACTTTTTCAGAGAAAGACGTTCATCTATAAAGCACCACTGTTTACAGTTGCACTTTCAAAATTTTAAATATTTATCTGAATGTTTTGGTATTTTCAGTTATAGAAGTCTGCTTGACATGTGGAGGCTCTGGCATCAAAGGTATTGTTTGATAGGGAAGAATTGGTAGACAATTTCCATATTTCTTGGGGAAATTGATGGTATTCAATAAGGAATTGTTTCCTCACGGTGTATTGCTAAGACTAGCTGCATTTATTGTAGTTATGTAGTACAACGGCTATAAAATATATCAAGGATTATTAATAGCTGTGGAAGAAAATGGTTCTCTCTTTTTGTTAATGGTACTATCTGAGAAAACAACGTGTTGTCAAGGCAAGATTTGTCTTTTCAGTTTGTTTTTCCAAGAGGTAATAAACCTTGACTTAAATCTATCACACAAAGTTTTCCAGTTTTCTTGTTTTAGAAAGGGGCACCAATGGGCATCTTGTGAGGGAATAAAACCATCAGAGATATGAAGCCACATGCTTGAAGTGAAGCAAATGCTTACAAGTATTTGTAAAATATTGAGTTTTTTTATCCCTCTAAGGAAATATGACCATGATTCATATATATGTTGTGTCCTTCGACTTTTGTTTATTCAACAATTACTTTTATTTTCAGGTCCCTGTTTGATATTCATTTTAACTTAAAAGATCCCACCCAAAGGCCTCCTCAACAAGTGTTTGTTTCATGTAATTTTTGTGGCAACTCCATCCTTACTAACATGCTATCAACAAGTAAGTGCTAATGTTTCATAACATTTTATCTTCTCTTTGTCTATTGCCATCATTTCTTATAGTGATATTATGAGCATTTACCTGGATCCATTTCCTAGCTCTCCAAATGATTCATGTCCTTATGTGGTGTTCCATTTTAAAGGCTGTTCTAAAAAGGCAAATATTGTTGGAAAATAGACAGTGTTGTCTGATTACATAACTGATTAGTTATCTGTAGTTTGCTGAATGCTGGTTCTTTAGTACTATTTTTTTTGTGGTACTCAATAAAATTTGTTTTGTGGTACTCGATAAAATTTCCTACCCCTCTCACATAAGGTCTCCTTGATTGAGCTCTACTCACCCCACTCTACTTAAAATTCTTGGCGTATGAGTTATATCACAACACTGTACATTCACATTTACTGTAGGAAGTGTGCTTGTGCTTTAATGTAATAATGTGGTGGAAATGAATTGTTGAGCTAACTTTTTATCACTACTGTTAGGTTCAAGGCCTCGTAAACTTGCACAATACTGCAATCCCTCAAACAGAACAAAGGTGTGTCATTATTCACAGAAGAGGCAGCATGATAATGCTGTTTTTTTGGCATGGCCCACAGCTAGCCTTTGGCTTATCTTTTTTACCTTCTTTGACAGTATGTTGGCATGAACAACAATAATTATTGTTGAACACAATTCAATTCCAAAAAACTTGTGAAGTACACAGTCTAACTCCATGAGTTTGAAATGTACTGAGGCAGTTTGACTTTCTACTTCACAAGTGTGCAGACAGCTAATCAGTACAAGGGACCTTTAGCAGTCTGTGAGGAAGACATAGACCAAAAAAAATATTTATCGTGTGTTTCAGATTATGGCTTGCCCAGGTTGCCGTAAGCCTCTTCCAAGATGTGCTCTCTGCCTAGTTCACATGGGAACATCTTCATCACTTTCACAGAAGCCAGCAAATCAAGGTCAAGAGAACTAATATATTTACCAGTATATAAGTTAACCTATAACTGCAAAATCACAACTGAATCTTTCAGTTCCTCTTCTTCCTAGAGAATCTTATCTACATGGAGACTTTTATTTCAGTTGGTGTTCCAAACTGTTACTGTTAAGTAAGATAGTTTAAACAAAAGTGTCTCTGAAATTCAAATGATGCACGTGTAAACAAAACTTTTGAGCTCAGGTGATATAACCACCTTTGATTATCAGCTAAAAAACAAATACTCAATACAAATACTTAAATCTGTTCTTTAGGAGATTCAAGTGCAGAAAAACCAGCAAATGCGCGAACTGTGAATCCATTTCATAACTGGTTCACATGGTGCCAATCATGTCGTCATGGTGGACATTCCAATCATATAGTTGAATGGTTTAAGTAAGTGTGAAATTGGAGATTTCAGTTCTGATACACATGCAACAAGGGAAGTAATATAGAATTCTCCTAAAGTAGCTAAATATTAATGGTGGGGGTACCTTTACAAGCATACCTCTTCCCTTGTGATTTTAGACTAGGCCAACTGAGATGATTTCTTCAAAACTGATGTTTAAGGGTGGGTGGCCCTCCCTCATGTCTTATGAGTCTTTCCCTTCTCTTTACTACCTGGATCAATCTCTTTTCATTGGAATTGAAGTTTTAGAATTCCATTGCATGAGTGTGTACTATAAAGGGAAGGCAATGGAAAAAAATTTCCAGGCATTGGATTAAAACTTTTTGGGAAGAGTGCATATTCTCCTATAGTCCACGACTTGTTTATCATGTTAGGGTTTTCTTTCAAAGTGTTATTAGTTTGTTAGTCACTTAAATGTTAGATTTTGTTTCTCTCCTTGTGCTAAGGACTTTTGCTACCCTTTGTAGAGTTAAAGTGTTTATTTTTATCAAATGATGTATGTGACTGTTAACATTCTGGATTCCTTTTCAGGGAACATATTGAATGTCCTGTTACAGGATGTGGATGTCACTGCATGAACTTAGATTCTGTTGCCATGGCAATGCCAAACAATGACATTTATTCAGTAGCATGAGTGGATAATTATTTTTAAAATAATGTCAAAAAAATTAGACTCAGACTAGCCATTTCTGACGTTTACAGTGTTATCTGGAAAATATTTGTGAAGACACCTTTACAAAATGTTGCTCCTATGTCTGAAAGAAAATATTTTTTCTTTTTCATCTCAAAAATTGGATTTATTTAGTCCTCTACTAATTCAGATATTGCAATTTAATTCATTCTCTACTCTAACAATGAAAAATTACTAGGCTTTTTTTAAAATTGTAATTGTATATATATAAATTAAGTTATGAATCAGTGAACTTTTCTTTTTAATTCTTGGCTCATTGCCCCTAGAACTCTGGTGTGAATTTTTTTTATTCATCATTAGTGGGAAGCACTGATGTGAGACAAAACCATTATGCTTGAGTTACAGTAGACTGATTTTAGGCCTTCTAAGTGTTCATGATTGAAAGCAGCTGTAACCATTACTGGGATAGTTGATGCAATAATATTCCCTTATTCACTTTGAAGCTGCACTTAAAGTCAAATTTCATAAGTTACCATACTTAACTGCAATATTCCCTTTCCTCAGTCTGTGTTTAACAGTCACATTATAAACAGAACATGACATTGGATAAGGAAAGCTGTGGCAGAGTGTTTTAAGAATGAGTGGTAAATTGGTATATTCTTCTTTGTTACTATTTAAGGGGCAATGTGGAATCTTCTTAGACAGTAACAGCAGACACATTTCACCCCAATTTCTTCTGTCACACAAACATAATTGGCAGTTTTCATATGCAGATAATTGCTGTGAAGACGTCGTGAAATAAAAAGTGCTTCAGTCAACAGGTCAATCATTTGCATATGGCTGCTTCCATTCATGTTTGTGTCACAGTAAAGATGAGCCTAAACTTTAACCAGGTTCATTGTTTATTAACTAAAAGGATCAGCCCTGTCTGAAGTATCTAGTGGTATTTTTGTCAATCTCTCTAGAAAAGTATTTTACACATCGCCTACCGCTAATTTAATTAAAAATTCATGTGATTCCTTAACATTTTTTAATTGTAAGGAAAATCTCAAAAAATCCAAATCAAAGATATTTCACAAAGGGATTCTTTGAATTAAAATCATTGTCATAAACAAATGTGGTTTTGATCAAATTGTCAACAGGTAAAATACCTCGCCAACCATACATTGACTTACCCCAGAAGGTGTATGGACTTGCTCCCCCTCCTGTGATCAGAACTAGTTGACCTTGAATCCACGTTAGCTCTTTGACCTCTAAGAATGACTAGTATCTAATTTCTCCCTACAAATGTCACCCTTGAATCACACATTAAGGTCACAAGAACAAGGTAATTGATCACCAACTAAAGAAGCTCTTGATTGTTAAAGAAATTCTCCTGATCAGCACCATGGGAAATGTATAAAGAACATTACGGAGAATGTGCTTACTGATGTTAGGGTGTAAAGGCTTCAGATTAAGGCCTTTGAAAGAGAAAGGTGTTTTAAACTATTCTTTCCCCAAGATTCAAATACCAATTTTAAGTCTGCCATACATTTGCTATATATATGGCAAATAATTTTTTTGTGAAATCCAATGATATACCTATAATTTATTTCTTCTTTTTACCTTTCTGTATTGAGATTTACTGATATTGTGAAAAGAAATTTCTTCTGGGTCACTGTTGGGAGTGAAAGGGTTACATATTACAATATCACTCAAGAATCACACAATAGGGTCACCTGGCAAAAGGAAATGATAATAAATAAATAAGCTCTAAATTGTTAAACAAATTCTCCCTGTCAACACCTTAGGAAATTTTAAGGTTAAAGTAAGGAGAATATACTGAGACGAAATGGGAGACAAGATGTAGAATTTCCATTTATTTGTTAAAAGATTGTAGCTCTAAACTACTCTTCAATAAAAACAGTGAGGGTTTACATGCAACCATATTTTCCTTCCACATTGTCTCTTGTTTCTTTTCCATAACAGTTGCAAACATCTCCACCAGGCCAATAGAGAAAAACAAATCTTAGTCTCAAATAATGAGCAACACAATGCGAGGTGTTGGTCTGGAAAAACATGAAGACTAGTCAGCTAGGAGTCTTTTTTAGGTTCATTTAACAGTCTTTACTTTCTGGTTCATGACGAGGGAATAACTTCATGTTTTTATCTGGTTAGTGGCCAAATCCATTCAACTGTGTAGATCCAAATATTTCAGGGAAGTCAGCAGCTAATGAAACAGCTTGACTATAGGCATCCAGGTCTATTGACAAAAATTATTCACATAACTGTAAAATAGAACCTCTATTTTATGTTTCCACCAAATAGAAGCAGAAAGCTACCAAAAAAAAAAAGCTTAAAAAAAATTGACATAAGTACTGTTAATCTCAACCACTTATTGAGTTGAAAGCCATATCTACCACAACATCCATTAACCCTTCAACTCCCATGATCTGATTGTTAATTCTCCCCTTGAGCTGCTAGACATTTCCTTGGAAAACAGTTTCTAGAATTCAGAGTTGGACCATGATAACTTTCTACCTGATAAGTTTGAGTATTCTCACCACCTGTCCGCTGGATAGTTTATAACTTATTATAGGGAGAAGTTACATGTTTATCACTTCTGGGAGTTAAAGGGTTAAATCATTGGTAAGCAGAGAATTATATCTAAAATCACATGACAAAAGCAGAAGCATCCTTACCAAAATCATTGCTGTATGGAATAATTCTGTGTCCTGACAGCGAACAATTGTTCTCTACTCTTCCTATAACCTCCACTGCCCCTTGGAGCTTTTCATCAAGCTAAAAATTTTATTTAACAGAACAAGTAATCAGAATGTGTTCTTCGATACTGAGTGAACAACTTTTCATTTGAATTAAAAATATAAATCATTTAAAGATAGGACTTACTGGTACATCCAGAGTGACTTTGACAACCTTGTGGTCACAAGCCATGAGCTTAAGCTCAGCACCATTTGAACTGATCTGCAAGAAAAACAAGATGAGTCTTAAATTGAACCAGTATAGAAAAAGCTGAATTGCTGAATTATAACCCTCGCATTCACCACCTGAAAATTGAAGAAAAAAAATAATGGATAGTCAGGTCAGAAGCCTAGTCAATCCTACCAAAGCTAATTTTGGTCTATAGATTTCTTCTTTGCATTTCTTTGCAGTTAGCACACTGAACTCCAAGAAGAGAGGTCCAGTTCCAGATCAAGCCGGGTCATTGCCTCTCTCTGCCCAGGAGTTTAAATCAGAACAGGCAAACTGTTAGGGAGGTCCTGTGAAATGCTAGGGGGGTAACCTTGCAATAGACTGTCATCCCATCCAGGTGGGAATAGAAATACCCCTGGATACTTGATACTACAGAAACCAGGATAAGCTCTGCTTGAATAGCCACTGGGCTCAAGTGCAGACATAACCTGTGCATTTCTTTTAGTTGCCCTGACAATTCATCAGTTCCCCACTTTTACTCCTCAGTGTACATGAGTGGCGAGTGTAAAAAATTAAAAAGGAACACCATTACTATGATCACTTTTCAGCTTTGAATTTGGTCATAACAATAAGTAGCTAGTCAGCCAAAGAAGATGGTAGGAAAGAAAGAAAAAGACTGAGGCTGAATGAAGAGGTGAATAGAAAAACAGCATGAATATGAGAATGAAGAGGTTATATTTGACAGGCGATTATACAACAAGAATCCAGGAAAGATTTATCTATAACCCTATCTATTCTCAAACAAAGATGTAGTCCCAAAACTATTCTATGGTTTTCACTGTTGTGTTTATCCAACAACTGGTAAATTTTTTTTTTTAAAAAGAATGATCTTAAAAAATTATGAGCTATCAAATGCCTGAACTGCAATCTTCAACAGTGAAATGTGAATGACAAGAAGCGGAAAATCTGAATAAAAAAGCGTGAAATTGTTAAATAATAATACAAACAATTATGAATGTTTGTTAAAAATAATGTTGTATTGTCCAAGCAGTGGATATGAATTATTGTCCACATTGGGAGTCAGTTTGGTATTCCAAGTTTCCAGTGTCTTTCCTGTTCTAAAACCACCTTTACCAATTATAGAAGCGTTTTCAAAGTCAATATTTTCAAAATCGTGATCATCATTAATCCAGGATAATTATTAATCCAGGAACTGTTTGCATAATTAAGTATGGGGCTAAGTAGAAATCTTGCGAAAATGGCATCCATTCGTTCGGGAATTTTTATTTTGCGGCTCAGTCACGTAAAAGTGAGCAAACGTACAGCAATAATTAAGCCATTCTAAACTTTATTTGAAAATAACAGACAGTCAGTGAAGACTAAGACATTCAAATTTCGTCACGAGATCGAATAATGGTCATTTCCAATTCCCCCTTCCAGCCTCTCGCAAAGAATTAGCTATTTCCCCACAAAAACCCCCACTAGGTACAGCCATGCATGAATTATCAATTAGCAATCTACCTCTTTGCCGATCTAGAATAATAAAATAATATACTTATTAGCTGCAGTTAGTATAACATCGAACATCGAGTGTAGACCTTTCACACTCTTTCTTCGTACTTACCTCTGTTACATTTCCCACAAGACAAACAGTTTTCCCAGAATATTGGGTTAACATAGAAGCATTGACTCTCGGTGCCTCCATGTCAAAAACACGGGGAATGATCGAGGAAATTCCAAGATCTTTGTGCCAATAAATAAAATTCTCAACTTCGCGGAATAACTGATAATTTTGGCGCGCTGTTCAACTAGTACTTAGTCCCTTTCGTACAAATTGAAAGGCTAGTTACCAGGACCATGAATCATACAGAAGTACTTCATGTAATTCGCCTATTTTGTCTAGAGGTCTAGCCGCTATTTTTAGAACACCCGTTGTCACGTTAGTATCTCTAGGAACTAGTGATCATCCATTTTGTCGTCATTGCAATTTCTGGTTGTGCCTGTTATGCTGCAAGCAGCTGGACTTGGAAATGAGCTTCCTTTCTAGTATTTACGCGAAGGTTTTGGGAACGAACTCAAAGAAATCGGAGGAAACCAGTTCGGACGGTGGAAACGGTTTCGCAGAAGCATACGACAATGAAGACGGCTTTGTATTGTACACTCCTTATCAAAACAAGCGATGCAAGGTATGAAACACAGTTTGTTTCCTTAAGCTAGCTCTAGGAAGAGGAGAAATAATTAGAGTAACAAGGTCAATCTTAGGAGCTAAGTTTCTTGATTTTATTGGTGTAAAATAGCGTGTGCCTTATTGATTAGATTAGACCGTTAGGTGGAAAGAACTATGTCGGATCTTTCGACACAAGCTTAAACTGGATCTTCAGTATTCGTGTTTATCTCGCCAGCAGTATTTTTTGAAATAGCCTCACATCTTTCCAGGTGATTTCTTGGATTACAGGCCAAAGTTATATATAATTTTTCAAATCATGCATTATTTGACTGATAATTATGAAATATTTGGTTATAAAAACGCTGTAGAGTAGTTTCCTTGTCCGCATCGACCAATGCTTTTGTGGGTGATTTCACTCCACACCATAGGAGACGGAAATGTTCAACAGAATTTCCTTATGGACATGTGGAAAGTCACCTGTATAGTTTGATTTTGTTAAGAAGACATAAGCTATTGAATCCATGGAATCAGATAAATAAACTGCAGTGAGCCTCAGGGATTGTTACTCAGTAGTACTTGTTCTTTGCTGATCAACTGAAGACCCCAGCATACCCAAGTCATACTTCAGAGTGGGCTTGAAATCCATGTTACCTAAAAATGATTTGAACAATTCTTACTCAATCACAAGAGACTTGATTTTTGCAAGTTTTGGGAAGTGAAAAAGAACCATTAAGTTAGATGTGACAGAGTAAAACCCAACTCTAGAGGCGAAGAAAAATGCTGTAATTCATATTTTCCTATGTTGCTATATAAGGTGTGAAGTGAAAAAGTGAAAATTTTCCTCCCTGTTTAAATATAAAGCCTTCTAATCTTAGATTTGACTCATTGGATTATTATCTAAGTTTTTTCAGTTGAGGCTTGGTAAATGTGCATTTTTTATTTTGAAGAAAGTTTGGTCTTGTCATACCCTTGGTAGAATAATTGTTGATTCAGTTTTTTTTAGGTAAAATCAGATTTACTATTTCCCCATTCCTACAATTCAACACCAAAGTTTTCCAAACCAAGCTCTAATATATTGTTATTAGTTACCTTTTTCTCCTTTACCAATTCCTCAATCAAAAGAGGGTGGCAAAGATTTTATATGCAATGAGTAATAAAGGCCAAAATTATTAATATTTGATGCATGAATATTAAAGAAAAGTGAGTTTGACTTATGTATTTATGAACCAATATGCGGCATGATTTGAGTCCTGAAATATTGGTGACCCATGAATGTTTTGTCTTATATTGTGGAAACCTCAAGATTTCCTTGAAACATTGTACACAGGAAGAGAGATATGAAGGTTTTCCTTTTAAATACATGTACATGACACATGACTTTTTCGAAAAATTGAGCTTGAAATGGGATCAGTTTCCCCCTTTGCTACCCTCTCAAATTATGCAATATTTTTCAATCAAAAGAAATCTGTAGATGCTCTAGTCTCCTATTTTCATGGTCATTTTTCCTGTGGGAAATCTTGATTGTAGACGAGATCCTGAAATTATTTGAATTAAAATAAATTTTTTTTCATTTTTGTAGCAATCTGATTACAACCCTGAATCTAGAAATGTGAAAGTGTTTGAAAATTACCAGAAGAGCTGTTCATATCCACCAACAGGTAACTGTCTTACAGATCTCTTACTTCCATTTTCCTATACCTTTGTCCTTTCCCCTGTTAATTTTTATCACTCAACAAACTATTTTTATGTAAATTTTTCTGTTTCTAATATTTTTCTTTAAAATGTTAATTTTCAAATATTAATTTTTCAAACTGAATTGTTACTAAACAAAGAAACAAAACTGAAAATGTTTTTTATATCATCAGTATTTCATATTTTTAGAGAAAGAGGAAAAACTTCATAGTAGCCTTAAAAAAACAGGGCAGCTGTATGATATAACTGCCCCGTATTTTTAAGGCCATTAAGAAGTCTTTGTTCCTCTTTCCCCAACCCAATTAAGCCCTCTGATGTCCAAATTCATTATTATGTGCAAGGCCATAACCCTATAAATCTAAAGATCTGGACTAAAATTCTCCCCACCAACTTCTGCACATTTTCTTCTGGGTAAGTTAGGAGAATTAGGTACAGATTTAAAAATGACTTTCTCTAGTTCTTATAGGCCCCTATGTGTGCTTTTCTCTGCCTAAAACTTGAGGAATAGTCCCCCCCCTCCTTGGGTTACTTTATATCTACTCTGTTCATGTCGCACATTTTTGTCAGCTCAAGTCATTTCTAACTTATGCTTTGTTAACTGATCTCTAGGTTCAACTGCTTACACAACATCTACTTCAAAGACAGCATCAAAAAAGAACACAACTTTCATTACAGTCTCTGATATTCCAATGGAACTGTCTAAACAATTGCAAGCTATTTTACACACAAATCAAAGGACTGGTAATGTCCTGAGAAAAGCTTTGCCAAATATCGATCAATACAATTATGACTTTTCACTGGAGAGAGCTGTCATCAGTTCATTAGAGGGGATTTCATGACTTTTTATCAAGCTCTGGAACATTTGCAAATTTGATTTTGCATCACAAAGACTTCATGGATAAGTCAGGACATTAGCGTTGAATCCTTTCTCTCCCTGAAGGGAAAAATCTGTGGACTTTCTGCATATGTTACTACAATGTCATTCAGAGAATGAGTAGGGCTTAGAAAATTACATAATACCAAATTCTCAAGAATAGCCGTCATTGGGATGTGTGGTCATCTATTAGGAAAATTAGCCCATCATTAGTCGGACCAGAGTAAAAGGGTTGAAAGATTGAAACGGACAGCATATGGACTAGACTAGACTAGAAAGTAAAACAGTCAGATTACTTGACGTGTCTTTTGTAATTACAATAGCATGTAGTACAGGCGTCTTGTTAATTTCTTTCTTTCCCCAGCCTTCCTCTTACAATCAAAGATAGTGGCTATAATTTTCACTGAGAAAAATACTGAGCGCTCACTCCCTAAAATTACATCTGCTCTTCAGGCTACAATAACTAAGGAAATCTTTTGATATAGCTTAAAACAATTTCAATATTTTTAAACATCTATTATTTGATGTATACTGGCTTCCACATTCTTCATTTTTCTCCTTGAAATTGTATGAAAAAAACTCAATCATTTCACTTCAAGTTTTAATTATTTTTCTTATAATTGGGGTTACTATGGCAACATTACAAGCTCTTAAAACAACCTTTTTTTGCCGCATATTTTTTATGTCTAAAATAAGTTTGCTGACCCTCTTTTTTTTAATCACTGAATATTAATCAGTTGCAAAGTTACATAAAAAATTTGTACAAATAGTTCAGAGCCGCACCAATTCTTTTTAATGTAAAATACAGCTTTGTAATAGATGTAGGTACATGACATTACCTGCAAAGATAACCTTAAAACATACAAATGTTTTATCTTGTATGACAAAATGTTTCTCTGGATTGACAATATTTTACGTTATGTTACGAAATGACTCCTACCCCAGGAACAAAATAAACCCTCTTAGGTTTGGTATCTGGAGGTTTCATTTTGATCGAAATGTATTATGATTTTGGCAGAATACGTTCTGCTGTAAAATAACGAGTGGAAAGATTTGGGGGTGAGCGAATAAAGGCGTGGGCGAAGTCGCCTTACTTCGAGGGGCGAGCTTACAATGGGAAGAAACCTCCATAAACCCTTAGTTACCCATTTTGATTTTCTGAAATCTTGCAATGAACTTCATGATGTCTTAAATTCCCTATGGGCCAATTTCCACAAGGTATTATATTCTCTTAAAGCAGACATATTTCGTTCTAGAGAATCTAGATCATGATGAGCTATAGTATTAATTCTATCAGCCATGAACGACAGCCATTCATCGTTTAGCCATTCGTTTAGCCATTCATCTATGGAAAGTTGTCTTAATCAATCAAAGCACCACATTTTCTAATATTTCCCATAATTGAATCAATTTATGTTCTGTCAACTTTTGCCTAAAGATACGAATGCTAATTTGTCTAATTTGTACGACCAGTTCTAAAAATCTACCTCGCTTGACATCTCAAAGTTGTGCGCTGAACGAGGAAATACGCATTAATCTGTTTTTGAAAAGACCAGCTTTATATTGAATCACCAGCAATGCTACTCAAGCTGACTGCAGGCCTGTATGCAAAGTACCGCATGTTGTTACCTTTTAGACGTCATAAACTTATCTCGTTCACTTTAAAAAAAAAAAATTGTCGAAATTTCGTGATAGACATCGTTATAAAACAATCTGTCTTTTGGTAAGGGTGAGTACATTGAAACAGTAAAACTAAACAGAGAACTTGCAATTTCAGGAAGGAGTATTCGACGCTCAGGTATTAGTTAGAAAAGCTCTGATTGTTGTGGTCCTAATTAACCAGTGAAATTTTACTAGAGGAACTGATTCACGTTTTACAACTATTTTGTCGTGAGGAAACGAACTCGCCATTCTCAGTTAATCATAGTAGGCTCCAGCAAAGTCTAATCTGGTCTGTAATCAAACGAGCGACAGACAAAATGGGCGACCTTTGTTGAAAAAAGGGCGACGGCGCTGTTGGAGATCAACTCGCTTAATCAGAGTTAATTTCGAAGGTGATTCAAGACACGAAAGGTTGCTAAGAACTAGAAGGAAAGTTCGTTTAAAAGGAAGTGCAAGTACAATTTAACAACCAGGACATAACTTTTAGAAAATTTCAATGAGGTTTTTCGAAGGAATTACACAAGAACCAAGAGAATATATTCTCTTGGAAAAAGCCAAGCGTATTGCTCAGCAAGATGCCGTGCCGATTGTTTATAAAAATGACAATCTTCCAAGACGGTTCTAAAGTTCTCGTCTCTGGCGGAAATATTATTAAAATTAATTTCATAGCTTCAATTTTTAGAACATTACGTTCTGTGGATCGAATCACAGGAAGAACCGAGTTTAAAACAGGCTCAAGCTACATTAGTAAATGATATCCTATAAGATTGAGGATCGAATTCGGCCGGCGTTTTTTAACTATCCACTTATTGGCATAAGTTACGTTATCACGCATAGGATGAGCATATGTCTGTTAGACTGAGTCAGCGTCTTTGCACGTGTATCATAAGTGAAATTTTATTATTAAGTTTAACCTTTAACCAGACACAGAAGCCGCTAAGACTTCTTAGCGCCAAGATCATACGCCCGTTTTAGTGGCGTCCGCTCCGGCTGGGCTGAAAACCGAGCAGGTGCTGAAACCCACACGATAGTGAAATAAGCAATAGAGTAAATATCTCTTTACAAACACTTCTACTCGACTGTAGCAATAGCAACTTGAAAGATCACGGAATTTTTTTGCTTAATTGCACTATATCTTTTTTGATGGCAAAGAGAAGGAGTAGGGGGAGGCATGGGCAAAAGTTACATAAAACATAACAGACGTAAAACTTGGTATTTATCCCCTGCCCCCCCCCCCCCCACTCCCTACTTGCTTTTCAGCCTATTCTGTCTGGAATGAACAATGATGAAGGGGTTTTGAATGCTTTACTGAAGAATTTATGTTGGAGCTCGAGGAAGGGGGAGTCCCCTACTTTAATCATGAAGGAGCTCTTCGCAAGTGCGACCTTGTTAAATAAGGAGCGAACGCGAGACCAGAATCAGCAAGTCGGTGCTAAGTAGAATTTAATTTTTTTTGTCTTGTCACGAGCGTGAGACAAAGAAAAAAATTGTGTCGCCATGAGGAATCGAACCTCAGACCTTCAGATTCCGCGCTCCGATCACTGAGCCACAGAGAACTCGATGGTGAGCGAGGCCCATTAAGGAGTTCATATATATTGTTTGCCTGCATTTTGCTTTCATTAGGAAACGTGAGCTTATCTTTTCTTGCTGTTAGGAACCATTCGTTATTTACAGCCTGGGATGAGAGGAAAAAAAATTTTTTTTTTTTTTGGGGGGGGGGGGGTCACATGGTTTTCAGAGGGAACGGGGGGAGGGACAAAATATAAAGGGGGACTGAGAAAATTGACTTCCTCTCTCCCTCCCTCCCCCTCTTCAGGTAATAAATATTGAGCAGTTACTCGTGTGATATTTTTTTATCAAATTGAGTTCAACACTGGCGAGGATGGGGACTTTGTATACTGAGTCCTTTAAACTAATAGATCTAGATTTGTTACTCGTTTCTGTGAGTTAGGCAATAGATTTTCACCACTTGAGGCACGATGAGTGGTTCTACAGTTATCTTTTGGTAGTTTATGACGCAAAGGACATCATTCTGTAGTCTACACTAAAACAATAGATGGCGACAGTGAAGATGCCCTCTTATTGGCTACCCAAACTCCGAAGATCCTTTGCCATTCATCTCGCGTGGGATTTGCGCCCGAAAATATTGTAATCGTTGCAGGACTAAATGAGTTGAAATTATCTTTTTGTCTCGCAGTTTTAGAATACACTAAAACAACTATTCACCAAAGTGGTGGTGGCTAGCGGTAGATATTTACCCCAAAGCTTCGCGGCTCGGAGAATATCCGTTATTAGCTACCCCTACTTCGGTGAACACTTGTTACAGACAATTACAGACAACTTGGATCGCTTTGCACATATTCTTTTGCTTTTGTCAGTATTTTTTCCTTGCCAAACAACAAAGAAACAAGAATAAAAACTATTGATGCCAAAATGTGTGCAGGAAATTGCCAGGTTTTGCGACGGCAATCCTCTTTTTCACCTCCACTGACGTCAGTAGATCCGTACACAAACCCTAAACTGTGATAGGAAATCTCAAGATAATTGTTGAGCAACCTAAAGCCATACAACAATAGGAGTAAAGGAAATAATTTACAGATTTGCAGACCAGGAAATCAATCAGTTTTTAGAATCATTCGTTTTTAGAGTCTCGCCTAATTTTTAAAAATCGATCTCGATCTTCTAATTAGGCTGGGTTTGAACAGACAGGTATCAAGCTAAACAGGGCAAAATTTAAAAGTTCTGTGCCGTGCTACTTTAACATTATTTCATATATGTATGTATTTTTTAATGCAATCTGCCCGGCTGGCACTAGATAAAACAGCGCTTGATTTGAGAAAAACACCTGCAGTCTTTTTTATCCTCGCCGCTTGACGAAACGACAACAATGTCTGGATGAAAAATCACTCCGAAGAATGACATGCAGGTAATCCTAAGCAGCCTTCCTTGGGCGAATTTTCTTAATCTTTGTCAAGGCATAAACCTTGCGCGATGAATCAAGTTTTTAATTATAGTACTAAAATCACACCTGGCTATGATTGGTCACTTCTTTTCCTCGATGACGTCACATGCCCTATGAATGGGTTCAGTTATCAATCATTTTCACTTACACCGTAGCTGCTAATACTACTACTCGAGGCACACTTCTCTTGGCTGTAAGTTCATCTTTGGATACCCTGAACCAACACTTCCACGAGACACCAACACGTTCCCATAAAAAGCTACGAAACTGTGTTTGCTTTACCGAAAGAAAATCTAACCATAAGGTACGATTTTATGATCCATTGTTTTTAAGATGAGTGTTTATATATTATATGATTTATTCTGAACATATCTACCGAGTGTTCGAGCGCCTCGGAATAAAATTAATCGGTGAATCGGTGAAATTTTCTGATTCAAAGCATTGATCGCTAGAAACAGGATTTACGTCGTTCGATCAGGTGATGAGAAGGTAAATATGAGATTTTCGAGAAGAGAAATCTAAGTTAAATGACGCTCTCTCTCTCTTGCTTAGCAATCAGTTTGCTGTATATGCTAATTTCTTTCGTAACGTAATAACCTTTCGTTTTTGATATGCACGTTCTTGTCTGTACGCCTCCCTCGTCGCTTGGGGTTAGATTTTCATAACCCGACTAATCGTCATACAATTTATCTGCAGAGTCACTGCGTGATCAGTTCATGTTGAAATTTAACCGTCCGATAATTTTTTCCGGCGAAAAAGTTTTGTTTCTAACTGACGAACATTGCCGTTTCGAGCGTAGTGACGTCATGGCGTTTTTCATCTCCGCAGCTGTCTATTGCGAACCTGCGCGGAAAATTTTATAATTATTTATCGTGTAAAGGAAATCGAAAATGCTAGTTTTCAAATCACGTACAGAAAAAGGATGCATATCTATTCTTGTGAGTAAGCTTTATGAAAGAAAATTCGTGGTTAAAATATTTATGTTAGTTTTATCTCCCCGTCAAGTATAAAATCTTCGCGGCCAAAGGAGCTTATTGTTGAGCCGAACAGATTCGCTTACGTTTAAGATTACTTTTCTTTCTGCGACCTTTTCATCTATAGGGGAAGTACTTTCAGTCAGGAATGATTAAAACTGATTTTGAAAGCTTGAGAAAGTATCAAAAACGCTACATCTGTTTAAAAATTCGAGCAAAAAATTTTGCACCAAATAAAAGGATACACTTATGTGCTGCATATTTATGAAATAAAACATTAGTTTAGATAATAGCTGTAAAACATATCCCTTTATCAGTGAAATTAACATCATTTGTATTTAAGCAAAGCGAAATGTCAAAATTAAAAGATTTCTCTTTCCCTAAAAAAATGAAACACATCTGGATTAAAAAAAAATCAAAGCTAACTCCTAATTTAACAAGGTTAGATTGAATAAAAAAAATCTATTTCAATTTCCTTTCATTTTTTTAACTTATTTATCGAAAACCTCTGACGATTATTTTTATAACGCTGAAACTCAAACAATTACAGAAGACTTTCACAACAAGAAATGACTCAGCCAATAAAGAACTTCTTAAAATTATTGCTTAAATTGTTTCAATAACATCTTCTGTTTTATTTTCTTTCTCTTTAACTTAATCTTAGCGTTCAGTCCTCATTTTTAAATGCATATACCCTACAAGGATATATTTATAATCCCAAAAAAAACGAGTCAATACTTGAATAAATTGGCAAATATTCCAGTGGCAGTTTTTGTTTCAGCACATCAGTGTATGAAATTTTTATTTTTTACTTTTAATTTTCGAGACTAGTTGCCCATGCAGTCTGGGGTGGTTCAAAAGACTCCGTCTGACTCCGTCTGGCGTCACTCCCATTGCAGCTGTTGTTTTTAATTCATTAATGCCGCGTGTACAATTCCAAAATAGACCAAAATAGTTACACTTGTCAGACAGGATCCACCAATGTGTGGAGCGTTATTCTCCGTATTTTATCCCCAGATATCTGAGAATGTAGAAATTGAAATATAATTTATCCAGGACGAGGAAGAGGACGTTTTTTGCTCAAATTCGGAACTGTATTGTGTCTTAAGGGCTATACCGCCTAAAGCGCTTTTCTATTGAGTTATCATGTCAGCCAATCGGAAGAAAGAGCAGGGGCAGCGTGTCGGGGAGTCAATAAGAACTTCAGGTAAGTGCACCTGAACTGCTTAAAGCGCGGGAAAACGCGGATGACCAAGAAGCTCATTGTTGTAATCTCCATATGACACACAAACTTTTTTACGTTCAAAGACTTCCCCAGACAGTTATGATAATTCTTCACTTTATTTTTTCTACAGTGGGCTTAAATCCCATATGCGAATCTAATTGCTAATACCGCGTTCGTAACCAGTCCAGTTTTTTACAATACGGACCACGCTTCATAATTTTTTCCGCGCCATTCGCGGCAAAGTGGAAAAAAGCAAATGAGCGGAAAAAATAGATATGTTATATGCTGGTCTAAGTCCATTCGTAAAGGAAAAAACTGTGCCCTTGGTCTTGAGTATGGCCCTCGGCCTTGCTTGCCTTTTTGCGACTCGTAGGAGTAGAAGTTCCCTCCTTATATAGTTCTGGCAACAACACAGATTGGCAACGGTCACTAATATTTCTTTGACGAGACATTTTATACGTCAAAACGGTTACAATGACAACATCCATCGAAGCCTATAGGACCCATGTAAATGTATTCGTTATAAAAGGCTATGAGACCCGTACGTCAGTCCTACTTACTAGAACCAGAATGCAGCCACATTCCTAAGTGGGAGGCTGATAGGCTCGAGTATAGACTAAACATATTTATGACATACTACCCGATTCCTCTCACTAATTTACAGGAAAATATACAGTAGTTATGAGGAAGTATTAAGGGACTTCTTCTTGCGTTGCCCATGAGACAGCTATGTCACAGATATTAGTATTTAACGGGACTGTATCTTCACCAAGAAGATCTTACTACTGCTTTTTCCGAGTCAAAACTATAAACAAGGTAATAATCTTTTACTGGAAAAAATTACAGTAAGAAAAAAGGTAATAATGATCTGTGAGCATCTTAAATTGCATTTGAATAAAATCAGTCCCACTCGCTCGCACAGTAGAGAACCGTAAAAATCGTTGCTCTCTTTGATAACACTGGAAAAGTTCATAATAGGACTATGCTTCAGTCAACTTTGACTTACCCAAAGCGGAATCTCTCCAAAGACACGCACAAGGAAACACCTTCATCCTCACCACCTGTCCTAGTGATCCCAAGGGACTTGTTTGTTGTCAGCTTTTTCAAATTCCAAAACAATTGACTTGACTCCTAGGAACGCGTACGAAGGTTATAAAAAGTACTTTGAACTTTCAAGTTCTTAAGTGATTGAAAATGAAAGTACTCTCAACAAAAGAAAATTAAACGATTGAACAATAGAATGACAATGAACTTGAAACACGGAACGTTTTAGCGGCCGAATCCTGGCTTCTCGAGTGTATTCACTGGAAGCCTTTTTAATCTTATCCCTAGAAAGTTCTTTACCCGCCCGCAATTTTTTGCCTTTATCTCCTCACAAGTCCTCTTTAGTCCCAACTTTTTGTGCCACTTTTATGATAGATATAGAATGTTTGGTCCTGGATTGCCTAAAGCATGAAACCCGACTCGACCGCGCTCGAGAGAGAAACATTCCCAAGGGATTGAGGTACTCGGGTCAGTTCTTGCTGGTTCTCCGCCGCTGGCCTCTTACAACCTCTGTCCCATTGAAGTCTATTCTGAACTTAGTTACTTTTGGTCAACAGTAACAACTTTTTAACCGTGAATCTTCCATTTTTAAATCCCTAATTGCTAGAATTTTTTTTGACGAGCAAAATCTCGCAAATGTGCGACGCTATTCTATTAACTCTACTGAAAATGTAACCCCATTTTAATCAATCCAGTCGTGAACACGCGATCCAAACCAGTGGCACTGCCTATTCCTAAGAAGTAGCAGACAATCTTACACGCGAAAACCACCAATCTCTACACCCTTCATTACTTCGAACTGCCATGCGTAATCGTGTCACTACGGGAGAATTGTCACTCTCGACAGAACGCAGAGGTACTTATTTGCTGTTCATCGAATCAGGTTCTCTCTTGTGACTGTTTCTTCGGTCTTTCTTTGCATATACTCTCTTACCAGGCGTGAAAACCTGGCAGATTCTAGCTAGTATTAAATATCTTAAAGTCACGCACACGATAAAATATTAAGCTGACACTCTTCGGTTACTAATTTTCAATCCATACCGATCCTCGATCTTTTTTCTTAACCATCTTCGTTCGCTTTTGATTTATTTGTCTGTCCCTAATGATTTCTTTCTTCCTTTGTTAATTTTATTTCACTTCTTCCACACAGTGAAGGTAATTTTCTCGTCTAAGAAAACGACTCGAATGACCGCGATGTATTGACTCCGAGGGTGGCTTTGTCAGAGCGAATTGTTATTACTAATATTTGAAAGCAATTTTGATATTCATAGCACGTTGCATGGTTGTGCAACGCTAAATTTACCATTGTTCTAGGCATTTGTCTCAGAGAGACATCTTGTACAAGACGCTTATTACTAAAATTGCAATTTTTTAAGGGTTCATGACCCCGAAAAGTATGTTGTATTTCTCGGCACGAACCCCTACTAGCTGATCTTGGGGAATGTTCCCCCCCCAACCCTCTCCACTTTTACAGACGTCTTAGAAACCCTCATTTGACTGTTCCATTTACGCAAAACTCCGGCACTTGCTTTCTTCGCGAAAAGGACGGCAATTTTTCATTGTCTCCAGCTTTTCAATCACCAATCCAATTTCGTGTCGCATACGTGCTAGTGCTTTGTCTTTTTTTTTTTGTTCGTTTTTTTTTTTTGCAGTTTTCGTGCTTAATTCGTGATCAACACAGCACGCAGTTCCCAGACGGACGCAATGTCGCCATACTGTTTGGTCTTTAAGCGTGTCGGCATGATATAGTGATCAATGTTCTACATGCATGTATGCTTTTAAAATGCAAATACTTGAGCCATATCTACCCATGCTGTGGTCCAGCTTTTCATTGTCTAAACCCACGTGCTTAAATGCTGTGTTATCATTATAATTTACTCTTTGGTCGATAAACGATGTCGTTGCAGCTTATTGTATATCTCTTTCAGTCAAATCTTTCCATCAAATCCCTCCCCTTAACAAGTGTGGCTTTTACCCCTGAGAGCTTTAAAAAGCTTAAAAGTACACATTTTTTATAGAATTCGGAATCTTGGCATTGATATGTGCAGATAGGGCGGACAGAATCACCTTAATCCGAAATGCAATGACAAGCTTTCAGATTTCAGTGTTAAGAGCCGCTAGGATAACAAGCTATAGAAAAGTCCTTGACATGTTGTAGAAAGAAACAATAGCCATCACCTTTGTCAGGAAAATTATCAGGTTTCTTATTAAAAACGCGAGAAGAATAGTACCAATTCATTTTGGGTAGAAATTACAATTCTACCTTGATTGCCTTGAAAGGATATTGGAATCGACCTCGTTAATAGTCTTTTCTTAAATAAAAAAAAAAAAAAAAAAAAAAAACACGCACACACATTCGCGTAAACAAAAACACTTTTTCAGCTTGTTTTTCTTCCATCCCGTTCGCCTTTCGGTGTTCAATATCACTTTAATCAATAGCATAAATTTTCGGGCCCAATCCCAGTTTAGTTGAGATAGTCAAACCCCTCGTTTTCAACCCTTCTAAAATGATAGCGAACTTGCATTTCCCAAGGTAAATAATCTCCTGGACAGACGACGAAGCTTTCTTTTCACAAAATTAGTAACCTTTTAACGCTTAAAAGCGGGTGTCAGATACCATGGATTGCTTCCCTCGATAGATGCAAATATCCCTCTTAAAACATGTATTAGTTCAATTTTCCTTTCACTTGTCATAATAAATTTTAATTGTAAATTTGGGGGTTTTTATTCGCCTTTATCCGACACACTCCCTGAACGAATTATACCACATCGCGTTCTTACTTTACTTGATAAACAAACCAACATGATTAAAATTCAGTTTGTTCTGTATCGAGTGATAAAAATGTGGAAAAAAAGGCCAATCTTAGCCACTAAGCCGTAAGCAATCATTTTTCACTTTGTCTGCAGTTATCAACGTTATATATTGATCTATATTTCACAATTTGTACTCCTTTATATTATTGTTTGAGAATTTACAGCGCTCATGGATCACAGTTAGTGTAGGTGGATTACTTGAAACATTGTGATGAATAAAGAACGAAAATGTCGATATTTCTCACTCATGGACAAACAGGAAGAACAGCTAACTTAGTTTCTCTTTAATTAATACTAGTAGCAAATAAAATCCTTTAAAGAGCGTACACCACGTTGCGAAAGTGGAAAGTGTAACAATATAAATATTCCTCTAAAACCTATTGTGAAGCCAGCTGTACACAAACTGGTTCTTCATAGTTGCGTGGCAAGCACTTTGCTCTTGAAGTTGCGTAAAATTCAAGCTGTGATGGTTTCATCTCAAATTTCACGATAAGAATCGAGAAAATGGTCTTAGTTGTGTTTACCTTTCACTGTCCATTGGAGATCGAAGTTGGAATAATTCATGAGAAAAATATGATTTGTCTCCGGCGGAGGAAACTGAATTTCCTCTCGCGAAGTAAATGACCGAAGCAAGCGTTAAAAACCTTGAAATAAGCGTAGAAATACACGGAAGGGTTTTAAAAATGTTCTGTTCTCGCGCAAGCCATCCACAAATTAAAAAAAAAATTCCTATTTCAAGTTTCTAAAAAAACAAAATATCTGAAAGGTGGAAAGCTTTTGAAGGCTCGACTTTCTGTTTGTATTAATCAATTTATGATCACAAAATACACACGGAAGATATCATTCAATTTCGCCGATTTCCAAGACTACATCGAGTGATGCTTTTTCCACTTTGACTGAAGCAGCAGTTATGAATGGTCGAGTGACATTGTTGTCATTAAGGAAACTACTATAGACCGCAAATGAACTGGGAGAAATTCCAATTTCATCAACAATGTACAAAATGTGTTTTTAAGCGCGTCATATTACGAAATAGTTGACGAATGGCAACCAAAGCATAACATATTGCGATCGAATAACAGGGAAGGTAATTTCTTTCTTGAAGAAATTTTTTCCTCTAAACTCTACATTGAAAAAAGTCAGTTTCGAACCGTGGCGCTAATTTTGGGTTGTATTTCTCATCAAGAGCATCAATTATAAATGACATAAACTCCGCGGGATGGGTAAACAACATGATTCGTATTTTACCACGAACATAAATCTATTTTATTGACCGGTTCTGAAAGCAATTTTGGATCGATTTGAAAAGAATGGAGAATGAGAGAGGTCTTAACGCGTGATTTACGGGAAGATACTGCTCAAAATAGTATGTCACTGAATGAGCTGAATAATGAGAAATAAATTAAACGATCACATCTCCGATACGAATTTTTCAATAGTCTCTAGAGGCCAGAGGCAATTTGCCACCAACTGTGTTATGGAACAAGGATTTGCTGGATACAAATAATTCTGAAACTTAGGAAAGCAGTTTCCACTTTTTCCAAACGAAGTTTCAATAGAAAACAACATTTTTCGCACAATTACCTCGTGCTAAATTAAGCCAATCAGAATCAAGGAAACCATTAGACAGCTGGTGTTGACGTTTTCCGCGGGAAAATCAGCCTAGCGTAAAATCTAGCGTGACAGGCTATACGATGTAAATTTCACTTTACCTTCGCTTCAAGCAAACAGAAAACGAATTTTTTTTTGAAAAGCAAGGAATTTTTATTCTTATCAGGAACGAACCGAATTAACACGGTTAAGAGTGCTTAAGTGGAGCCTGTTTTAAGGAAATCATATAAACTTAATGAGCTTTTGCATATTTTAATGGTCATAAATTTTCTTTTAAACTTTTGTGTCAATTTGACACGAATAAAAGTGATATCTGACAAAAATTGAACGCCTGCTTTTTGAAGAAAAATGTTGGCGAGAGGGTTAGTTAGTTTGTTTAGAGTGTGGCGTTTGTGGCTAGAGTCAGTTTAGGCTTATTATTAAACAGGTTGCTTGTTGATATTTAGGGGCATTTCATTGATGAATAGAAAATATATGGGCGTACGGCGCTTCAAAACCGCAATATTTAAACGAACACGTGTTTTTCGCACACATTTCATTCTTAACTAGTTCTTCATCCCTACGGGCTGAATTTATTTTTCTTAATCAGAGGGCGTCCTCCATCGGAACAACCTGAATAAGTAGGCTTAACCGTTTTGGAAAATCTTGTTTCTAATTCGAGGGCAAACCAAAATTTTATTTTGTTTTCGATAAACTGGAAACAAGCTTAGCGTGGCTCGGCCATTGTGTCGCTTCAAAATGCATCATTGGTCGCAAGTGAAATTCTCCCAACAGGCGTCTTGTCAAATAACGCCTATCAGCCAATGAGCGCGCAGCTAATTTGCATCGATGTAATTAGAATGCTTACTCCACCACAACTGGTGTTGTTGGTGGGTAGTGTGGGAACGGATAGTCGGACACGATTCTATCGGTAACTTTTCACCGTTAAAGCTAGATTGGAGAAGCCAAAGCGAAACGATGAAATAAATACTATATCTGATTTCTCTCTGTAGGTTTTTCGGGACACAATGGCTTCACAGCCGTCCCAGAGACCGCGTCGAAATGCTTCGCCTGCATCGAGCTCCAAACTACAACCTATGCGGGCTACCTTACCATTTTCGCTGATATCTCCCAGCAATCCGAGTTCTACTCGCGGAAATGGACTACGAAGACCAAGTCCATCTTCTTCACCGGTTCATGGGAGTGAAAATGCCCTCAAACATCGAAGAAGTTCTCCCGAAACACGTGGGTCTCCTGAGCATCGTCGTAGTCCTTCTTCACCATCTTTATCTAGCTCGAAAGGTTAGCTGACGTGCTCTTTTAAGTAACCTTTAAAACGGGCTCTGAAACTTAGGATAGTCACTATTTATGACTGAAAAAGCTTTACTTTGCCAGCTGTTAATTATATATTCATTCTTTTCGTTTAAGTTCAGTGTGGTAAGTCAGCGAATTTCGCTTTTCATGTAGATGTATCGGTTCTCCTCTCTCTCCGTTCAGTGTATTGACTTACACTGAAAGCCATTTCCGTTGTTTCATAACAGTTTGGACTAAGCTTACTGACACTGAAATTATTTTCTGTGCAGGTGAGAGAGGAAAATTGTCGAAAAGCAGTTCGGGCTCCATAAGAAGAACGCCATCCATAGACGCCATTTCGCCTTACATGAGTGGACAGTGGCCGAAAGACGTTGGAAGTTACGGTCCGAGTGTGTGCCATAAATCAACTCAGGTTAGTTAGCCACCGCTCATTTAATAATACATTTCTTAAAAACTGGCCAAGTTGTAGGCCAATTACACGTATTTGGACTTGGAAAGGTCGTTATATGTTCGCATGGAACGGGGTAAGCTAAGCAAATTTGCTTTGCCGACACACTTACCAAACCACAGCCATGACAACGACATTGATTCCCAAGCAACTTTGAAATTTGATGATCTGAGCTGTAAATTAAGTTTGCCTTAACCGTTGTAATAAAGTCAGCTTCACAAAAGATATTGTAGAATTTTGCAAATCAAACTTCGAGGTAGCAAAGAAATAAAAATATCGCTGAATATTTTGGCGTGGAGGGAAGGACTTTGAGTTTGATTGAGGGGTCAAAGAATCACTTCTCAAAAAGTTATTTTTAACCTGTAGATTAGAGCTAGAGTTCTTGATTCTGTTTTGATTATTTTAAAATTACAAAGAGAATTGAGTTAAGCAAGGAAAACCTCTCAGATGGGATGTACATTTAACCGTCGGGATAGCTGCCAGTTTTTCAAGTAATGCCTACTGTAGAGTGTTTTTGGTAACTGACTCCAAATAGGCAAAACGCCCTTTTAAGAGCCCTAGCAGAGAACTTGTCTACAGCTTTTTTATAGCTTACTCCCTTATCTTGCAATGAATTCAACCCTACTGTGCTAAAGATATCACTGTCCATGCTGAGGGAAGTCATTGTATCAGAAACATTGTACAAGGAGGCACTATCTTATTTTACTGTAAAACTTACTTTTACCTAAAACTTAAAGTCAAATTAACAGTAACAGTACATGATGCCACAAGACTAGATGTAATGTCTTTATATTTTTTGTCATAATCTGTACTTTAAACAAGTTAGAGATTGAAAGAAAAGATATCTGGCATTGATAGTTCAAGCAGCCCTTCTAGGCATAGGCTTAGGGCAAAAGGGCTGGACATCATTGCAGGAACCTGGAAGGATGAAACTAGAGAAGGTCCATGTTTAGGCTTTGCCTAATCTATTCCTCAGAAATGGCCACCTTTGCATACCAACTGTGAAGGAGTCCTTGGAGGCAATTTTCAGATTTTTTCATTTCATTTGGTCTTGTTTTGCAAGTGTAAGGACACTGGGTACACATTGGAGTTCTAGTATACTTGTTTGCAGAAACAAAATTTGGGAAATGTTTGATACAGGAGGAGAGGGGTTGAGTTATTGTAATGAAAATTGTATTGATGAAAAAGTCCTGCTTAAAGACATATGACTTTTGAAAGTATTGGTAACTGTTATAACAACTCACTCTGGCAAGGGTTAATTTAGATGAGATTTATGTACTCTTTAAGTTCAAAAGGTTGTTTCCCTTGTGCAATTCATATAAACAGAGCAAAATAAACCACAATTTTCACCCTCACATTTTCCTAGCCCTAAATTCTCACCCAATTGGCTTCTTTGGCATTAATCCCACCTGATCCTGTGCAGTACTGACAAGTTAAACAAGGCTTTGCAGATACTTAAGCTTTAAATCCCATGTTACTTGGGAAATAAACAACATTTCTAATTCTCAAGCAAATTTTTTTGTGGTCTCTTATTAAACCCACTACTGTCTCAGTTGGAAGGTACACGTGTGCAGATATCACCTTTACCTTTTGGCTGTTTATTTCAAGTGTCGTATTTTCAGGGGAAATCAAGATTCCTTAAGGATTTCTGGTATCCCTAAAACCATCATAACTCCATCAATATTTTTCCTTCTTGAAGTGGAAGCTCAATTTTTTTTCCCCTTTTTTTTTTTTTTGCTTTAAAAATCAGAATTTCAGAAAGTTTCTTCTTGAATGTAGACAGGAACCTCTATTCAAAGTTTTTTCTTACATGTTGCTTAATATGCTGTGTAAAAAATTGCCATAAAACCATTTTGGTGACAAAGTTCTTAATTTTCATCTTGGGTACGCAATTGAAAGCACACGTGGCATTTTGTAATAAACTAAGCACTTACTGGTGCACACAGTTTGCCATCAACTAAGGGCACATACACTCAACCAGCACTGAAGATAGTGCTTTGGTGGATGTTTTGCTGTCATCAGATAACCTTCCTTAGAGTATGTGTATTGAATTCTATTTTCTGTTAGATATCGTTTATATTTTGAGGATCTATACGAGTTGTCTTTTTGTTATCCTGTTGTTGCTGTTAGATCTATATTGTAATCGGCTGTTAGTTCAGTTAGAATGGCAAATTTCAACAATTTATATGCAAGGCATACATGTGTGAAGGCTGAATCCAAAGCTGATATGTTGGATTATCGATTAACAATGTGGGAAGATGGCTGGGAGCACTCTTTTTATCTTTATCTGTGTTCTCTCTTATGTTGGGACTTGGGCTTTGTAATCCTTAGGAGAGAAAAACATAATGCTCTCGTTTAAAAATATTCACAAACAGCTTACATGCTGTTTAAAAAAGTAAGTAGATGGAAGTAAAGATTTTAAGTGAGTATTATTTTGATGGTGTACTGAGTTAGCACAACCAACTGTCTGCTACAGTACGTGATATTTTTGAGCTTTTTTTGTCTGAACTTTGACAACTTGTCAGGCTGTTCTTAAAATTGTTTTATTATACTTGGCCTTTTGGAAGATTTAAAGGTTAACTTGTTTTAGTGTTGTTGACTGATAGATTATCTGTTTTTGACAACTTGTCACTTTTGTTCCTTTATAATATGAAAAATATTTAAATTCTAATATTGGATTCAATTTTCTAACAAGTTTATCTTTTGTTTAAAAAGGCTTCAGTTTTTTTTTTCCTCATCACAACTCATAACTGATATTCTGTTTCCATTAACCAAGAGAAAGGGTGGCTTCTAAATTTGTAAGCTTGATCAAAACTGTTTTCAAAAAATTTACTATGACAGCATACAAAATTTTTTGGTCATAATGTGGAAAAGCTTAATCAAAGTTTAATTTACCATCTTAATATTACCTTGTGGGGAGAGATTCATTCACACATTAAAAAAGGTTGCTTATAACCAAATGTCTAGCAGACTAGAGAAGGGCTGGTACTGTTTTAAGTAAGAAGTTTGTGGGAAACAGTCTCTTTTAATGTACAGTGAACATAAAAGTTACCAATAAATATTAGAAAGTTGTATGTCACTTGTCAATACTAGGGGTTAAAATGGCTGTCTTTAGAAGTTGCCTTATATTCATTGGGTCAATGAACAAATTTGATGCTCATTGAATTCAATTTTTAGTAGAAAGTCATGCATTTACTTCAGAAAGGGTATATATATTTTAATTTTATTTCCACCTCTTTGGAGGTAGGAAGAAATGCTTCTTGGATCAGATAATGTTTGAAGAGTCAAGGACCAATTTCAAATTCAGCAAGGATAGACTGCTAACTTCTTTTTGCATCTAACTGTGAATACACACAAGAAAAACATGTTTTGATGTGATAACTGCTTTCACACAATTTTGTTTACTGGATGATAAGAAACCTTAATGAAGGGGTGTGTTGTTATGGCAGAAACAAAAAACTTGGAGACCCTTTATATGTTTCATTCATTCTGAGTAATACAAAGGAATTTGCATAAATGAAATGGTTATGGGAGCAAAGCAATAGCTTTATTTTGTTTCACAATAGGTACAGGTACCCAAGCTTAAAAAGTGACTGGGAAACTATGGAATTGTAGATTGTTTTGCAATGTGATAATATGTCAATTTAAGCTGTAGTATACACAGTGTGCACGAAAAACCCATGTCCAATTGTATGGGACTAGCAGAAATTTAGTTTGGACATGTAATCCTTTGATATAACTTGTGCATAGTAAGGAAAAACAAAGAAACAAGTGAAAATTAACTTCGAATTACAGTAGAGTTAAAATACATCTTTTAATTATAAAAAACCCTTGTTCTTGACAAAGTAAGGTTAAATATTCTTTTTAACTGTACTATTCTGCTGCCATTTTATTTGTTCTCTTATGAGCTCCCTTTGGCTTGGGAATCTGGCCCTGGTAACCAGGCCTATTAATACATAACTTATTCCCAGGCTCAAAATTTGAGTTTAGGTTTGGGACAGCAAAATTTAATACAGTGCTTGTCCAAAGGACTAGTGGGTAAGAAAATTTTTCTATTAGCCTGATACATCCTGGTGATTTCCAGCATGACAGTCTCATAGAATATTCTTAATGAAGAAATGATTATTTTTAGTATAGAGAAAGAGATTCTCATTGTAACATTGTAAGAATGAAGTGTCTGTTCTGCTCAGATTACAATATATATTTTTCTTAATTGTGTTGTTTTTATAGACACCAGTTTGGGAAGAGGGGGATATTGAAGATAATTCAGGAACAAGAAACAAGCGATCAAATTCCCTGGGAAGTGGAGACCAGAAGATTAAAGAGGTAGTCTCTCTAAACTTTATAGAGGTTAAGGTCTTAATGTATTTTGAGCTCTTAAGTTAACTACACCAACTCCCTGTGTCTGTGGCATTCCACTCCCCTTACTTCCCCCCCTTCTTCCTCATTCTATCCCCTAACCCCTTTCCATAAAAATGATGAATATTGGTTCCTGGAATTCTAGAAATCTACCCATAGGCAGGAGAGCAACAGTTTCAGTTTCCAGAGAAATGGGGAATGTGTTCCAAAACCTGCTATTGGTCCTGTATCTCTTTTACAGAAACTATGTTGCTCTTTAACAATAATTATTATTGGTGATAATTATTGATGAAAGCCACTTTCTCAAGGTTAATCCCGTCTTTTTAACAATCTTTTTATAGAAATTGAAACAACATCTTCAACGCACAAAGCAAGGCAGTAAATCTAGCCATACGTATGGCCGCCAGTCTCCCCTTCATGGTGATCATACTGCTATTCCAGCAAGCCGGCTGCCTCAGTCAATTCCCATTTCAATCCCTTTGGGCCCAAGACCATCAGAAGGACCTCAGAAAAGAAGCTTGGAAGGCCTAAACTCTGAAATTCAGAAACTTGTTTTGACAGATGCTTCAACAGAAAGGGTATGTTTATTATGTGTTGGCACAACATATCTCGAGTTAATCCTGGCTTGTTTACCATTGCCTCCTTCTTTGGTGTGTCAGAAAATGGCCAAGTTAACCTTAAAAAAGGCACGAATTTGTATTTATTAAAAGGGGGTTTATGTTTCCTTAGACATCAGAACACGTTCCAGATGGACGCAAAGCCCCTGTATTTGAGGTACTGTCTGGGGCTCCTTTTCGGACAGTAGACACTCACACGCAGACTCCCTCTAATAATCAAGAGGGGCAAGATAGTAGTGGCAGTGGTAGCAGCAGCAGCAGAAGCCATTCTGCATCCCCAACCTACCCCATCATGCCAGGGGCATCTGATTCAAGGCCTTCATCAAGATGTTCCTCAGGAGGTGCTGCAGATGCTGAAGAAAATGTTTCTCCTGAGCTTCCTTCAGGGGGTTCTAAATATGCCTCCTCACCAAAGCCCAATAATTCTTATCTGTTTGCGAGGGAGCCTCCTGATGGAGCAGAGAAAGTCCCATTACATGTTGAAGATGCTGACAGGTGGGTAACCCTTTAATGAAAAGGAGGTTAAGAAAGTTTCAAAATGTTTTTCATGTTGTTTTTAATGCTCAAGTTAACCAGTCAGCATGTTACTGCTAAAGTGCTTGTTAGTTTTAAGAATTTATTTTTGAATAAAATCAATGCAGTAGTTTTACCTTGCCAACATGAATTTGATGAAATCAAACCTCACTGACACCCACAGTAGTAAGCGTCTTGACAACAGAAAGCATAAAAAGGAGTTCATCATCTGGTAAAGTAGCATTCAATTGAGTGTTGAAAATAATGCAGGATTGCTATGGTTTTGCTATACTTCATCATGTGATTGGTCTAGAAAACTCTTGCCACTTTCTTAACAATTGGGTTCAAAACTAAAACCAATTGCAGCTTGGTCTGGTGCAATTTCCCTCACTTCAGACAGCTTATTTGTTTTAATCTTGACTTCTCACTGGCTGATTGTGATATTTTCCCTACCCCGCTTGGGTGTTAGTGGTTTTTTTTTTTTTTTTTTTTTTGACAACCCCTAGCTGAAAAGTGCTCCATAAGACAAACTGAAGCTAGGCTTAACAGAATGAAGGTTAATTGTTTTTGATTGAAACTAATTCATATGTGACTTTAAAAAGAATCCTAATAAGCTTTGTAACAACCTTCCCTTTCTTTTAGAAGTGCATCGCCCCAGATTTTTTGCCCAGACAAGACAAAAGTGAACTTCATAACCATCCCTGCAAGATCAGCATTTTCTGTCTTCAATGCCCTTCCTTCCTTGCCCAAGGTGGCCGTCACCTCTCCAGCAACAGCAAACCAACAGTTATCACAAGTGGAGGCTTCTCAGTAATAAGAACTGCAAGGGACTTAAACAAGCTGCAAACTGTTGCCATGCAGTTCAACCATGAAACTGAAGTACTTTAGAAATACAAAAAACAAAAACAAAACAAAACAAAAAAAGATTAACAAAAATAACTAATTTATTGCAAGCATTAAGAATGACTAGAGGGTTCTTCTTAGTTTCCTCTCTGACTCCTGTGCATTAACCTATTTAATTATTTTAAAACATCTTTTCTTAAATTGTCCTAATGTACCTGTTTTATGAAAAAATTTGATATCTTGACCAACTTGTTTGGTTTGAGAAAGTAGTGTGGGGGTGGATGTTTTGTGCTTCAATGAAGAAGTACTTGTGATAAAATTATTCTTCTGTTGTTTTTCTCTTTCTCCACTGGATGAAGATGGCTGCTCTACATGACTGGCATTTCTTTTCCAGTAATAGTGTGTTTCAAGGAGCTTGTGTATATGGTAATGAAATTTGTAAGGTCTTGTATATTGAGGCATTTGTTACTTAAGATCTCTGAACATTATATATTGTCTCAATTTACCCCCTAACTCCCAAGATCTCAACATAAATTTCCTGCAATGTCTGTCACATTTCTTTTCAATTGAGAATTTGGCATTTTGGACGAACAACATCTCCGCATTTAAATCTTTCTTGCTTCTCATCACCTTCCTGCTTGCAAATGTTGATACAGTTTGAAGAGGAAATCTGTTTTGGGTACACTGGGAGTGAATGGATAAAGGAAAAATTGAACACTTTTGAAATTTCAATTTTTTTAGACTGGTCCTTTATAAAAAGGAAACAGTTATGCAATGTTTGGGAGAGAAGGATGGTTTTCTTGTGATCCTGGTGTTGGCTTGGTCTTGAGTCAGGAAAATGTAAATGATGGCTCTGGTTTGATTTTTTTTACTCGAACATTTGTAAGTTACCACAAGAAGTTTGCATGTTGGAGTTCTTTAGTTTGTGTGTTTTTTTTGCTGTTGTTGTTGTCTTTTTTTCAACATGTTTGTTTGATGTAGTGCTAGTGTTTGGAAGCTTTCTTAAAGAAATTTTATACAAAAAAAGTACCAACCACCCTTGATGTACCGTTGTCAGGGGGCATTTGAGTGTTGAAGATTGTATATTATGTTGTTATTCTGTCATGTTAAAAAAGTGTACTATATTGATAGATTTAATATTAAGTGTAACTTAAAGAAGACAAACCTTTCAGTGATAATGCGTTTAACAGTTAAGGAGTTTTATATAAAAAGAAACCTATACAGCATTCACTGGCTTAATTCTTAATGTATACTACAGTTCTTGATGTAAATATTTTATGGATTGAAATAACTATATAATACTTGTATATTTTTACACTGAAAGAAAATCAAATCTGTTGTAGATTTATTGGACAGTGAAGACTGCTCCAGAGTTTGTGTACTGAGACCTGTTTTGTGCCTCTTCTAACTGATCTACTGGCTAGGTCAGTGTTACCGGTAACCGAAAGTACAACTTCTGCCCTTGAATAATGTTGAACAAGAACTAAAATTTTCTGTCAGGGAACATTCTCGTATTTATTTTGTGGAATTGTCAGTTTCTGTCAAGAGATGTGTTTAGGTTGGCTTCCTTGGATTTTTTGAACCAGTCCCCAGGTATAGGGTGTGATTTCACATCTTGAAAAAGTGATGATAATGATCATTTTATAATTATCCATGTCTTAACATATCTTAGATGCTCTCTGTATTTTAGGAGAGTATAATTACTTGGACATACGTTTTGCTAAACACATGTAACTTATTGTATTCCTATTACCACATACTCAGTACTATTAAAAATTTTAACAGAAAAGGTCTGAGCATTTTTTTATTCTTCTAGTCTCAAAGTTTCTTAATTCTCTTTGCCTTGGTCAGGAATCACTTCGCTGAATTGATATGAAACAAATTGTTTCATATTGCTTACTGTTGGCAATGTCTTTTTTTCTGGACAAATCTACAGATCAGGGCCCAGTTGTAATGGATGAGTGATTGCTAAACATTTAGTGTTGTCCACATTATTGACTTATCCAGTGGATAGCATTATCCAACCTTTAAACAACCAGGGCTGGATCAAGTCAATCTTTTAAATAGTGATATACACCTTAGGCTTGATTACCAGCTACTGTTCAGGAATATGAGCCCATGCTCCTCCAATTAAACCCATGGGGAGAAGCAAAGACTGGACACGAGAGCAACAGAAATGGTGCCTATATACAGCATGAAAAACTGGAAAGTTGTGTATCAGCTTACTGACACTGACCCTTGTAGACGATGTGTAATCAATGCATCATCTTAGGTTTTTCTTAATCCTTTACACCCTGACATCAGTACGCACATTCTCCACACTGTTTTCAATATATTCCCTTAGGAGCAGACCAAGAGAATTTGTTAAACAATCAAGAGCTTCTTTACTTGATGATCATTTCCTCTATTCTCATGACCCCTGTATGTGATTAAGGAGTGGCATATAGGGAGAAATTAGCTGCTGGTCACTTTTAGGGGTTAAAGGTTCAAATTTTTTCCTGTATATACACCTCTCACTGAAAAAGGTTTAGGTCTGTACTTTAAGTTCTGAAACACAAATATTCTTAAAAAATTGTGTTCTCAGGAAAAAGCCACTTGGTCACTAAAAAAGTAAACTGCAAACAACAGTTATTAGTTTGTAGCTCTGAGGTTTGCTCAGGTGACCCTGGCTTAATTGTGAATGGTCTGAAAATAACTGAGTTGTCAGTGTAAGATCAAAGTGATAATGCTTTTTCACTGTCTTCTGGTAATATAAAATAAAATATTCTTTCTTGCTCATCAAACATATCAAGGGAATCTTTGGAAATGTTCACATTTTTAGGATTACTCTTCTGATGCCTTCTAGCTTTCCTCTAAATTGCAGGAATAATGACAGTGTATTATTTTGAGAATGCCATTTGAAAAAAACTTTAAAAAGTTACAATTCTCCTCTTATTTCAACATGTCTCATATGATTGACAACTATTTACACTTGTTACCTTAAGATCATTGATTGGCTATAAGTAACCTCTCTAAAAATTTCAACAGTTTAGTGGGTTATCCTCTATAGCCTCATGGCAACATCCCTTACTTTATGTTGAAGTTTGTAATTTTAAAATTGGTCTATATGTGAATGGTAGCTTCCATTTGGTGCAAAATTGGGCTAGCTTTGAGCACTAGACTATATTTCCAAACCAAATGGAGGCTATCATACAATTATTCTTACTATCCATGGAAGAAAGAGATCACAAACAGCTTAGCATCATAAATACATGTTGCTTTTGCAGAAAAACTTTATAGGGCAACACGTTTTTCTATTCTTCTGTAACAACAACAAAGCACTTCCCCTATCTTGAATCAACTATCTATGGACAATTTTCTCTACAATGATTACAAGGTTTGAGTCTTGCGGAACATCACTGAGAGAACATCACTGGATATCACAACATTTTATCAGACATATTCAGTGAGGTGTCATATATAGATAAATCAAATTCTAGCAAAAATATTCAATGAATTATAACTTTAATGACTGATTTTTACTGATGGTGATATCTTAATGATTAATCTCATTCTTGCCATGTCAAAAAAATTCATTTTGTTGAGACTGCATATTCAGATAAGATTGCGCAGATTAGCTGTATAATCAACAATGTGATCGTAGTTCCATTCATCATACCACCGACAGCTGCCCTGCTCATACTCATCACAAGACACTCGGGGCTGATAGGCTCCACGCTTTGGTAGTTCTGGTTGTGGAGGTCGCTTTCCAAGGGTAGGGAAATTATGGTAGTAGTACCTTCAAAAGAAAAAATAAATAACCAGGTTTAAAAAAGATTTTTCGAAATCCAGATTTCGTAGCCTTAATACTAGGGTAGGAAATCATCATATCAAAAAATCCTCCCAATAACCTTTCAAAATAACCTGATGTGTATGAATCAGATAAAAACAAAAGCAAGATTCAAGAAATTTTTACTGAAAAGGTGGAGAGGTACTGTGCCAGTTTAAGTGTCATGGTCAAGAGTGAATCTCAAGGCCTCAGCTAAAGCACAAACCCATACCATCCCAACACAGAACTCAGCAATAGAACTGCAAGGCCACAGCTTATTTCCCCTTAACAGTACCATTTCCTTATCACATTCATTACACTTACCATCTCTGTATAATAAACTTGTGTCCTCTGATCACTTTGGCAGCATTGTGCAAAGAAGTGGGGTCACACTCTCCATGGTTGTTCATGCTGTTCCATATTAATGCAAGACCTTTATGAGGCTTCACACTGATTCCCAGTTGTGGGAATTTTGTCTCTCCACCTTCCTCTACATCTTTCAAGTACACTAGTATAGTTGCAAATCGGTCTCGTTTCTCATCATTGTCAACAATGCAGTCAGTGTGATTCTTGTAGCCTGAGAAAGTTTACTAAAGGGGTAAGTCAACTGTTATATGAAAAGGGAAAAAAATAATATAGGGATTTCAACTAGTAAACATAAATCTGAATCAACAATCCTTCCATTCATTCAGCAATGCAGAGAAGATAGTTTAAAGACTTAAACTACTTTCCCAAGAAAAAAGGTGAAAAGGAACCAAGAGTGACCAGCATCTAATTTCTCCTTACACCCCACTGATGAATCACAAATCAAGGTTGGAGGAAATAGGAAAAAGGGAAATGATTGCCAACTAAAGAAACTTTCAGTACCATAGAAAATGAGTAAAGAATAGTTTGGAGGACCTACATACTGATATTTGGTTAACAAGAGTCAGCTCATGTTTAAACAGCTGTTTTTTTGAACAACTGTCCAGACTTTAACCAGATATTAGATTTTATTTGATTCTAAATCAAAATTATATATCAAACACTTTTCTTTGATTTCCAGCTACTTTTGATTAGTATAACACTGTTCATACACTCGATTGCAAAAACGTTGACACGCAACAAGCGTTTATAATGAACGATGAGACTCAGCAAAGAGCTATCCAAACTTTCCCGGAAGAAAACGTTTTATCATGAGAAAAGATTTTCCATGAATAATGAGAGAAGTAAATCACTGATTGTGTATCTGTGCGAGCATTTCCCATAAAGGTGATGGGTCTTGTCGTTCGTGAATCAAGCTTATTAGGTGTCAACCTTTTTGCAATCGAGTGTATACAAAAACTTTAAACCATGCAGTTTTGATGAAAATATTGACCTGAACCACATGAAACAGTTTGCTAAACACTACAACTGATAGAGAATTGTTTTGGACCAGGCAGTTTATTGAATGTATACATCCTACGTACATAAACCACAAGACTATTACATTTAAAGTATTTGATGGATGCATTAAAAGTTGCCTATGGTGTGGATGGGAGGGAAACTAAAACTTTCCAAGAAGCTAGAACAAATTTGTTGCTTGAATGCTTGACTGCTAATAACATGTGCACAGATACCTAAGCAGTAATATACTAAAGTAATTTTGCATTTAAAACGGGCTGGTGTGGTGTATAGCCATTGGCTCTATCCAAGTTCTATGACTTACATGTTGAACAAATTGCTCAATCTAGGAAAGGACTAATATGTAAATTGCCTGTACCCTGTCTAAACCTCTCAGTTATCAATGTCTAGATTCATATTAATGAGATTAATATTCACTTTATAACTTACCAATATTCTGTGGGTATGATGTAATTTGGAACTTTCCACCATTTTCAAGTTTCAGCCCTGTAGCCTCTGATATTCTCTCAGCAAATATTGTTGAAAATTTACTCTCCCCTGGATAAAATGCTGTGCTGTAACTCCACTTAAAGTGAGGCTGTAATTTTTTTGAAAATGTCTCATTTATGCAGGTTGTTCCTCTGGTGAAATCAGTCAGAGACACCTTTAATTTTAGCTTTGCTTCTTTTAAGTATTCACGGAAAGACTTGATACCATCAAAGCAGATAATGGGTACCTGCTTGTTTAGCTCAGACACGTACTTGTCATGTACCATGACAAGCCTATCACATTCCATGTCACTGAGGAAATTTTCAATCACATATGCGCGGACGCTACTTTTGGAATTACTGTGTGTTAGTGGCTTGAGTTTCAGCAATTGATTCCTTTCTTTTAGATCCTTCATTTGCAGCTCACTTTGAATAGACAGCTTGAAATCTTTATATTCTTTAGGAATTTCATGAGCTCCTTTAGAAAACAAAAAAAATAACAATCATCACCACAATTACAAAGGGCAAATAAAACATAGGATTTGTTGTGATAATTTTGCAAGAAATTTAGGTTTTTCTAATCACAGGCCATGGTACAATCAAATACAATCAGGACAAGAGAGGGTTTCTTCTAGAAAAAATTAATTAAGGGTCCATTTATATGGTCTGCAAGACAACCCTCACCCAAGTTAACCTGGCCAAGCTAATTTTTCACTAATTTCTTTAAGAAAATTTTCAGGAGGGTGAGCTGTTTGATTTTGGTTTCTCCCTTTTAGAGGCTACCCAAAAACTTTGGCTTGCCTGCCCAAGATGAGGCAGCTCAAATTTTATGCAATTTGTAACCTGGCTAGCTGTCACAGGAGAGGCTAGTAAGGGGTCAGCTGTTGCAACTTCCAACTCCCAAAATGCCTCATAACACAAAGTAACCTCGAGGAGGAAGGTTGTCTTGGGTACCTGAGACCATATAAATGGGGCCTTAGCACCTGAAGATTCACCAACTTTAGGATAAAACTAAACGGATTTTGCAAACGTGAAAACCAACAACTAAGTGGGGAATTGTCTTTCTTTGGAGTCAAGGTATCCCAGCCTGTTTGAAGGTATTTGTAAAAACCTAGAGGTCAGGCCAGGCAAGTCCATCGATAATAACTGAAAATAATTCAATTTTTGATTAGTGAGCCATATAACAATCAGTTCCCAACAGAAAAAAGTCGGGGAGGATTGTGTAAAATTATTGTATAATATTTTTTTGGATATATATTTATATGAACTTATCTGGCTGACTCTGTTACCGTATGCAATCAAATTCTACGAGGCAACAGAAATGTTACTGGTTCCTTCCATCAGGATTATTAGCATAAACAAATATCCAGCCTTAATGTTGAGATCTAATTACCCTACAACGCAGAATACCGCGTTTATTCTAAAACGTTGAATTCTAAAAAAAATCTTACCTGTCGATTTCTGTTTTTGGTCCTCACTTGGGTCATCTTTCGACTTTTTGGCTCTTTTATTTTGATCGTCATTCCTACCCTGTGAAACCTTTCCTCTGGGACCAGTTTGGGTGAAAGGATTGAAATACACAACAATTGTTCCAATTAATAAACAAAGCACGACAATGACGAGACCAATTTTCCATCTTGAAGATGTCTCTTGCTTCCTCTGAATATGTTTTTTCGAAGATTTTTTGGCGGGTTGTCTAATTTCGGCCCCCCCTATGTGGCCTCTTTTCGCTGCTTTTCTGGGAGCCAGCTTCGTCATATTTAAAGAGGAGTTCGGTCTGAGCTTTTGAACTACAATAGGACCGCTCTAAAAAACTATGAAGCAAACAATTAGTGAAGTACTCGAAAGGTGCAAAGTTGTCATCTGCAAAGCTGTGTGTGTATTACCAAATTGGAACCCAGAGCCCCGGGTCTTTACATTTTGTCACGCTACCAAATCAATAGTCATGCAATGTCAGCCACTTGTCACGTATCTTCCTAACCTCTCATATATACATATATGTATACATATTTTGAAATAAGGAAAAAAAACATTATATATGCATTCTCGCCTTTCAGCACGAGGAAATGAAGCCTGGGGATAGGGTATGTTTCTATAAGATCAAGTAAAACCTTATCTGTTGCGTAAATCCGATTTTGGTTAGGAGAGTCAAACCTGTTCAATCATGGTAAACGGAAGTTGCGTGACATGATCCCTTCGCATCCACCACCAGGCTAAAATTGAAAAAGGAGACGTTAGGATTAGAATGACAGGTTTGAGGAGAGAGAGTAGCGAGTTTATGACGTGGTGAATGTTGCCGATAAAAAATAAAACAACAATTTGATGACTGAGAATAGAGAATAGAATGTTCAAGTTCGGTACAATGTTCATTATCATTAACCGAGCATATGAAAAAAATTTAGGCCCACAATGAAAGACCAACTGACAGAAGTTGTTCTATCGAAGGAAGCCTAAGACTTCTTTGCAGAACAAGCGATCTCGATGTTTGTAGTGGTAACGGAAACGGAAGCTTTTTTTGTTGCTGTGATATTTTGATGCATTGTGGGTAATTGGGTTTTCACTTCATGCATTTCGTCATACCTGTCTAGTTCTCTCTCTATCTGCCTGAAAATCGTAAATTTCCTATGTTTTGACTGAATTTGATGCGTGAACAAAATAATGGCCACGAAAGTAAGTTTTACACAGTTCAATATTTAACGCTGATAAAGTTTTTTTGACGAAAATTGTGGTTATTTCAGGAGTGTTGATTCGTTGAATAAACGACTATCATCGTAAATTAAGTTTAGAATTTTCAGTTCGAGCACCATTTCCAATTTTAGATTATTGTTAGTGAAATAAACTTAACTGTGACGCTCTAAGTCGTATTCTATGTAAACTTACATTCATTTTCGTTGGCCTTTAATAAATGAAGATAATCTTAGCATTGTGTACAAAGTCAAGGGAAGCCTAATTTTTGTCAAATTCCAGATACGATCAAGTCGTTAATTTTGCTTTCAAAATTGTTCAAACTTGCACATTACGTTATCAATAAAGAAGCTAAACTAGTGCACCTAGCAATATATTTCAGGATCAACATACAGTTAATCAAAGCACTTTACATTTCATCTCTCCTGGGAGAACTTTTCTCCCATACCATTGCCAAATGGTTCAAATTTCTCCTCATGATTCTGTGCCAACCAATTTTATGAAGTAGGTTAAAAGAGAGGTTTATGGGGTAGTATATGGTTGTCACAGGCTTCAAATTTGGAAAATGTTGGAGATTATTCTTGATCCTTAAAACAAAGTCTCTCCCCCCAAGAAAAAAATACCCTGCAAAATAAATAGCCACAAAGAATTCAGTTCTCTTGAGCAATTAAGCAATACCTTCCAATCTTAAATGGAATTCAGTGAAATGTATCTAATAATGTACTTAGTGTGCACTAACTCATGAAAAAATAATAATCAGTTTGAATGTTTAAATTGTCTTGTTTAACCCAAAGGAATATTTTGAATGAACTTTAAGAGTTTGATATATCTAGCTCATGATGTATAGGCATTTTTGTGCTGAAATTAAGAATCTTGAAACAGGCCATGTTAACCAAAATTGCATTGTGTCTAACAGGCTCTAAGAAGGACGAACCGTGCTGTTGAGTACTTTCCTAGTATAAGGGCTGTTGTCAATCAAATGGTCAGGAATGTTCAGCAAGGAGCATCACTGAGTACATCAAGGACAGATACTGCAGTTTCTGGAGATGGATCTGGTACAGTATGACTCATGCCTATATGATATCTTAAATTGAAATTGTCATCAATATTGTTAATTGTGGTATGGAGGAAAAGAGGAAAGAAAATATCCTTTCTAAAAGAAGACCTGGTTAACCCTTTGAGTTGCAAGACCTTTTAGTATTTCTCCCTACTGACTGCTATGCAGTTTATTGTAGGGCAATTTGGTGTTATAACAACATAACACCCTCTTGCTGATGCTTTTTTCAACTCCTCTTACCTGTTTGTAGGATAACATACTAGAATCGCAATAAAAAATTTTCAAACTAGAAGAGTAATCTTTTTACCTGTTGAATTTTCTGGAATTCTATGTGATTTTAGACAATAATTAGGGGTACTTCAGTCACCAAGAGAGCACCGAGTCATCACTATATTGGTATAAAAGTCCTTCTCAGGACTACCCTCATTATCAGACTCTACCCACTTACTTAGTTACCATCAGCCCATCACACCTCCTGGGGAATAAGGTAACAACAAAGTCTTTCCATTCTTCCCTATCCTGGGCCCGCTTCCTGATTGCCCCTCTTGTCTCATGTATTTCTTCATCCCTTCTTCAATCAGACTATATGTTCAAATAATTATTCCAGGTTCAAACTATTTGTTGGATTGAATTATGTTGTCCAGTTTATCTTAATAAAGGACTGAAATGAATTTAAATCACTGAAGAAGAGAACTGTTCTGTTGTTTGCTTACAAGTAAGGATCACATGAGAACCCTTTGTTAAGAGACATAAACCTTTTTGCAGGTAATTGGCCAGATGCCAGACTAGGACCATTTGCACCTAAAGATCCTCAATTCCCTCTTCCTGGTAATGTTGGTATTGACTTAACTCAGCTTCCACAGCCAGCCAAAAAAGAATGTGGAACACAAAGGCAGACATTAGCAGAAGCTTTGTTAGAACTGGAATCAGATGATATCAGAAAAGCAGTCATTATTGATAGTTATTCCAAAGATTTTGTGGAAAATTATGAGGAAGCAGTTGAAACAGAGGTAATCAATTCTGTTACTCTTTAGTACCTTGTTAGTCTTTAGCAACAATCAATTCAGCAAAAACATCTCAAATTTTTTTTTTGTTGATTTTAATTCACAATAATTGTTCAAAAGTAGCACAGTTTTGGCTTTCACCTTTATGTCCTTACATCAGTATATATACTCCCCATACTGAATACTATACATCTTCTAAGGTGCTGACAAGGAAAATGTATCTGGCAATCAAAGTTTTCTTTAGTTGATGATCATTTCCTGTCTTCTCTTTACTCAGGGGTGATATTATAAACTAAGAGAAATTAGATGGTAGTCACTCATAGTGGTTAAGGGCTTAAGTGGCTTGGACCCTCCTACAGTGTGTCATTATGTACAGCATTGTACTCAAATTTAGACTCTCTTTGGTTTCAAACTTATTTTCTTCATTTAGAATGACAGTTCTTCTGGTTCAGTAGAATGCAGTGTACAACAGTGCCCTTCTTTCCTTCACCAAAGCTTTATGGAGTTGTTTCCTGGCATTGGAATACAGATTGGTCAACTAACAGTTGTCAGCATTAGTCAGCATACTAGAAATGACATGAGTGCTTGGTCACCAGATGTTGAAGAAGAACGAGAAAGTCTCATGGCTAGTGTAAGATAAAATTGTTCATTAATAGATAATCACAACAGTTTCAGTGACAACAAGGCAGACAGACCTTCAAAAAAACTCATTGTGTTGATCATCTCTCATTTTTTCTATGTTTTTTCTTGTTGCAGTTTGTGGAAAGTGCAAAAGAAATCTGTAAAAGTCTCCTAGCAGCTGGGTATTGGGCAGACTTTATAGACCCATCATCAGGAACAGCAGTAAGTTTATGAGTTTTGCAACTTTCTCTAGTTGTTCTTACCAGTATACATTTAATTTTATCTTTAGTTTCTGAGAACTGTACTGTACAAACAGTGATTGTTTTGGGGATAAGTTTCTAAAGAAACTGTGGTGGTGTGTTGGTAGGGAGTATTACAAAATAATGTTTTTTTTTTTTGACTGAGTTGACAAATGAACGTAATTTGGCCACCATAATGAGTTTCTTAAACTGACCTTTCAAGTGCAAGCCCTTTGTCAGAGTGCCCTTTGCTCTGACAAAGGGCTAATGCTTGAAACATCAAGTTTAGTGGTGGTCATAGGTTGATTGTACCCAAGTTCAGGTTCAGCAGATACACTTCTATTTTTGTAGTAGAAAGTTTAATCCCTTTGTTATACTTGAAAACAGCAAACTGATTTGTCTCCTAGGTGTCAGCTGGAATTTCTAATCATGTGATGTGACAGTTGAATAATTTTTTCCTGTGTTTATTTGAGTGGAATGTCAGTTAACTAGTGTTAGCAACTTATGTCACTTCCACTGAATATAAACATCTGCCACTTACTTTTGTTGAATAGATATGATTATATTCTTACTCTTTGCTCCACAGTTTTTTGGACCACACACAAATAGTACTTTGTTTGAAACAGATGAACGATATAACCATTTAGGCTTCAATGTGGCAGATCTTGGTTGCTGTAAAGTTATCTCACATCGTATTTGGGGATCTTTTGCATTTGTTGGAACTATATTTACTAATGCACCTGCAAACTCAGATATACTTGGTAATAGTCTTGAACAAACAAAGTCTTCAGCTTAGAAGGGGGCAGTGGTGATTCATCAGCCTGAAAAAAAGACACTTACTACAATTATTTTTGACTTAAAATATGGAATATCCTTATTGTGGGTGCTAAAGACCTATCTCATTTCTTCTCAAATTGTAAAGAAATTATTCTATTTTTAATAGAAGAATTATGGTTAATTCTCTCTCCGTATGTTGTTATTTTAAATTACATTTAGAGTGACAGAGTTTTACTTGAAAAATGTATTTGAACTGGTGATGTTAAGTTCATATATACCTTTCACATGAAATGTGAAAAGATTATGTGTCCTCTGTTGAAGATTAGATAGAAGTTTGTCATAGATACTGCATATTAGCTCTTACTGCTAGTTTTGAATTCCATGTGAACCCTTTAACTTCCAAGATCTGATTATCAATTCTCCCCTCTAGCTGCTACACATTTCCTTGTAAATTAGTTTCAAGAATTGGGTGTTACAATATATACCTGATTAGTTTAGGTTTTCTCATTACTTGTTTGCTGGATAATGTATGGCTATGAAAGGGAGAAGTTATGTATTAATCACTGCTGGGAGTTAAAGAGTTAAGTGTATTCTACAGACACAAGTTAACAATGCATGACATTGTTAAATTTCTATTAGTTATTTGCAGAACAACCTTAGGTATTTATTTGAACTTTTTCTTTCAAAATATCTAAAACCAAACTCTTGTGGGCATCCTCCTTAGATCTCTTTGTTGAATATTCTAGAGAATGTGTCTCTTTTTCATGACATTCTCCCCCAGATGTAAATGTTCCTAATTTTAATTTTTTGTCCTAATTTTCAAGACTCTCAAGACTTCCTAAGCTAAATTTATTACAGGGATTTCAACCACTGGGAGTAATTTTATTTAAAAGTGTGGTAACTTCAGAGGCTAAAAAGTATTTATCTTTTAATTGTTTTAAGTTAAAATAGTTTGAATTGTTTGGCTAAGATTTGCAATACATAATGAAGTTGAACAAAATACTTCATGTCAAGTGGTAGACTCAGAAGATAAGCCCAACTTTACTTTTTACCTGCTTAGTATTAAAACTTACTGAAAGGCCCTTACAATACCAGGAAACGTAAACATTCATAACTAAGATTTAAAAAGTGTTTGTGTTCATTCCTCCATTAAAGCAAACTAATGATCTTGTACATGATCCCAATGTCTGTGAATTGTTCTTTGAACTAATTTTTCCTGAAAATCTCTGAATTTGTACCTTTTTTGTTCTACTGGGACATATCTTGACAGAATGACATAAGTGTTAGTAAACATGGAGGGGAGAGAAGGGAAAGAGTTTCCTGAATTCTTCTCAAACATGAAGATCAAAGTAGAGGATAGTATTTTATTTGATGCTATATCCCAATAATGGTCCAATAATAAAGGATAATTTTCCATCATCTTTACCCTCAGTGTTATTGAGGATTTATCAGAGTAGCATGAAATAATTGATTTTGAAGGTAACAGTTTTGAAGGGCTGGATATTAAAATTCAGGTTGTTCGAAGGGTGGATAACAGTATCCACAGGGTAAATCTCTATCCAGTGGATAGTACAGTACGTTTTGTAAACATTCGTATGCTGGATAGCGATTTATCTGTGGGATAGCACTATTCACCCTTACAACAACCATTGAGGCCCTGAATGCGTGAAACCTGGCTCCATGTACATGTACTGATGTTCATTTATTGAAGAATTAATTTGCTACCTTGAGAACACTACCATACAGTGATACTGAAGTATCTGTGTGACGAAAATTGCTTATTGACTAGTTCTGAGTCATTTTCCACAGCTAGTCTTCTACCTCTCTTAGCTTGGATTACCCTTAGAAAGGCAACTTCTGACAACTTTGAAAAACAAAACAACAAAAATACATCAGTCAATTCAAAAATGGCTGTTACTTTCATTGAAGAAAAACGTGGATGAGTTTCCTAGGGTAAATACCCTCCTAACAGAAACGTTGGCCAGTGGCATATATAGTTAATCCTCATAACAACAAGAAAAAATTGCGAAAAATGTCTTCAGTCAATAGGTTATTGAGCGGGACTAGGTTCTAATATCCGGGTCAGCGACTTTCGGAGAAGCGGACATAGCTGCATAAATTGTTTGCAGAAGTTCGGCTTCAGAGGTGTTGCTAAAAATTTTCAGGCACGAACTATTTTTTCCCTCGGTGTTTTAACAATTCTTTCATTCAGTTTGTATTAGATAAACCCAACGAACAAGATGGCTGCCAGAGCAAAGACGAAAAAGACAACAAAAAAGCGAGCTCACCGAGCCACCTCTAATGTTTTTGCCATGTTCGATCAAAACCAAATTCAGGAATTTAAAGAGGCCTTCAACATGATAGATCAAAACCACGACGGCTTCGTTGATAAAGAAGATTTACACGACATGCTTGCGTCGTTGGGGAAGGATCCAACCGATGATTATTTGGAAGAAATGATAAAGATGTCGCCTGGTCCTATCAACTTCACTATGTTCCTAACACTGTTTGGTGAAAAACTAAACGGGACAGATCCTGAGGATGTAATAAGGAATGCCTTCGCCTGTTTTGATGATGAAGGAACCGGCAAAGTGCATGAAGATGCATTGAAAGAGGCTCTAACTACTATGGGAGACAGATTTACCGAGGATCAAGTTGATGATATTCTACGTGACGCGCCTATCGACAAAGATGGATACCTGGAGTACAATCAGTTTACTCATATCCTGAAACACGGTAAAAAGGACGAGAATGATTAACTGTTTAAAATTCCGCTCAGCAGACATTGCTTTACGCTTAGAACAGTTTTCAGGTTAGCATAACTTTCATTTCGTGATTTGCATTTTTTGTGTATTAATCAGTTACGGGGTTTAATGATTATTCATGTATGGCAATACAAGGTATGATACCTACGCGGGCTGTTTATTTTCCATACAATTCTAACCATCAACCAAAATTTGAATTGGTTTGTTAAACAATAGGCTTGTTTTCTCTCAAATCCATGCGGTATAGACTAGAAAATTGAGCTGTTTAAGCTGGTACAATAAACAGTTTGTTATTTTAAACTAATTAAACGGTGATGGTAAAATCTCTGTCATTGTGGTTTGAAGATAATAATTTTCTCGGGTGCTCTCCATACCTCTTTTATTGCTCAAGTTGAAAAGAAGTGCCTTCACTTCTGAAAATGTTATACCCTCTGAACAATTTTGAATTCCCATAACATTCTCAAGTGCTTCAAACAAGTTTTCAGAACTTAATAACTGTTGTGTGATAGATGGTTAAAGTTTGAAAGTCCATTTAACTTTTAAACCCTAAGAGAGACTAGCATCTAATTTCTCTCGCAATATCTCCCCTGAATCCCACATTAAGGTCATGAGAACACGAGAACAAAGAAACAGATAACCAACTAAAGAAGCTCTTTACTGTTAAACAAATTATCATTGCCAGCACCTTAGGAAGTATATACAGAACAGAATAGAGAATATACATACCTTAATGCTGGGATGTAAGGAGTTAAACAAATTCTTCATGCCAGCACCTTAGGAAATGTATAGAGAACAGTATGGAGAATATGCATTTTGATGTTAGTGCGTAAAGGGATAAAGGCCCTTTCACTTTGTTCCACTTAGATATGTCTGTGCCCTTCAGTTCTATGGTTTTACATACAACTCTTACCAAATCGGTGTTTTAACCATTGGTTAATGCATTGAAATTCCAAACCCTATTGGTAAAAATTTGTATGCTCTAACATTCATTATGGGGCAGGAGAGAGCTATATTTTCAAATATATCCACTCAGGAGATAGCTTTCCTGGTATAGTCAACTTTTAGGAAATGCCACAAAAGCAAAAGTGTGAATGGAAAACAGTTTCAAACTGATCCAGTTCAGTGGGGATAGTGTCAACTTCAGGTGAACTTACAGTGTATGATAAAGAGAAAGTGCCAGCAAATGTCACTTACCATCCTTGAAAGAGATGTGCAAAATGTTTAATTTGAAAAGAGTGGTCAGTAAATGTTCTTTCTAGTATTGATAAGGGAGGAGTGGAGCAAGTTTGTACTTCTAAGCAAGTCAATTTTGAGCACTATTTCTTTGTTCATATTTATATCATAAACATGCCAAACATAGATTTGGCTGTCCTTGGTTGTAATTTCATTTGAGAGATAGGATGTGTGAGATGATACCAAAAAAAAAAACAAAAAAAAAACAGGCATTCAATACTGAATTTTTATAGTAATATTTTTGAAGAGATGACATGAGCTAAGTTAAAGCTTTTGACTGCTAACTACTTTGAAAAATTTAAGAAGAAAAGATGATGGTCACTCTGCAACTTTTTTGCTGTTACTGCAAAATCCAAGTGCATGTGTTATCAATCATAAAAAGTGTAACTGAATGTTTTTTTAAATGTAACTGCTAGAAATTTAGCAGACCATACTTGAATATGAATTTTAGTGGTCTGTTGATCCAGTGAATGAAAAAAAGATTTCAAACTCATAGAAATTCCAAACAGTATTAAGCAAGGTCTCCTCTGCTAAAGTTTATGAAAACATAACATTTCTAACATTCATAAAATATCTACTTTGAGTGGATGTTCTATAGCTGAGAGGGATTTATTTTACCAAGTGACATTGGCAGAGTATACCTCACAGTTCACTTAGTTAACTTCCGGTATTTGAACCGGAAGTGACTTCATGCGCTACGTGATGCGGGAAAGTAAAGGCGTGTGGCTTCGTATTTCAATTTCCAAATTTCCTTTGGGAGGAGTGTCAAGAATTAGTAGCGAAAACTGTTTCTTACACCGCCTCTATTTTTGCTTGCCGATCCGATTTTATACGTGTTAGTGCTTAAGGTACAAGATGGCTTCAAGAAAGACCAAAAAGACGACAAAAAAGCGAGCTCACCGAGCCACTTCGAACGTGTTTGCCATGTTCGACCAAAACCAAATTCAGGAATTTAAAGAGGCTTTTAACATGATCGACCAAAACAGTGATGGTTTCGTGGATAAGGAAGATTTACACGACATGCTGGCTTCCCTGGGTAAAGATCCTACCGACGAATATTTGGAAGAGATGGTGAAAATGTCTCCTGGTCCTATCAACTTCACAATGTTTCTAACGCTGTTTGGTGAAAAACTGAACGGGACAGATCCTGAAGATGTAATAAATAATGCGTTTGCCTGTTTTGATGACGATGGTAACGGTAAAGTGCACGAAGATGCATTGAAAGAGGCTCTAACTACGATGGGAGACAGATTTACCGAGGATCAGGTTGATGATGTGCTTCGTGACGCGCCGATTGACAAAGATGGATACCTGGATTTCGTTAAGTTCACACACATCCTGAAACACGGAAAAAAGGATGACAATGATTGAGACTATCGACAGTTTCCATGAAAATATTTCAGATTTGTTAAGAAAATTTTTGAGGGTCTGTTCTTTTTACTGAAATTTGTAATATATAAAATAATGAAGCGAAGATCTAATGTATGATATATTAGCTAGTTTGTGGATTCCATATTGTTAGCCATTTAAGGTCATTTATTGGCTTTGGAATGTCTGGCATGAAATTTATTGAACTGGAACGAATTGTTACCTATGACTTAACTTTTTTGAGCATTTCATCTGATTGATCTTTTGTCACAATATGGGTTGACAAACTTCACTGTGTTTGACAATGGAAGCCTCCGTCACTCTCCTTGTTATTTCCCAGTGCTTGATTTAAGGAAACACTAAGATTTTTTTAAAAATGCCTCAAAATAATATTTTATGAATAAAGAAATATCAGGAACTAAAGTTGAAGCCATAGGGTTTGGTTATTGCAGTTAATGGCAAAAGCACAATCTTCAATCTTCCTGCTTTATAATTCCTGTTTCAAGGTAATGCATTGTCACAAATGGCTCCCTTGCCTCAAGAAATTCATGGTAATTCACTTATAGTAGAAGATCACAGTGCTTTAATCACTAGAAATTGTGATTGTTGGTTCTCACAATTCACAATGAGGTTCACTCCCTCAATACACATGTGGTAGTCCTAATCCCTCTCTAAAATGATTGACATTGATCTTTTGAAAGCTGTCATGTGGTGATATGACACAATAAATTTAAACAACAGTAGTTAGACTGATTTCTGACAGCATGTTTTCTTGTTAATCTCAGCAGAGAAGTCAGTGTCATGCCAAGTTAACACTGTCTAGCTGGGAAGTCTAGCTACCATTATAATCACTTGAAAATGTGCTTTTATCAACTGAGAGGGTAATGTGAATTAGCCACCATAAAGAGATTGAAAAAACTGAAATCTCAAGCATTAGCCCTTTGTCAGAGCGAATCACTTGTTTGCTGCCAGAATCATAAGTAGCCGACCCAAGGGAAGGGTCCACAGAGTCTGGACACCCCACCTAACCTAAGGGTACTTTTACTATGTATCTGGACCCAAAATTATTCAAACAACATGATGAGATGTGTAACAGTACTTTCATACACAAAAGTGATTTCTAAACCAAAGTTTGGATCTATTCTTTTAAGAATTCTTGTATCAGCCCTTAGGTGTTGATGTTACAGTGAAAAGTTGCATGTGAGTCACTTGGAAGTAACATGAACAGCAGTGAGAAGGATGACAACTGGCTTCCTGGATTGAACTGTTTCAATTGCTATTGCGTATAAGAAAATTGTAGCTTTAAAACAGCTCTTTCACTTAAGAAATTACATTAATATTGTTGAGAGATGTGAGGTCAATTTTAATATTTTGGAAATGTCTCTAAGATATAGCTAAGGGATTCTTTGTGTTTTCCTTTGTAATAATATATTATTTACATTTAACAGATAAAATGACCTCCATTGTAATCTTTAAGTGCCCAGTCCTTCATATGTGATAAGTGATCTTCAAGCGTTCACTTTTGCTAAAGAAAGCAGCTTCACGAGAAAATGGGTCCAATATGAGTGTAGCATCACACGTTCCTGAGATAATGCAACAAGTAATCCACGTGAGTCGTTTTCGAGTCGATTAACTACCATCCCCACCCCTGCTGTGGTTTGAGTTCCGTAGTTCCCATGATTCTCATTGTCCCAGAGTTAGGCAGCGTCGTGTTTGATCACAAAGAGAAATTACAGATAAGGGTTCAGAACACGCAAACGTTTGACTCTTGTGACACGTCTAAGCATCAAAATTTTGCTATGAATTCAGAAAAGAAACTTCTCATTTGGGTAGTCAAAACGTCAAGTAGCATATAGAGTGTAGCATTGTGGAGAACTGAGGACAAATTTGTAAACCATGTCGAGTATAATCAGTCGTTTTTACAACCGAAATTCAGTAATCGTCTTTAGCGTGGTGGCTGTGTCTGCGTATTTTGCTTATCGCTACTATAAAAAAAGAAGAAGGACAGACACTTTTGCAGACGAAGATGCGTTACATAGGGAAATAAGAAGAAGAAGGGTAGAGAAACTCGTGGAATTACGGGATAAACTGGTAGGTTAGCTTTCCTCATGTTCAATCAGTGTGGTTAATCTCTTAGTGGCTGATTTCAGTTATGTTTAACCGAAAATCGATATCATATTTAAAGTTCACTAAGACTGTTTTAGTTGTGAAGCTTTCACCTAGGATTGCCCCTTTCAGTTCAAATTATTATATCCACAAGGCGAGCTCCCTATTACCATTATTACCATTATTATTACCATTATTAGCCTCATGAAGGAGTTTTTTGACCCAATGTTCTTGAGAATCAATTGCAGTATATCCTGGGACTGTAAACTGACTTCTCATTATTTTGAATCTTGACAACATTACCAAAACTCTTCTAACATTCACTATGATTCTTCATGCTAACTACAAGGAATGCATATAAGATCAAGTTATTACTGTGAAATACCAAAAAAAGCTAGAAACTGATTGTGACCTGTCAAATGAGGAGAAAAGGTGTAAAACTGTCATACATATAACACATTTCCTGTATTCTGATTGACTTGATTTTGTTATATCATGGTATAAAATTAAGTGTGAATCTAGATCAAACATTCAGGAGGAGCATTTGAGGGAGTTTTTTTACACTATACTCTTGAAAATCAACTGCAACATACCCTGAGATTTGTCTGAGGGAGGTAGAAATTCTCCCATGTGAACAAAAGATCACAATGACTAAATTTCTTGAAAGACTGTTCTTTGTTCATCCCAGCAGTTGAGCCGAAATTTCTGATATGAACAAAAGATAAAAAAAACTGTCATGCTGACCAGGTCCCATGGAAGAGGAAACAAAATGCTTCCATGAAGAACTAAAACTCAAACTAAAGATTTCCAGGAAATCAAGGTATTTTCTTCTTTCCAACAGGAGCAACTCCTTGGCTCATTAGACAACTTTCAACCAGAACTCCCTGATACTGAAGATGATGAGGTAAAATTTTTGAAACATTCAGTATAATATGTTTGTTTACCTGGTGAATTCATCATTCAAAACTTTGAAAGATTTGTGGTATTCTTCAAGTGCAGGATAGATGCAAGTTTATGTTCAATTATCTTTTTGCCTTAATTGTTTAGTTGTTAGTATATATAAATATTAGTCATTGTCTTGTGCTGTAATATTTTACATGTTGCCCTTTTTGAAAAAGGTTGCTTCTTTGAGTTGTACACCCATTAACCCTTTAAATCCCAAGAGATCATTTCCTTGTAAATTGGTTACGAGAATGCAGTGTTAAGTCAAGATGACAACTTCTACCTAATAAGTCTGAGTAATCTCATTTCCTTTTTGCTGAATAATGTATGAATACTATGGTGAGAAGTTACATGTTAATCACATCTGGGAGTTGAAGGGCATAAAAACCTCTGCTGTAACATAATTCTTTACCAATTCACTTGTAAGTCATAAAGGATTGATATGTATAGCACATTTCAACAAAATTGTTCAATGAGCACAATATTAAGTCCTTTGAACTGTTATTTTCCCTCTTCTAGTGTATTGTGTGCAATAGTGCTAAGGCCATCATTCAAACATATCCTTGCAAACACCGAGTTCTTTGTCGTCGCTGTTTTGTCAGAACACTGCAGGTGGCTGTTAACGACCTCAATCTTCCCTTGAAGTGTGTGGTTTGTCGTGCAAGGATTCAAACCTTGGACAGAGATCGTCATGAAGGAAATCCAACTCTGGCACTGCTAGGAGCAAACATTTTGTTTTAAATTTGTTTGAGTTTGTCAAATTACTTCATAATGTTTGTATTAGTTATTTTGAAAGTGTAGCTAATCATATCCTTGTTCAATAAGCTGAAAGATTTTTTTTCTTCAGAATGTGCAGCAGTAAATTTATAATTTAATAAGCTATTTCACTTTATATGAAGTAATGGGGTTACTCATTTATTCCCTAGATATTGTTAAAGGGAGGCAACTTGCTAAGTTGCATTATTCTAGACTTTAGTAGAACTTCAATTAAAGTAATCAATAGCTTGCAAAGCTTGTTGTTTTTATGGCTCTCAATGAAAAAATGAGAGAAGAGCTTTGAAAACAGTCACAGAAACCCCCCTCTGCTTTAATTTTTAACTCCTTTTCATGAGGATGCTACTCAATGCATTAAAGTGCATATCAAATCACCAGCATCTTGGGCTAATAATATTTGTTGTGTGTTCCTTTTCTCAGGTCAGAGGTGTGGTCTATAAAAATAATTTGTCAGTTATTCATGGCCCACTCTTCATTCTGTTTGGTAGTGAGAATAACTATTTTGACACAAATATAGCATATGACAAGGACTGGGCATTTACAAGATAGATTTATAACATTAGGCTTTTTTTTATTACATGTAATAGTTGATATTTTGCCATTGAGATTAAAGACTCCATATGGATGCTTGGAAAAGTGTGTACAAGAATAAGCTATTGATAGATTTCAAATTCACTCTAGACACTTGAAATTGTTGTTCTGCAGAGCATAGATAGGAGATTGAAAAAGTTTAGGAGCTTTTTGTATCATCATGAGCTCATAGCTGTCATATTCAAGCTTTATTAAAGGTCCTTAATTTGTTTATCAAGACCCTATATTCTGTGTTACTACAAAGTACAGTTGCTACTTTGCACTCATAGGCTTGAAAAGCAGTTTTAGTCATCCAGTTTTGTGGCCCCTTAACCTTTTGACCCCTAAGAGTGACCAGCATCTAATTTCCCCTACAATATTACCCCTGAATCACACATCAAGGTCATGAGAATAAAGGAAATGATCACCAACTAAAAAAAGGCATTGATTGTTACACAAATTATCTTTGTCAACACCTTTGGAAATGTATAAAGAACAGTATGAAGAATATGTATCCTGATGTTAGGGTGTCAAAGGTTAATTTAGAAGGCAGATAATGTAATTTACTGAATGAAAAACTAAAATATGAAAGCCAAGGCTGGAATAGAGTGTAACTCTACTGCCATTTTTTGTATGTAAGATTTTGCATGATTGTTATCAGGCATTAAAGTAATGATTGTACTTTTTCTGTAATTTATAATAAACTGTCTTTTAATTTCATGTCTTGTTTAGTAGTTGCCAAATGTTTACAATTCACAATGATTGGTGGGTGGGGGGGGGGGGGGGCAGCAGCACAATTTCAAGTAAAAAAACTGTGGTTCTGTGTTGGTGGCAGGTATTGCATGGTTCCATCAACTGGGCTGATGATGTAAATTCGCCACTGTAAACAGTTAAGAGTTTCTAAAACAGCCACTTTGGGTATTCCCCATTTGTCAGAGCTAGTTGATTGTGCCTTGTGGAGCTAATTTTCTTCACTTTAAAATCATGAAAATGTTATCTACTCAAATGGACAAAATAATTTCCTTTGATGGGTTTAAAATTAAAAGTAACTTATCACAACAAGCCTATGTTACTAAAACTGGAATTCCAATGTTTGTTTTGGGTATGTTCAAGTCTTTACAGTATTTTAAGTGTGAAGTGTCTCACTCCTTTCCATTGAATGCTCCAATTGGCACTCTGCAGCCCCACCCTTTCGATGTCTTTGATAGCTCTGCTTGCTCATTAACAAAACAGCCTCCTCTTCCTGAATGGATTGAATCTCTTCACTGTTCTGCTGTTCCTAGCACTCTGGTGTTGACTCTGTATGTCCATCATGTTTGAGTTTCTCTTCACCATCCCAAGCACCACCATCTCAATGTCCCTCCTATGACTTCTTACATACTGCAACATCATGGCTCAAATATTTTCTGTTACCCTATTCATTCTGATTCTTCTCCTTTTCACTTTCTGTTCCTCCACTCTTTGATTCTTCCTCTGTGCTTCCTCTGTTCCTATCTCTTTTTTGTCTCTTGCAGGTTAACATCTCTGAACTTTTAACCTTTTTAAAAGGCTCAGCAGTATCTGTTTTGGTTTCATTCTTATTTTTACCTGCAGTTCTTTTTGTTTTTGCACTTGAACTTTTCTCTGGTTTGGGTGTTCTTGAGTCATCTTGATTTTCTTCCCAAGCTAGTTCCCAGTCTTCATCACCAAATTGTGCAGGGCTTTTGGATTTTCCTGGAGCCTGGTAACTGAAAATCATAAATCAGAGAAATTCCTGGAATCACAGTCTCAAGTGAAAAGTAAGTAAAATACTTTAAACTTGTAAAAATCATCTGGCTATCAATTTTCATATCTAGCATTGAAAAAATAAACAGAAATCAGGCAAAGGAAGATAAATTAGTGAAAAAAATATTTTGGGGGAAAAAAGTTTCTGCGATTTTGATGATGTTGCTTTACTTCTGACATCTATATTTGCAGAAATAACCATCAGGATATAGTAATCTTCTGTATGACCTCTGTTTTCAATCAACCATTACACTCCCACAGTTTCTTTACAATCAGTCATACATTTCTTTTCAATTTTTTGTGAAAATTTGGTTTTGATTAATGATAACCTCCTAGATGATACATTCTCTTATTTTCTTATCAGGGGTCTGCTATGTATCAATGCTAATGATCCTTTACCTCCCATAAGTGATTAACAAATAATTTCCTCCTACAATATCCCTGTACATTATTCAGCAAGCAGGTAATGGGAATACTGAAACTCATGTGGAAGTTATTGTCTTCATCTGACCTAAATTCTCATAACTTATTCTCACATAAATGTGTGACAGTTTGAGAGGAGAACAAACAACTGGATCTTGGGAGTGAAAGGGTTAATTAAGAGACAGCAGGGATCCATACGGGTGATTTTCCAAAGTTGTCAGCTGAGCAAGTATGTCAGAAAAGATAGTTGCCCTGGCTAGATTTAACTTGCCTGTATATCTGCCTGTAACATTGCATTATAAACTTAAGAAAGGCAATGACAAGTACAAGATAAATGGGGCCATAATTGTACCACAAAAATTGGCTTCCAACAATAAAACTTTGCAAACTAAAATCCGCTTTTTTCCCCTGGTAAAAGCACTTTATTGTTGGTGGAAAGCTAAACCACAGGTAAGTCTTGGATGTCAAATAATAATAATTTAATAATAAAAAATTTCCAAATTTAGTTGTCCATCGGACAAATTTTTGTGTCATCATACTTGCCTGAATGATGTTATAGTTGTCTCAGGTGACCTGACAGCTGCTAATATGGATCACTGAGTTATCATATATCGGTCACTCCTGAGAATGGACAAGCTAAACCTTATTACTAATCTCTGACAACTTACCCTGGTTGAGATACATCTAAAGGGATTTTGGACAGAGTAATACTGATGGATGGAATTTTCCTTGTCACTTGAAGCCTGTATATACAAATCACAACAATTTACCTTTGTACTGTAACATCTTAACTTTGACTTAATGATAAAGAGTATACTCAAACCCAAAAAACAGGCTGTAGTGAAGTCAGATGATGCTAAGTTGTTAACAGGGGTGATATTGTGAGGAGAAATCTGATGCTAGTCATTCTTAGGGGTAGATTGGTTAAAGGGGCCCATGGTTGTTAATTGCTAGGCAGAGATTGCTGTTAAATGGATTCATTGATAAGAGAGTTAATTATACTCACTTATCAAGATGATCCTCCTTGGGTTCCCATGTATCTTGAATTCTGATTAGAGAAAAATGGATGATTACCAGTCATATTTGAACATCAAGGAAAAATACAACTGCAGGAAAGGCATTGCTCAATGTACACTTACCTGGAGTAAAACAGCTTGTTTATCTGGTGTAAACCCTGGCATGGAAGTAACATTATCAGAAAAAAAAGAAATAAAATTAATGCTGACAAAAAAAGTTACCAAGGCAAAGTCACAAGACAAAGCTGAGGCATCTCTCTAAAGAAATGCAGGTAATTTAGTGTTTAACAACTGAGTTGAAAACGTAAATTGGCCACTGTAAAGGGTAAAAGAAATATTCAAAGAAATTGAAATGAAATGTTCTGAGAAATGCTCAAATTTAGGAGAGGAAAGGCAATAAGAAAGATCATATTATTGTTTGAGTAAAATATCAGTTAAAGGCTCAGGAAATTATTTCAGACCATAACTTTGAAGAAGCAGAGCAGGAGAACATGTTCTCTGTAAATGAACCAACACATCCATATAAAGCAGCATCATAGAACTTATATCTATTCTTACCTTTGTCTTTCTTTTTATAATTTCAGCGCATGTAATGGTTTTGGTCACAGTCGGTCCTGATCCAATCAAAACTATTTTCTCGCCCTTCTTGTTCTTTGTCAAAAAAAAGAAAGAAAGAAAACAGTAATGTTGTTTAAAATAAAGGGGTTCTATGTAAGTTTAGATATCAAGTCATCAATTATTATGACAGGATTTCATAGCTCCACTTTTATAACAGGGCTTAGAGTTATAAAGGGGAAGGGACTGTAACATGTATTCTGTTCCGAGGCTGCTGAAAAAAGAGACAGAAAATATCTACTAAGGCAACATAACTTTGAGGGCAGCAATTCATCTTTAACCCTCTCCCTTACAACAGTGTATTCAGTTTATTACCCCTAAGACAGGATATGAGCTTTTTTAACCCTTCAATTTCCATACATGATTAACATGTAACTTCTCCCCTTGATATCCATATGTTATCCAGCAAACAGGTATTGAGAATACTCAACCTATCAGGTTATGCGTAACGGCTGGAGGGGATAATTAACAATAAGAATCAGATCTTGGGAGTTAAAGGGTTAAAGCAAATCTGTCCTTTTGTTGCAATAAACAAACACCGACCCTAAAATATCTTAGTCCATGTTGTCCTTAAGCAAGAAATAATCCTTTTTAAATTTCAGGTCAATACCTGCAGTAGTCTAAAGGCTTGAGATATGATGTTCCTTATCTTGCTGCCACTTTTGACGTGAATATCACACGCTTCTTTCTTCTCCTCGCTTTCAGAGGCGTGACTGCTGACTTTTGTATAGTGCTCCATCTGCTATGTTCTTCCTTCTCCCAATAGAGCAGCTATCATTTGCAAAACTGGAAGTCTACGATTTCTTTCAAATATATGGTTTAGACACAAGCTTGGAAAATCGCGGGCCCTCGATACATGTAATTCTGTGGTGTATGATTATACAGAAAGTCATCTTCATCCGGGTACTTTTTTGTTCAAATTTCGTTGCATTGTGGGTTTCTACGGTGTGCGAACGTGAAAAAAGATGGCCGCTTTAGCTAAAGCCCCGACTACACATGAAGGTAAATGTGTCTCTTTTACACTCCAAGAAACTACACTATGCCAGCTTTATTCATTGCCTGAGTAACTGAAGTACATTTTCTTCCTTTCAGAAATCGAGTGGCAAATTCAGCAATTACAAGCTCAACGATCGAATTTACCCAAAGTTGACATCGGAGAAAAGGTTAGATTTTCCTGACGTACTTTTTTATCCGCGTCTACTTTCGACTGTGTTATATGAGGAGATACATTTTCAATGTCTTATTTGCCTTCTGTATTGTTTTAATGTAGATATCAAAAGCTTTTTAGGCTTCACCATCATAAAGTACCTCAAATAGTATAATAAAAATGTAATTCAAGAAGATGATCGACTTGTTTGCATTGTTGGTCATGTACCTTTTAGGTTGGGTTAGCTTCTGTTGGCGAAGGAGGATATGATGTCGACATTTATGGTGCGGGTGGTGGCAGGTCAGTGTCCGTTATTTCTCTCTCGACAATTATTCTTGTATGTTACAAATATTATCAGTGACTGTTCTAATTGAAAATTTTCAGTCGCATTATCCCGAATACATTTTTTTTGCATCACGTATCATTAATTTTCCTGTGATAAATTTATTTCCTTTATGCTGCCAGATATGACCTCTCTGTTTATTTATATTCATTTCAGGTTTGAAGGCTATTCAATTGATATTGCTCCAAATGAACAAGAAGAGGTGAGCATCCTTAAATCTAGTATTCATTAAATATTTGTACTGAGAATGTCTAACAACCTGGTTTCAGGACCCCATAGATTTGTTGCAGTTATGCTTTTGCTCAAGTACTAGTACTGCTCACATCTATTTTTTTAAATTTTGAAGTATTTTTTTTATTTGTTCATGACAGGATGATGATGATTACTCTACCACTATTATGCATCCTTCAAGGAACACTTATACAGCTCCTACAGCACTGTTAAATGATATAGCCAGGTCCTCTGAGAATGTAAGTACACCTCAACAATGTTTGTCACTTGTCTCAAATCTTTTCATAATTTTATAAGGAGGATTCACTGAGATAGTACTATGAATGGAAGAAGAGTTAACCCTTCAACTCCCAAGATCAGATTGTAAATTCTCCCCTATATCTAACACACAATTCCTTGTAAATAAGTTATGAGAATTTGGTGTTAGATCAAGATAACAGCTTCTTGATAAGTTTGAGTATTCTCATTACCTGGTGGCTGGCTAATGTAGGGATGTAATTAGGAGAAGTTACAAGTTAATCACTTCAGGGAGGTAAAAGGTTAATCTTGACTGTGCTGTATGACATAGGTATATAAAAAACAGCAACAATAATATAGAGACTGAGTAAGGAATCAATTTGACCTTTTGACCTCTGAGAGTGACAAGTATTTAGTATTTCCTTACAGCATCACCCTCAAATCAGACATTAAGGTCACAAGAATAAAGGAAATGATCATCAGCTTAAAAAAGTCAGGATTATTTAACAATTTCTCCTAGTCAGCACCTTAGGAAATGTATAGAGAACAGTATGGAGAATATGTATAACTGATGTTAATGTGTAAAAGCTTAGAGAGAAGTGAGTTTGATAGAAAAGAATCAGAGGTTCTTCTATCTTCATTGATTACAGGTGGATCCGTTTGCACAACACAGGCAGCAAACCATTGCTGAGCGTGAAGATGAATATAGAGCAAGGAGAAGGCAGATGGTGATATCACCACCAAGGCATGATCCTTTTGCAGATGGTAGGTGTTGTAGATTGATGGATTATTTTTAAGTATTCTTTATGCCAGTGTTTCTCGTGTATGTGTTTAACCTGCTACAAAGTAGTCAAGTAGGAGGTAAAGTGTGGTTGGAATTGATGATTTGCCCACAGTGATGATGGTCACATAATTGTAATTAAGCATAAGTAGAGAAGAGTGATCATTTTGTGGAATTCATTACAACATCCAGTTGCAACCTTGTTTTGACTTAGAAATGTTTTATTAGGTATCTAAATTAGTTATTCAATTGATGATCAAATTCAGTTCTATTTATGGACTGATTTACCTGTTAGCCGTTATACAATTTTGCAGTTTTCAAAGTTTTGTCAGTAGTCCCTTGAAGACAGACAAATTAGTGACATAAGAATCATTGAAGAATTCTTGTTGACTTAAATCAAGTCCTCCTCTTAAGCTTTCTAAGCAGTATTCCTTTAAAGAATTGGCAAGGGAGCTTATTGCCAAGAATCTGTGCCTCCCACCCTTGAAAAAGGCTTAATTTTTTAAGTGAAGTAGAATTTTCCAGCTAAGTTTGAATAAGGAAATTATCCTTTGTAACAAACACTGTTGACCCCATTGGTCTCCTATGATTCCTTAAGCTGCCTCAAATTTACTAAGCATTGCTTTTTCCATCTGTGAATATACCCTAAAGTAGATGTTTGGCTAATGCAAAACTTTATTTGGTTCTTTGCAAAAGGCTGTCTTGCGTATGCAGTGTTGTTAGTCTGGCTTGAGCAGTTTTTGATTGGCTGTTGCAAAGAAAATTACACAGTGTATCACTTATAGCTTTTTTGTAATTCAACAGTAATTTACTCAGATTATTAGAGAATCTGCTCTTCATACCAAAAGTTAAAATCCAGTGGAATTTTATTTTTGAAAAAAATTATGTGCCACATGTTTTTTTGATATTTTGTTTTCCATGTGCTGGTAGACTAGATTTTTTGGTCATCATTTGTCATTCAAAAACTGCTCTTTGCTTTTATGATTTAAGTAAGAACTGTTTACTTCATTTTACTTACTCCTAAACCCCTTTTCTTCATTCAGCGGTGATGGAAACTTCACTCATCAACTGCGCAAAATTAATGCAAGAGTATTTGTCTCAATGTTGGTTATTTATAGATACTATTGTTCAAGTTTTATTTTTGGTACAAGTCTTGTGGAACAAAGTGTCATTACCAGCATAATTTCAAGGCTATATAATTTTTGAATAACAATGTTTGAATATTTCGATGTTTGCTAAATTGTAGCTGTTCAAGTTTGAAAACAGTTTTCAAAGTGTTATACTTGCAAGTAATTTGAATTCTTGATGGTTTCACAACAGTGTTTCATCATCAATACATGAATCTATGTGCAAAGGGAACCCTTTTTTCCTCAAAATTATATAATTTTTACAGTACTCTGTATTATGAAATGCAAGGTGAATTTTAATCATCTTCACTAAAAAAAAAATTGAAAAACAGATGTAGTCAGACAAAATTTTGTACTATCATGCCAAAGCTAACTTCATCCCTTCCAAAATTAGTAAATAAAAAAAAAAAGAGGCATTGTGAAGAGGACACCTTTCCTCAAAATCCAGGGAAAGTTTATTGAAATTTCATATTTGTAAAGTGTAGAATACACAGTACATACTTAGAGTAAGATGCCCTAAGCCAGTACTGATGCTACACAGTGGTCGATTACTGACCTCTGAAGAATTTTTAAATAGGAGAAGTGCTTGAGTTTATCAACTAACTCGATGCCATGCCAAGATGCGACGTCAGTGACTCATCTCAAGACTAGCCATTGGGTTGGTGTTACCTTGCCGCAGCCACCTTTCCAGACAAAAAAAAAAACAACAATTGTACATGTGTGGTGTTATTGTGTCTGTTTGTCATAATCTGTCTTTTGCAACTAGCAGCTTAGTTTTAACAAATACACTTGCTGGTTTCTGAAAGTCCTAAAATGGCAGTTACAATTGAACTGTTTCCATGGATTTGAAGAGACTGGCAATTGTTGTGTAAGAGTAGTAGTTGAAAGAATTTCAGAGAATTGATATGGCAAGAAATTGCATGGTAAATTTTTGTGGTAGGATTTTCTAGTCTGTTGTACCTCTTCATATTGTTAGCTAAGCTGCTGTGATAATTTTGTTATTTTGTCATGTGCTGTTGTGTTTGGTAATTTGAAAGCAGCTAATATTGTTTCTGTTTTTTATTTTTCTCTTGTAAGGTGGCAAAACACCTGATCCATCCCAGTTGATTAATACAAGGACGTATCAGGACATTATTCAAGAAACAGCTCTTCATAGAGAGCAGGTTTGTATTCTGTGCACTTTACATAGATTATGGACTAAATTAATGATATTTTGAGCTGAAGAAGGAATAGTCTCATTTTTGTGAAGGGCTCTTTTTTTGTTAATTTTTGCTGTATTATAGATTTTTTCATTAGTAATGTTGGGCTTTTTTTTCTTAATGATTTGTTACATAACTTCTGTCATTGAAACCTTCTACATGATGTTCCTTCAAGTTATCAAGTAGGACAGTCTTTGTTTGTGGGAAAGGTTAGAACAGCTAGTGATAAATTTTGTTTGTCTTCTTTCTAGGCGCAAATCTTTCATGATATCAGGAACCAAGCAGCCTCAGGGGAATTGCAAAAGGCTCAACCAGCTGCAGCATCAAAACCAGGTTTGTTTCTGTTAACCTTTCAACCAAGATTTGATTGTGAATTTTCCCCTCTAGCTGTGACATATTTCATTGTAAATTAATTACAAGAATTTGGTGTTCGTTCTATATAACAACTTTTACCTTATAATTTTGAGTGTTCTCATTACCTGTGTGTTGGTTGAAGTTACATGTTAATCATCTTAAGGAGTTAAAGCTTTTCAATCCCCTCTCCAAGTAGTAATATTGCAACAAGATAACACTGTACTTTTTATGATTGTTGGATATTTATCTTCTCTTTTTTATTTTTTATTTTGGGAAGGAAGGGAAGAAACATGTAAAATAGGTGCAAGCAGCTTGCTTAGCTGATACTAATAAAATGTTGAATATGAGTTGTTTGCAGTTTAAACACTCAAGTGGAATTGTGTTTCATTTCATTTCAGAGAGGAAGCGCCGCAGATGGGATCAGCAGGCTTCTGGGGATGAAACACCAGCCAAGAAAAAGTCTAGCAGTTGGGATCAGGCTGAGGTAGGAAAACTTGCTTCTCAGAGATGTCAATCTCTTTTTTTCCTCAGGATATATCTACGAGTACTGGTTTCATGTCCTTAAAGCAGTATATAAATCAAAGACAACTCAATTCTTGTACTGTTTATGAACCCTGCAACCAGTCTTTAGTCAGCTTTGAAGGCAACAAATGCAGCCATTTCTTTCTCAGATAAAATTTTAAAACCTTTAAAACCTTTACTTGCTTTCATTACAGATGGCGACTCCTTCTGCCAGTCGCTGGGATGAAACTCCTGGGCGTACAAAAGGCTCAGAAACACCAGGTGTTACCCCCCACAGGCCTGGCTCTGAGACACCAGGAGCTACCCCTAGCACCAGGATATGGGAAGCTACACCAAGCCATGTGACCCCTGGACATGCCACACCTGGACATGCCACTCCTGGCGGCAATACCACACCAGGTAAAGTCTTCTTTTTGTGTGGTCAGGGCTCATATATTTATATATATATGTTCTTATTTTGGGTCAACTACTGTTAATTTCTAATGGCCTTCACTTGATTACCAGGCATTTCATCAACCAGGAGAAATCGCTGGGATGAAACTCCCAAGACAGAAAGAGGTTTGTTGTTTTCAGTATGTCAATAATCTCCTCTTTCCTGGGCAGTTGTTGATTTTGAAGGGAAGTGTCACCAGTTTTAAGTTCTTCTGTTTTTACAATGACAGCTGCGGCTTTTAAACATGATCTTGATCTCTTGACTTTTTTCCCTTTACATTATGCACAATGAAATAACTAAATTTCCTGAACAGTGCAAGTTTCTTTAGGCTAGCAGGATCACAATACATTACCAAAATGTTAGGGAGTAATTATTATAGAAAAGATTGAAGTATATTGAGACAATTGATCCTCCTTAAACTTGGAAAATTGAACATAAGATATAAATGAAAAATAAAATGCTGATCATTTAAGAAAACTTTTGTTTATGGACGGCTTTTCTCCTCAAAGGTGAAACTCCAGGTCATGCCACTCCAGGCTGGGCAGAAACTCCTAGAACAGATCGCACTGGTGCCGAGACACCTGGAGCCACACCTACTCCAGGAAGTAAGCGACGTTCACGATGGGATGAGACACCTGCCAGTCAAATGGGTGGCACCACCCCGATGATTGGTACCAGTGGCGTGACACCAGCTGGACCTGCAGCCATGCAGATGCAGACACCTACCCCAGGACAGATGGCTATGACACCAGAGCAGATGCAGGCATATCGCTGGGAGAGAGAAATTGATGAAAGGAACAGGTACCTTTCTGATGATGAACTGGATTCGTTTTTCCCAAAAGAGGGATACAAGGTATGAGTGTTTTGTTCTCATTTTGGATTAATTAGAGGGAAAAAAGGGCCTTTTCCCTTTCTTTTTTGCTTTTGAGCTTCACAAAGAAACGGACTATTCTTAAGCAAATTTGCAGTCAATTCCGTGGAATGGTGTGGACTTCATTTGAACCAGTCTTCATTCGGTAGCTGGTCAAATGTTTCACTCTTATTGTTTTAAACATGTATTAGTAATGCTTTCAAAACTTGTGGTCCTTTTCCAATGAATGTGCAATAAAATGACACAAAAAGACCCTAAAATCTATAAGTGAGGAGAGAACAAGACTTGACTGCACTTCAAAAATTACTGGTTACCACCAGTTTCTTGTTTCTTTCAAACTTTCTATAAACCTGGGCCAGGTTGTTTAAATTGGGGTTAAGATAACCTAGGGTTGGTGTGAAATCTTTTTCCAGATCTGAAAGCTTTAAAAGAAAGTCCAGAAAGAAAGAAAGTTGAACAACTGGGCCCTGATGATAAACATTTTATCTTTCAGATTCTTGAGCCACCTCCAGGCTATCAGCCTATCAGAACTCCAAGCCGTAAGCTAACAGCCACTCCCACCCCTATAGGGGGAAGTGGCTTTTTCATCCAGGTATGTGATTCTGACTTCCTTTCTTGTCATCCACACTATCCATTTAAAATGTTAGAAAGATTATATGGCTTGTTGATATGATACCATCTCATCTCTGTCATGTGGAATTTATTCAAGATAATGCTTATGCTGTTGTTGAAATATTTCACTTGTGACTAATTGTTTTCTTTTTATTTGTTAATGCAGCAAGAAGACAGATCAGCCAAACTGGTTGAAGATCAACCACCTGGTAACTTGCCCTACTTGAAACCAGATGATGTACAATACTTTGATAAGCTGCTGGTAAGTTGAAAAAGCCCAAGACTTTATAGGTGTAGACATACAAGCAGCAGCTCCCACACATTTTACCGAAAAAAAGAACTGTTAGTTGATACCTTTTTTAAAATCTTATTACTTTTCTTCAGAACAGTATATATATTGTTAGTTGAATTTCTGTACTGATGACTTGAAGGAGGCAAGAGAGTGTACAATAATGGTTATAAAGTAAAACACACCCAAGAGTATTTTTTTCTATTTGGAAAAAATAACTAAATAATAGATTTTTTAATTTGTTTAAACTGTGCTGTGTCTCACCCGGCCTCATGATATCAACAGGTGGATGTTGATGAGAGCACTCTTAGTCCAGAAGAGTTGAAGGAAAGAAAGATCATGAAACTCTTACTGAAGATTAAAAATGGCACTCCACCCATGAGAAAGGCTGCCTTGCGTCAGATCACAGACAAAGCTCGTGAGTTTGGAGCAGGTCCACTGTTCAACCAGATCCTACCTCTTCTTATGTCTCCTACACTTGAAGATCAGGTGACGTAAAATTTGAACAAACTTCTGGTTTTGTTCTTTTGATGCTCAGTGTGAAATGGAATTTATATTTATTTGATGAAGTCAGGCAGTTCTTTGCAAGCACTTGTATTTTAGGCATAGTTTATTTGATTTAGAAACAGTTTGATGTGAGTTCTTTTGGTTAATTACTTTGGTAACATACCAGGATCAAAGAAAAAACTGATCTATTTTAAAACCATTTTAAACTAAAACATAAGTACTTGGACCCTCAACTTCCTGATAGTAATGGCCTCTGTCCATTTATCACGTGCTTGCTTGGAAGAAAATAAATTCCTAGATACTTTGTGAAATTGTGTACACACTGAAATAGCTAGCATGCACTCATGTGTACATCTTTACATGAAATCTGAACTCTTAAGCCTGAATTTTTGTTAAATGTAAAGATTTTTTAAAAATTGTCTACAGCTGTCCTTGCTCATTTTTACTTTTGATGATTCAATCATTTTCATCTCTCTGATGAAGGAGTTTTTTTTGTTTACAGGAACGTCATTTGTTGGTGAAGGTCATTGACAGAATTCTGTACAAACTTGATGATCTTGTTCGTCCATTTGTCCATAAGGTAAGCTAAATGGTTGCTATGCTTCAGTGCATCTTTTTCTTAGGTAGTATGCTCTTTATATTCATGCCATTTACTGAACTTGGCCTTATCTCTTGCAGATCCTTGTGGTTATTGAGCCACTTTTGATTGATGAAGACTACTATGCTAGAGTGGAGGGACGTGAAATTATTTCCAACTTGGCTAAGGTTAGTAGAGGATTCATTTTTGTCTTTCTGAAACAATATTTTTTTCTCTTTAGGGTGGTATAAGAGTGTTGTTTTTTCTTTTCCATTTCAAGGAAGGTGTCTTCCTTCACAGAGACTTAAACAACTCATAAAGAGAAGAAATCGGCTTCTGCCATAATCAAGCCATGTTGAATATTGTACAATTTACTAATGTGTGGCCTACAAAGACTGATCAAATGTCATGTAACTATGAAGTGGAAAAGATGATTCACTATATTGCTAATGTATATCTGTCTTTTAGGCTGCTGGTTTGGCCACAATGATCTCTACCATGAGACCTGATATTGATAATATTGATGAGTATGTCCGTAACACAACAGCAAGGTAAGCTCCATACATGTTAGTCAATAAAAGTTCATGCTTAGTTTTTTATCTCCAATCATATATGTTGATGTAAATGTACATGTACAACTTACATGACTGTTGTGATCTATTCATTGCAGAGCTTTTGCAGTTGTAGCTTCAGCTCTTGGCATTCCTTCCTTGTTACCATTCTTAAAAGCTGTATGTCGCAGCAAGAAATCATGGCAAGCACGTCACACTGGAATCAAAATTGTCCAGCAGATAGCCATTTTGATGGGATGTGCTATCTTGCCTCATTTGAGAAACTTAGTGGAGATTATTGAACATGGTAAGAGAGGTTGTAGAGAAGATTTTAAGATTGAAAGCTCAAAAGAGCAAATGACACAATGTATAGCCCTATGTAGTACAAAATTTTTAGATAGCTTGATATCATTTAACTATCTTAAACTATCTTATCCACACTTATTGTGCAGTGTTAGCAATAGCTTTCTTCTAGACTCTACCAACAAAATAGTAAAAGTGAGTTACATCTATCAAAGAAACCATATTTAGAACATAGAGATATTGTCCACTGTATTGTGGAAAGAGTAGATAATGTCTGGATGGAAAAATGTAATTGCATAGCTACTGATGAACATCCAGAAAGGACAAACATGCAATTTCTCCTTTCAATTTTACTACATTATCCTGCAAACCATGATGGGAGCAGACAGGCTTTCAGGCAAGGGTTTTGTTCTCGATTTTTCACCAAATTATTTAATGAGTTACAAAGAAATGTTTACTAGTAATGCACCAAGTAATACCTTTATGGGTATTCTGTGGATGAGTAACACTCTTGAAATATATATCTTGGCTGCTTTGTTAGGTTTGGTTGATGAACAGCAGAAGGTGCGAACTATCACTGCTCTTGCCTTAGCTGCCCTGGCTGAAGCTGCTACACCCTATGGTATTGAGTCCTTTGATAGTGTCCTGAAGCCCCTGTGGAAGGGTATAAGACAACACAGAGGAAAGGTAACTTTTTAAAAGAATGTGTCGCACAGCTTAGTGGAGAGTCTTGGATTTTCTAGAAACTACAGAAATTTCAACACTTATAAGGCCGCTAATAAGCATAGATAATACAGATGAAGTGTTTATAAAATAGCAAGATGTCTGGATGTTTTTCCAAGGTGCAAGAAGTGGTCAATTCTTGTTGAGATCCAATTCTGCTGAAGTGAATATCTCTCAAATTTCCTTGGCCAAATGTTATCGTACAAGGTCTGAAAATTTTGAATTTGGGGTCAACTATTGACTACAGTGTGCATTAACTTAAAATCTTCTATACAGGCCTTGTGGTTTGGCTGAAAACTTTGAATTTGGAAAATGAAGATGTTGCTCACAAAATCTTACCTTATTATTTCTTCAAAAGTAACGTATTTGAGAGAGACTGCTGCCTTATCTATTCTGCATTTATCACTGTTTTGTGTCCAGAGATTTGGACGTGGGTTGAATAAAAAGGGTGAAGGTTTTTCATACCATTGCTTACTTCAAATGTGTTTTTTCAGGGTCTGGCTGCCTTTCTGAAGGCTATTGGATACCTTATTCCACTCATGGATGCAGAGTATGCCAACTACTATACCAGAGAAGTGATGCTGATCTTGATTCGTGAGTTTCAGAGCCCTGACGAAGAAATGAAAAAGATTGTGTTGAAGGTAAAACAGCTAAAGGATTCTTATTTTTCTTGAAATCGGGTTGATTGGTTAACATACTTCAGAAATGGTCCACCAACTTAACATTGCGAACTTTGTTATAAACCCAAGTGCAAGATAACAAAACAGAAAATCAAGTTGTATCACTGCGCATGTTTAGTAGCTGGCTAATATCCTTTTGGCTTGTCTGGTTTGCAGGTAGTGAAGCAGTGCTGTGCCACGGATGGTGTTGAACCGCAGTACATCAAAGATGAGATTTTACCAGATTTCTTCAAACATTTCTGGCAGCACAGGATGGCATTGGATAGGAGAAATTACAGACAGGTCAGTCAAGTTCATGATATATATGCATTGTGCTCAAATTGTATTAAAAGTAACTTAGCCAGAGTAGTCTGAAATTTAGGGTCTTGAAGAGTTAAATTTTTGTAAGCATCTTGTTATCATTGTCAGAAAAGTAATAAGCGTCTTAGAAACGTTATTTCTCGATCTTCTTTTCCAGCGTCTGCAGCGTCAACATAATATAAAACATCAGTTCTCACTTTTTTCTTTAAGAGAAGCTTTTGTTTTAGAATGGGTTTTGTAATCCGTTTTCAAGCACCAAGTAATAATAATGTATACAGTATTCCAATCTCAGAATTTAAATGGCATTGCATATTATGTATAATTTTGACAGCTAGTGGATACAACTGTGGAACTGGCTAACAAAGTCGGAGCATCTGAGATCATCAACCGAATAGTGGACGATCTCAAAGATGAAAATGAACAGTACCGAAAAATGGTCATGGAAACAATTGAAAAGGTAACTTTTACCATATTATTTCTCACCACCCTAACGTCAGAAAGCCAGTTCCTACCATATGGTTTCGAGTTAAATCATTAATTGAATTCCACGAACAATTTCGTGGCAAAAAAAGGACCGAAACTTCTGACAGAACCGAAAACTTAGCCCCAAAATTACACCAAATCTTTCGTCGTGCTTTTTTCCAACTCAAAACTAGATCAAATGTCCCAAGCAAAATTACACTATATGTATCATGCGCTCACACGTCCTACAAGGTCACTGTTCTTCAGACCACCATTTATGACGTTCTGTATATTGTTATTGTTTTGGTTCTTGTTTGTTTTCTGGATGATTTTGAAAAAAAAAACTTTAATGGTTTTTATTTTCAGACCATGGGTAACCTGGGCTCATCCGATGTTGATTCCCGTCTTGAGGAACAGCTTATTGACGGAATCCTGTATGCCTTTCAAGAACAAACTCAGGAGGTAATTACCTTTTTGTTTGTTTTTTTGTTTGTTTGGTTTGTTTTGTTTTGTTTTTTCACTCCAAGAGTGACTACCGCACAAACTCTCCATAGCATTTCAATACTCTGTCAAAGACAGGTAATGAGAACTTTAAAAGCAAAAATCAGCTAAGTTGTAGCCTGAGAGCAGGCGCTCGTTATAAGTGCTTCGGCACGACTGCTTCTTCGCCCGCTGGAAAGTATGAGGCGAGTGAGGTTTGCAAGAGGTCCAACACTGAAAATGAGCATTATTAGCGCCAGACTCCCGAAAAACCTCTCCCCTGCTCGTCTCCAATCCTCCCGCGGGCGGAGAAACTCGCCTCTTAGAGCGCTAATAAAGAGGGCCTGCTAGCTGGCTAGCTCATTTGTCTCGATAAAACACTAAATTTTTTGAAACAGCAAACAAACAAAAAAATAAATATCAACTAGAAGAACTGGCTTTCGGTTTCTAAGGGTTGATACCTCATTATTTGTCCAGCAGAATTCCCATTTCTGTGAGGATATTTAGTGAACAATGATGCGTTTTCTGTTCTTTCACTAGCTTCTCGCCTAATCACATTTTCTCTCTAATTTTGTGTTGTGGCCTTTTTGTGAAAATGCTGATTTTTCACTGACCTTTACTCATTTGTTCTCCTTAGGACATCGTTATGTTGAATGGTTTCGGTACAGTGGTGAATGCACTGGGTAAGCGTGTTAAGCCATACCTGCCTCAGATCTGTGGTACAATCCTGTGGAGATTAAACAACAAATCAGCTAAGGTCAGACAACAGGCTGCTGATCTCATATCAAGGATCGCTCAAGTCATGATGACCTGCGGAGAGGCAAGTATATGTTTCAGAGTGATATTCTTTTTCTACTTTTTTGTCTGTCTCTCGCTTTGTTGATGGCTTCCACTCAGGTTGTCAAAACGTCAGTCAGTATTACCGACAGTATTCCCTTTCTGTAGTACTCTCACCCTAACGTTCAGACTTCACTATCAACAAGTCTTTCATGTGGTAAAGTCACTAATCTGCCTTACGCGAAGTAGAAGAAAGATTGGAGTACGCAAGGAAAAAGCGAAAATTTTGAAGCTTGTTAAGTCCTGAAATCCGTGGAGAGAATAATTTGTAACGTCCTGTAATTTCTCTACATTGTACAGCCAACGAGCGAGCTATCAACATCAATGGTTACTTCTTACTAATTGGCTCGCAGGTCCCGATCATTAGTATGATCGTTTATAACGCTATGAACATTTCCAAAACGTTTCTGTTATCCCTTCTTTCTTTTTTTCTTATCTAACGTAACATGGAATTGTCTTTGTCTACAGGAGAAGCTCATGGGCCACTTAGGTGTCGTACTGTACGAGTACCTTGGAGAAGAGTACCCTGAAGTACTGGGGAGTATCTTGGGGGCCCTTAAGGTGAGCAAACACACTTATAGGAAATTATGGTAAAAGGATTTGTTTAACATCACCCAAAACAGTGAATTTTCTATGAAACCGCTTTAACTCCAGAAAGGTTTCCTTTACATTGTTAATAATGTACGTGAAAAAATTACGCGTTCTGATCGGCTGAAAACGAGTGCAGTCTCCTGTAACACGAGTGCAAAGTTGTAACATGAGTGCAAATTACAAATAGCGTGTTGTGGAAATTTACGTGTCTTGACTCTGCGATGTTTTTTCATGTACATTACTATCAGGTAATTAAATGATTTCTCGTGCTATGTGGTGTAATAAAGCACTTGTAAATTTTCCAAAGACAGCAAATTGCGTTTGCCCTACGGCTCGTGAATTTTTGTTGTCTTTGAAAAATTTACTCATGCTTATTAACACCAAATTGCAATCGAAATCGTGTCATTACCTATACAAATTGCAAATGTAAATTGTAAATTTACAACTGTAAATTTACAACTGTAAATTTCCGGCCATATCTTGTGCAAGTGTAATTGTTGAGGGAAAGTTTGTAAGGGACAAAATTTGTCAAAATAGACTAATTCACCGAGACTCTTGTCAGTAAAATTTTGAACTGAGTAAGAGTAATTCTACTCCAGCGTCTTTTCCTGGACAAGATTCATCGACAAGTTTCTATCTCCAACATATTCGATGCAAAACTTTGCGCTCGAAAATTGCACCACTACTATAGAAAGACTCTATTATGAATCCCCTTTACGTAGTTAGTTCATTTTCAAAACTGCTCAAGATTTACAGACAAAGAGATGGCGATCGGCAAGAATAATTAGCTTTGGATTTTACAGTTCTGTTGGCATGAACGAACAGTAAATAGTTTTTAAAAGAGCGTTGGTTATGTGAAGACCGGATACTAACCATTAGTGATTTGTTTGTTTATAGGCAATTGTCAACGTTATTGGAATGAACAAAATGACTCCACCCATCAAAGATCTTTTGCCGAGACTCACACCCATTCTCAAGAACAGGTGCGAGTTTTTCCGTTTTATTGTTTTTCCTATCTTACCAAAGTAAGTACGACCTTGTAGCGCGAGCAATGACGAACACTGAAGCTTTGTTTAACGTTATTAAAAGCCACTGAAAAGTTTGCATATAAAAATGAGACATCGGATTGAAAAACTGATATTAAAACAAGCTGATATTATGTAGTGTCTGTTACTTTGAAGGAAATTTTCGCCTCACATTCCAGCACTTCGAAATATTGATTTTACAAAGGCCCATAGAGGGCTAGAAATCATCTTTACATCTGATCTTTTCCTTCACCAGACACGAGAAGGTTCAAGAGAACTGTATCGACTTGGTTGGTAGGATTGCAGACAGAGGAGCAGAACATGTCGGTGCGCGTGAGTGGATGAGAATTTGTTTTGAGCTCCTTGAACTGCTGAAGGCCCACAAGAAAGCTATCAGAAGAGCTACTGTCAACACTTTTGGATACATCGCCAAGGCAATTGGGTAAGTTACTTACTGCAAAGCTAAGCCAGTTCTGCAATTGTTGCCTAACGGTCCCCACTATGTTTCATGTCTTCGCTTTTAGGTTAGTTGACACATTCGGCTGCTTACTCATCGCGATATTTTTCTTCGTATTACGGACATCCTGTAAAAGAAATTTTATCAATTTTTTTCAATGCCTATGTCTGCTAATTTCCTATAAACAGAGGTTTGGAGACGAAAACAAAAATAATTTAGTCAATGCAAACTTTATCTTTTTTGTGAAATTTTAAACATTTTCCATTTGTGAAGAAAAATCTCCGGCATATGTCCGGTTGTTTGGCCAGAGATTGTTCTCTGAGTTACACTAAGTCGCTATAGCGACGCTTGATCGCCGCTAGCTGGACCGTACGAATCTCACGGCATATCGCCCGGTTGTCGTATTTGACCGAGAAGCTAAAAATAATTGATTCACAAAATTTTAGAGAAGCACTCGAGGTAAATTAAACTTACATTGTTGCCGGATCTGGCGAGTCGCGTAAAAAACAAAAATTTTAAAACCACGTGTTTTCGTTGATTAAATAGATCCGACGATACCACTTACGGAACGCGTGACGAGGCACCTAGTGTGACTTTTAATTCCATGTTATCTTTTTTAAGTGTTTTATTGATTAATACCTGTCGTCTAGTCCTCAAGATGTACTCGCCACTCTGCTCAACAACTTGAAAGTGCAGGAACGGCAGAACAGAGTGTGCACCACTGTCGCTATCGCCATTGTTGCAGAGACATGCTCGCCATTCACTGTTCTACCAGCCCTAATGAATGAATACCGTGTCCCAGAGCTGAACGTCCAAAATGGCGTCCTGAAGTCACTGTCGTTCTTGTTTGAATACATTGGCGAAATGGGAAAAGATTACATCTATGCCGTGACACCTTTATTGGAAGATGCTCTCATGGACAGGTTAGACACACCTATGAAGCATTTTGAGACTAAAAGTTTTATAGAGCATCTCTGTTTCAGCGTCGCAACGCGGATTCTTGGTGGTTTCATGCTTTGATTGAGCCTGAAAACTCATGCCATCCCCATAATCAATCAGACTGTGCTGTTCAAACACTTAATTTAACGGCGCTCTGTTAAGGGATATATACTAACAAATTGTTATTGGTTTCTGTATCCTCCAAACAGAAAATGGACCAAAATCTCCAGCTGAATTTAGGCGGGGTGGCAGGGTTACTTCAGTATAAGGATCATTAACACTCTGAGAGCCGACGGGGGGGTGGGGAGGGGCTGATTTATTTCCAGGTCATTGAAACGGGTGAGGGGGGCTTTGTAGAATCTCTAAATTTTAGACAGGGGCTTATTTAGCCGTTTACGGTATCTGCAATGACCCTCATAGGGTTAGATATTGTCAGTCTTCGTTCATAACAGAATGACCTTTTCATGTGTATTAGTTACTTATTCTTACGACTGGTCTTCCAATCCTTTCAGAGATCTGGTTCATCGCCAAACAGCGTGTGCCGCAATAAAGCACATGGCCCTGGGTGTGTCAGGCTTTGGCTGTGAAGATGCTCTCACTCACCTTATGAATTACGTGTGGCCCAACATCTTTGAGACGTCGCCTCATGTCGTGAACGCAGTGATGGAGTCTATCGAAGGCATGAGAGTGGCTTTAGGACCTTCCAAAGTACTTCAATATTGTTTACAGGTGAGAGGCTATAAAACTCTTTGCTATGCGATAATATTTTTGGGGTTTTCTCCTTCGAAGTTTTTGTTTTTGACATGAGTTGAATCTGTTTACTCTTACCAATCATTTCAATTGCACCATGTCAAAAGGGTATTGTTTATTTCGGTTAACTTTACATCTTTCATGTCATGTTACGTTGCGTTACATGTCGTGGCTTGTCGATAGTTTTGTGATGGATAAATCTTTGGAAAAAACATTTCATCTCACGTTTTTATCGTTACATTTCCCAGGGAATGTTTCATCCGGCGCGAAAGGTTCGAGATGTCTACTGGAAGATTTACAACAGCTTGTATATTGGATCACAGGTAAAACTGTCACTAACGTTTACTCTTACCATATATCCTCCTCCGTCTTAGTCGTGTTTTCATTTATGTGTTATTCAGAAATTTTACCTATGTCACCGCTTTTTGTCTCCTTTTAGGATGCTCTGGTAGCAGCATATCCCACAGCACCCAGTGATGAAAAGAACCATTTCTCAAGATCAGAACTATCCTATTTCCTCTGATCAGAGGAAGATATCAAGGCAATGGCTCTGCGCCGAACATTTTCTGACATAGCATCATCATGCACTTAGTAATTTAACATTTTAACCTTTGTAGAAAGCGTGCACGTGCCACGCTGTAAATAGCAGAACTTGAAGATTTTGTTTTAGGTTAGTTTGCACTTTTCTTCGTTTCCTGCGTTCAGGGCTCGAAATTGAATTGAAACAGTTTGCGCATAAATACGAAAATGTAGTCGCAAGTTCTTAAAAAGTGGCAAAACTAATAATCCCTGTGAGTTATTGAATACACTAGACCAACAAATGATTAACAGGAACGTGATTTTATTACTTCATCAGCTTTCATGCCCTCAGTGCAATTATGGAACGTCTGTACGTATTAATAGTTAAATATCTGCGTAGTGATCACAAATTTGGGCTTCCTTTGCTTTGGGAAGGTTTAAAGACGAGGTTACATTATTGAAAAAAATCAATCCCCATTATCTCTAACAAAGAAAATTTGCCTCGCGAGTGTTAACCTATATGTATGCCTGGGCAAACAAAGGTGCCTATGCTCATGGTATAGCACTCTACCTGGTCGAACAGTTCGTCTTTCGGCTAAGCACGTGTGTGGATTCTTTAGAATTGAACGCGCGTTCGGTTACAGCCCGCCTTGTTTTTTAACCACTGAGGCCTAGACTGACCCGGGTCGAATGAGAATTGCGTCTATTTCTCAGAGAAAGTTAGCACTTAGACCTAAAAGAAAAACACAAAAATGCTGAAGATGGTATTTCTCGAGGTTGAAACTACTGAGTAATCCTCATGCGCTCTCTGAACTTTTTCTCAGACTGACTGATAAATTCTTAACTTCGCGCTCAGGAAATTTTTCGAGAGAGGTAGATCTCTGATTCATGTAAGCTTATCTGTGATTGAATACAGAATAAAACGTGTCGAAGTTGTCGTTCCTGTCACGTGTTGCATAGGAGCGCTTTTCGGGTGTATTTCGTTAAACCAAAACCAAAGTGATTACAACAACGGTGCAAAGCGAAAGTATGTGTGGAGATTGAGCAGAGTAACCTCAGGTAAACTACCTCCAGCGCGGCCCTTGGTCCGCTTTCCGAGACTTCAGTGAACCCCTTGTTCCAGTACCTTGTTCGAAATGCAGTACGTATTTGGCGGTTAAATGTCCATCGCGAACTTGATCTAACCTTTGCAAGAGGTTGTTCGTAATGTTCGTTTGATTCAATTCTTTCTAACCAACACAAGCTTTTAAGATGAGAGTAACTAATTGATATCTTTCCTATTGAAGGCTCTGTATAGGTTTTACTAATTTCTGTTGGGTTTTCACCAGGAATTCCTAGAATTGAAGTCTGTTTTGATGGAAATAATTCCATATTCGTTACAAGAGAATGCGTTTGAATATTCTCCGTCTAGGGGGTTCGTAACTTCTGTAGATTTGGGGAAGCAATTTTCTGCCTTTCCCTCAATTTGTACTGAAATCCAAACAACATGTATGTAACCCCTCTAAAATATGCTCAACAACAAGAGGTTAGGCAAATTAGTTGCCAGGAAAAAAAGAAAACGTGTTCTTTTTTATTTACCGAGGCGAGCTTTTCATAGCAAAAGTAGCTCTAATTCCCAAGTGAATTGCAGTTCAATAAAAAAAACAAACGTTTTCGTGTGCAGCTTATCCTCTGGTTAACCAGTCAAGGGGCGCTGGTTCTCAGCCTCCTTATTGTACCCCGAAAAACGAGGTTAGTGTAGCGACTAACTCACCCCAGTCGTAAATCATGTGGGTTGAGCTACTACTAGAGCGCTCAGCTGAGCAGGGTTGTATTGTCTTGTAAATTCATCTCCTTTTGCCAATCATTCTCGCTATTTTCAAGTGGTTTGCAGAAGAAAACCTGTTAACAATACTTTTCAACACCTTCAGAAGTATTTCAGCGATTTTCTAGCTCCAATTGAAAATAAAAGGCCTGGTCGCAAGTCATTGTATCCCAAGCCTCCGAAGCCCAGAATTTCCAAATTAAAACTGGGAATGACTCTCTGTTGCCAGGCAGCGATATCGAAAACGCAGTAAGACCACATGATCAGAATTATTGCCTAGCAACAGGCAGTCAACACCCGTATGTTTTATAAGTAAAGGCTCCGCCATCTTTGTGAGTGTTGAGGAAAGCCAACTACAGGTTTAGGTTTGTTGTACCAAGAAATCAGCCATGGCTATGCAAGTGTCTTCACGGCGAGGAGAAGATTATGTAGAAAGTATATACAATTTGATTCCAAAGATTCAAGAGAGGCCTCCAAAGCCTTCAATGTAAGTTTTATTTCGACGCGGCCCTTGATCTTTGTCAAGTTTACCGCGATTGCGAAATTTTGTATCTTAACTTAAAATTTAAGTTTTCGTTGCCTTTCGTTTCATTTTAAGCATGGCCTTGATCTCCTGAGTAATTTATTTCCTCAGGTATCGCTCTAATTTTGCTTCAACCGTGAAACAGGAGCAGAAGACGAAGAAGCAAAGCTCTAAAACCATGGTAAGCGTTTGTTGTTAAGAAATGACCTCCGTTACCATGCGAGTCTTGTGCAGTTGATCTGTGGTTGTATGCAATCGTATTTCATCGTGTATTGACTGAAATTTTCCTCTGTCCTCCTCAGGGCCCAGCGAAAGTAGCTGTCACAGAACCCAAGGATTTTTTGGCTAAACATTCCAAGGAGTTCAAGCTGCCAGAAAGTAAGCAAAGATCTTTAAATAACAGTGATTAATTGCGAAGTTTACTTATTAACAGAGAAACCTTCTCAGTCATCAAAAATAGTTATTTGTAGCTTTAAAAATGCTTTAGTGTAATTGTGTGTTGAGTAAGGAGTAGTTTCATAATTCTTTCCGCAGTCTGTAGATCACACAAGCTTTTCCAGGAAACACAGGAAGTCTTTATTGAAAAAGCTGTGTACTGAATAGCAGTCTCATTAATTAACTCAACTATTTCTTTTAGAAACTGACTTCACGTATCCTGACTATGATAAAAGACGTCCCCCAGTCCCAAAACACACAGAAAAACCCCTAATGGGATTACGTTCCACAAAAAATCATATCACAACAAATGCTGTGGAGAATATCATGTCTGTGCCCAAGATGCCTGAGAAAAAATTCGTGGACACACGTGGAGGAGCCACACATCAACTGGTCCCATCAGGTCTCACTCCAAAATATGTGAACAAGAAAGATTATGGCAAGACCCCAGCTTATCTGGAAAAAAGGAAGGCTGAAGTAGAGAGAGCACAGATGGAGTATGATGCTTATGTGCAAGAGAGATGTAGACAAGGAGCAATGAAAAATTTGACAGAAGCAGAGAGGTGATTGACAAGGGTTTTTTAATACTAGCTATCACCTGAACTGATCGTTTCTATTGTAGGTTATGAGGTGTATTATTCCTTATTATTGCTTCACTTTTCATGAATTTAGATTAGCTGCCCAATCTAAATTCATGAAAAGTTTTCAAACGATTCAGATGATGGACTTTATGTGAACTTGATTTGTTGAATTGAGTGTTACCTATGTGGTGTTATTGATCTAAACTGTGCATTATTTTTAGATTTAAAATGCCATTGAAAGTAGCTGGACACTTGCCTTTTGAAGTTCTAAAATTTTCATATTTTACCATTATATTGCATCATGTAATTATTTATTGTATTTATATTTTATTTAATTTTACAGGCAAGGAATACTTGATGGACTAAAAAAGAACTGGGAGGAACTTCACCACCAATATCAAGGACTTTCTGTCGTTACTGATACAGCACCAAAGAAGGCCCGAAAAGAGAGAATGGAGGCAGAAATGAAACAATTAGAAAGAGACATTGAAACCATTGAGAAACACAGAGTTATTTACATTGCCAATCCTTTCTTTTAATGAAAACCCAAGCGCCAGTTTAACGTCAACCTGATTCCTTTTTTTCGGTTTTGTTTAATTGTGACTAGCTCGACACTCTTGAGGAAAAGTGGTTAAGAATTATCTCCAAGGTATATGTTATTTAGGTTAAATAGCAAAGAAAAAAGTTAAAAGAAACCCTGCCACTGGCAGTAACAAAATTGTAAATACAGTTGTAATCATGTACAAAGTATTTTATTAAAAATCAACCGATGATAAAAATTGTTTTGGAGTATATTATTGTTCCCTTTATCTTTGTAGACAAATTTCAACAAAAGCTACCTGTCCACCCCTTGATTTGTCCATCCATTTCATATGGGAGAAAAAAATTCAAGACAAAAGTCATTGCAGTACTGACAGTTTGGTTTTGATCATTCATACATGGTATCATGATGCAGATATAGGAGAATAGGGTCAAATTAAGTTTATCAAATGTCCTGTTCAACTTAACAAAATAATTTGGTTTTATCAACCAAGTTCTAAACGTTGATTGGCCATTGTAAAGACCTTCTAAAGCAGATGTTTAGTGAGTTAGGCCTCCTTCAGAGCGATTGTTTTACTTATATTTTCCCTTGTCTCTGATTTAACACAATGATACTATTCATAGACAAATAAAAGTCAACCTTTGCATGCAACTATGAACAAGTTTATCCTCCATACCTTTCCCACCTCACAAGGAGAAGTTGTGAAATAATCAAAAGCTTCCCAACATGGGTATCATTTCTTTTTCTCAAGACCTTGGTGTTTAATTTAATGGTGATATTATCAGAAGACATTAAAAGATAAGTCACTCTGAGGCATTAAGAAGTCAAAACAAGACAATCTGAAACACAGCAAATGTTTCAATTTAGTTCTTACTGATTTCATACATCTTCTGGATTGCTATGGGAGAACTAAACAACATTTTATTTCCCCAGGGAACTTTGCATGGGTCTATCTTTTTTTTTTCTCTTCTAATTACAGAAACAACATTTGTACTGAGCAGACAGTTTAACAAAGGGATTCCATGTTGCCACACACCTGGTCAGTAATAGATCACAGATAATGTAAAATTGTGGTAAGACAAAACAGTGGCACACAAGGCACAGCTGAGTGTATCATTGATGTTCTTACCACATTTTGAAGTTTTCTGTGATCTATCACTGAACAGACCCATGGCAACTCGGAATCTAATTGTTTAGCATGTTAAAAACAAAACAAAAAAATTGACAATAGTGACATTATCTATATGTCTGTCCTCTAGATTGAAGATCATAAGGAAGAAGCAATCAAAATGCCTGAGTGTGTAATTCAGCTTATTACAGGAACAAATTAATACTAATACAACACAGGACAATCAATGATCAAAGAGAACCAGTAGAATTTATTGCAAAACTATTATCTTTTGCCATGTATTCTTACATTTTCTTCAATATACATTAGGAAGCGGGGAACAAGATATTTGAAAGTTATATACACAATAAGAAGAACAAGAACACCAAGTCTCCATGTATGCCAGGGAATTCCCAATAAGAGCTCTTCAAGCACTGATAGAAAATAAACATGACAGTCAATTTATTAATATAAATTTACACCAGTCTTGCACAACACAGCAAACAAAAAAGACAGTGAATCTGTTTGGACATCTTTAATGAGGGAAGAAGGAACCCCTGGTGGCTTAACTAAAACCCCCAGGTGAGAAGGAGGATAAAGAAACAACTGGAACAATCAAATAATTTCTTGGGTTCCTTTTGTGACAATTTGCCACAAACATACTAAATAAAAAATCAAAAGAAAGTTAAGAAAAGAGACCTCCAAGAATTCATAAGTCCCTGGCAAAGTAATTTAACTACAAATAAAAGCAAAAAAAATGTAAAACTCTGCCAACCAAGGATCCCTCTTCATCGCTAATAGCAGGAAGAGGTAATTACCTTTTAACGCAATTTTTTCAGTAATACTGTGATCAGTGAATGATGAAAAATTAGAAATGTCTGCTTGCCTATATTGTAAACTACAGGTTCAGCTAAACTTGCAGGATTGTAAGGAATTCCAGTTCTGACTGCTGTCACATTTGCATATTGTTCCTGAAAGTTCAGTAAAAATTATCTTTTGTTAAAATCTATGTAGGCTGCCCAACACGAAGAACAACACACATCAAAGCCCTCAAGTTCCTCTTGGTTTTCATAGCTACAATAAATGACTAAAAATGTTCCTACTCCCGCCCCCCACCACCCTAGAAGGGTTTCTGATCCATGACAAGGTTATCCCACCCCAAGCATTTGGTAAGGTTTCTTTGACAGTTAACCAGCACCCAGTTGAGCTCCTGAGTGGAGAGAGGCACTGTGTGATACAGTGTCTTGCTCAAGGACAGGACACAGTTGGTGATACCAACTTAGATCGTAAGACAACCTTTCAATGAGAAGTCCAGCCCATAACCACATGACTACCAAATCTCTGGAAAAAATTTCAATGATCTAGTGTACATAATTCAACATAATTTATCAAAGAAAAATTATGTGTTTTTACAATATAACTTTAGACAATAAAAATTACTTGCAATACACATCTTTAAGAAGAGTGTTCAGAGTAAATGACATGGCACTAGCACAGAAGTTTTTGAAAGATAGAATATCCCAATATTCATACCCTCTACTTCAGCTAGATTTGGGACTTAAGGAAGATATATTCACATCTATGCACAAAAAAATTACAAACTATTTAATATAAGCAAAACTGATACCTTTAACTCATTACTGAAAACCAGTTTTTCAATATTAAGGAGTTTCCTTGTTTTACTAGCCTGTAGAGCTTTGTGAGGAATCAGCTGGATATAAAAATCTGTTGGGGTCTGACAAGAAAAACAACATTGCATATGCTATGAGATATCTTGAGAAATTCTGCTCAGAGGACAAATATTTCAATTTCAGCTGGGCTAACTTACTCGGCATCTGACTACTAAAAAGTGTTGGAATTTGTGTAGAGACACACTTTTGTTGGGAGGGGAGAGGTAGGGGAGTAATGGGTAGGATAAAATCATCAAAATGAATTAAAAAAGTAGCTGTGGTGAGAAGTTTGTGTAGCTGCTGTTGATACACTGTAAATTGTAAGGTGGTAAATGTAAGTCCAGTTTTCACTCTTTAATGAAACTCCCCTTCAAGGAAAGTTCCTCAAAAGGCCAACAAGGACTTAAAAAAGATAGGGAGGGAGACAGTATATGTCAAGTGTGAAAAATAGAATTAAGAGAGGTGAATAAAAGACAGTCTAAAGTTTGGATTACCATTTCTTTTTAGATTTTAGCCATCAAAAATAGAAAATACTGATTCAGCCTATGAATTAGACACCATTGCTACTGAAGATTAACCTGGTTTCAGTGATATTAAGATTAGGAGTATTACTAGAATTTCCACAATCCCCCCCTAAATGGAATGCTGATCCATTGCAGTGTTAAGCCCCCCCTCACATTTCAATTTGTTACCCTTAGGGATTTGTGATACTTCTTTATACCCATGGTTAATGAGAGGTAATGTGGTCACTAAATGTCTTGCTCACAAACATAATACTTTGACTCATCTGTGGCTTGAAGCTGGATCTTGTGATCAGAAGTTTGACACACACCACAAGTCCACTGTGAATCTCACACAAAACAAAATTCAAAGTATAGTACCGTAGAAGGGTATGACACTCGCAACTCGTAACTTTTGCTTGGTTTCAGTTGGACTAAGTGGTACAAGACTGTCTCTCTGTGATGCAGAACCTGAATAATAGAACACAGTCACAGAAAAAACCATGGAGGAGAAAGGATCAATTGATTATCTCAAAAGTTTTGGGAATTTCTTTCTGAATGTAATCTAGCATTTTTAACTGGCTGCATTACAAGAAGATTCGTTATTCAGCTTGGAAGTTATATGGACAGAACACTTGTAATTGATTAGGCACATTACAGTATGATTTTAAGAAAGGAATGGATTTGGTAATTGATAAATTTTTCTGTGTTTTAAAATATCTTTGTATTCTCATTAAGATAGCACAAATTTCCTCAAAGACTGGGGGGTTTGAGAGGTTTTCTTGCTGTAGGTCCAAGTAGTTCTTTTTAAAGTGCATTAGGTCTTCTCTAATGTTTTGTATTGCAACTCATCAGATTAAAACAAGTTGGGAAGGTAAGTTAATCTTATGTTAAATAACATTTTGTGGAATTATATTATAATTGTCATTAGCATCATAGTTATCATTACTATCATTATAATGATTATTACTACTATCATTATTACTAATATTGTTATGTAAGTTTAGGTTATAATAATAATTTTAGATTAAATAAGATATGAATTTTACTCAATAGATGACAATAACGATGGAATTTCCATTATTATTATCATCTCTGTTGTTATTATCATAATCACCATTATTGTTATTATTATTATTATTATTATTATTATTATTATTATTATTTTTATTTTTATTATTATTATCATCATCATTATTATTATTGTTTTTATTATATTGTCGTATTCCCTAAAACTTACCTGATTCAATAGCAGCTTTTCTGGCTCCAGTCTGTACAAAAAGCATGTACACAAAAAGTGACCACAGATAAATGTAAGAAAATCAAAATCATCATTTTACCTTGTTTGTGCAAGTATTCGGATAACAGAGCAGTAGAGAATAAGACTATGACAAAAGACAACAAGCGAAGTTTCGCGAGTCATGTCTCAACATTTGGCTTATTCAACGATACTTACAGTTTTTAGTTGAACTGCTGACTAGCAAGACTGTTTGTTCATCTGATAAGGCTTCCGCACCCTAGTACGTAATCATCATGTGACCCTTTCAAGTTGCCCTGATTGGCTCCCTTTAAGATCGATCTATAAGGCTTACAAAATTATGCGTAGCTGAAACTTCCTTGTTTTGGGAAGATATTTCAGTATGACTTCTTCGCATAAAGTTCCCTTCTATGTGAGATTCTTTCGTTGGATCTCCACACTCTTTGGTATATTAAAGAGGCCTTACAAAGATCTTGGAAATCTTGGTAAGTTATTTTTAATTTTACTTGTATTTTTTAGCTTGTAAACTTCGATGGAAAGTGAAAAGAAGTTACCTATCAGTCCTAAATTATTTTAAGTAGATATTTTCCGAGTTACACCGTCGTTTTCTACGTGTTTTACATGTCACCTAACTTTGGTGAATCTTAATGAACTAAGTTACAGTAGTCGAAACCTCGTTAGCGATAAGTACATCGTTTTAATTTCTCAACGATTGTTATTATCTGGTGGACCTGTTGTTATATATGATTTTCATATATTTACAGTCAGTTATCCATCACTTCACGTGTTTTTTTTCCGGTCATTGGTTTAGCCTGAATTTTTTTCAGGCCTTATTTTCACTTCTGCTTAAGCAGTGTTCATAACTGGGAAGATCGCTTCGACATTTATTTCTTTATCCGCAATTCACATACATGATTTTCATATATTTACATTTGAACCTATCATTAATTTGAATATTTCCCTTCCATGTTTAAGAATAGTGAATGAACTTTTGTCAGTTTTAGTATTTTGCAATGCTCTTGTCACTGGCAACCACCCAACCTTCTTCCAGCAAGGTGAGAAGAGGGGGCAAATGAGGGATGCTGAAGTCTCACAAAGACAATTTTTTAATGATTTTGTCCCAAAACGTGAGGCATAATCCCCATTTGGTGGGTGGCTTGGTGAATAAATTATCCACTGTGTATGGTATGCAGAACATTATTCTGGTTTCATTTTCTTATGGCTCCTCCTTACCTCCTCAAAAATTAAGACCACCAAATTGCACATGTCCAAATATATATATGTAGGTGATTTGATAGTGCTATAGAACAATCAATCAAGTTGATATCAAAGATGCCATGTTCAAACAAAAAACTCATCCACTAAATATTACATTGCAAACATGCATGACTGTTCGCGAAATGGCTAATGCTAATGTGTCCTTGGGCTGACAAGGGTTTCCAGTGACAAGTGTCTAAGTATCATGTAATAGTACATTATAGAACATTACATCTGGTATGACCTTCATAGGTTGTATGATGTTATTGTAAATATAACACATAAAACAAAACAAAAAAGATGAAGACACACAAAAAAAGAGAGAGAAAGAGAAGAGAAAAATTGAAGAAAATGAAAAAAGAAGAGAGAGAAATAAAAATAAAAAGTAAAAGAGGAAATGGAAAAAATAAAGAGAAATAAGAAAAGAGAAAATTAAATAATAACAATAATAGAGAAAAAAAGAAAAGAGTGAAAGTAAGATACAGAGGAGTAAAAAGAGGTGAGTGAAAATGGAAAAAAAAGGGAAGAGTGTAGCACTGGTAATTTTGTATGTCACTCTATGACCAACTGTTTCCTGTTTTTACTTTTGATCAGACTTAGATTAGGCTTGCAAATGCCATGTCTTGGCAATCCTCTTGTCTTGGACATGGCAGGTGGTACACTCCATAGACGCAATTTACAATTGTGCTCAAGGAGATAAAGCAGCCCTATTGGATGGTTGCACAGTCCTTCTCCAGCCTCACAGTTGCAAGAGTTATTTGACTTTTGGACTTCTGGAGCCCTTGAGATTTCAAAGTTATAGAAAAATTTTTTATAGAAGGCTCAACATCTGCTTTATGATGTGTATATTTTCATCAAATACAATTTTTTTAAATCTTTGGTCAGCATTTCAATAAAACTGTTGCAAATCAACAAAAACACAAAAGCCTCACAGTTGCAAGAGTTATTTGACTTTTGGACTTCTGGAGCCCTTGAGATTTCAAAGTTATAGAAAAATTTTTTATAGAAGGCTCAACATCTGCTTTATGATGTGTATATTTTCCTCAAATACAATTTTTTTAAATCTTTGGTCAGCATTTCAATAAAACTGTTGCAAATCAACAAAAACACAAAATTGCCATGTCTTGGCAATCCTCTTGTCTTAGACATAGCAGGTGGTACACTCCATAGATGCAATTTACAATTGTGCTCAAGGAGGTAAAGCAGCCCTATTGGATGGTTGCACAGTCCTTCTCCAGCCTCACAGTTGCAAGAGTTATTTGATTTTTGGACTTCTGGAGCCCTTGAGATTTCAAAGTTATAGAAAAATTTTTTATAGAAGGCTCAGCATCTGCTTTATGATGTGTATATTTTCCTCAAATACAATTTTTTTAAATCTTTGGTCAGCATTTCAATAAAACTGTTGCAAATCAACAAAAACACAAAAAAGCATATTTAAAACATATTTGTGTAACATTTGTGTTGGTTTATTTATTATTCCTGAGTACGTTCAGTGAAATTTAGACTTCTTTTAGCTCAAACAAAACTACATGGTCATTAAATACCTGCAACCTCCATGGCTCTTCATTTTTCGGCTGTGATCGTTAGATTCCTAAAATAGTAGGAATGGCGGGAATCACACAGCTGTTCGAGTACAATTCCCACCTTCACCTGGTACAGACGCATCATCAACAACAACTCAGCAAGGCTGAAACTTACCTCTGATATCAAAAATATGGCCTTTGCAGGAATTGCCGTCAGGTCATTCATACTCACTCAACTCTGTTAAGTGTCTTGTAGTTAACCACTGGCCTCCCATGAGGAAGTTACAATAGGCCTTATCTCTTCAGTGTGTGAGTTGACCTTCCAAGTTTTTGGACATCACCTTGTTTACAGCATAAGGCAAACAGAGAGCTCTTTGTCATAAATTAGTGGACATTGAAAATTGTAGTGAGGGGAAAAAAAGGATAAAAGAAAACAAACAAGAAACCAAAAAATGAAGAAAATGGGAAGGGGAATGGAAGAGCATTCAGTGAAAACTTATTAGCATATAACAAATGGGTTATACAAATTCACTCTAGCATGAGCTTCATAGTTTCTAGAAATATGACCAATTTTTGAATAAGATATATAGAGAATGAAAAGAATTAGAAGGAAAAAGAACAGAGAGAAAGAATGGTACTACAGTAAAACCCCACTCCCTCGAACTCCTAAGAGAAATGAAAAATTGGTTTGGGGAGGTATCAGGGTTGGTGTTGAAAGAGAGTTCAGTGCCTTTTTGCATTCGTTTTATCAGAAAAGGATTAAAGCAATGTTGATTCGTGGGGAGTGTAAGCTTTTGTTTAAATAACCATGAGATATGTGTTAAAATCTACCGCTAAAGTTCTCTCCTTGTGTATGGTTTATTGTGAAATCGACATCTCGTAATGGCCTGAAATTAAGTAACAATCACGAATAGATAACCCATTCAAGTCTTCTCAGTTGTAAATAAGTTTGTACAGTCCACTTCTGGCTTACTTTTAAGCTCGTTAACACAAATATTATTGGAAATATGCCTTGCGGCAATTACTGTGCTGTGTGGGGTTGTAACAAAGATCAAAGGTACCCAGAAGAGCAAAATGCTCTTCCTCATGTTGCAACATTAAGATTGTACTCCCTCAAGAGTAAGAAATATTTTTTGTCGTGGGCTAGATCTATTAATTGTGATCACTTCAAGGTAACATTGAGTACGAAGGTCTGTTAAAATCATTTTGCATTCATGAGGTTATAGAACTTCTGAATGTCCTCCACCAACGTTGTACACGAAAGGGTACGATTTTGAGAGTAAATCTTAGAGACCTTCCCCAAAGATCCGATGCAGACCAAAGAAGAGGCATTCAAGGAAGTAGCGAAGTAGTAACAAAAATGAAGTTCCAGTTGAGAATGAGCCCCTTTTGGAAGACACAACTTTATTCGAAGAAATCATTGAATTAGATTACATGTGTAGCCTCGGCATCCATACTGATCATGAAGCTAGTTTTCTTGTTGAATCAGTTACACAGACAGTGTCCGAGTCAAGTGAAAGAGAAAAGAAAACATTTTATCGACCAAGGATCTTGTTCTAAAAACTGTTATTGTTACACAGGTGTAACAAGGTCTAAACTTGATTTGGTTTTTGAATTTTAGAACCAAAGGCCACTGAAATACGTGTCTGGAGGGATAGTTAGAATACCAAAAAGTAATAATAAAAAAAAAAACGAGTGGCTGAGACACCAAAACAGAGAAAAATGATGGAGTCTTGACAAGATGAGAACAACTTTTGATTAAATCCCTACTCACACGATTAAAGACAGCCTCCCGGTATTCTCGCCTTAGTGAGAACAAGAAAAGATTTCAATGTCAAATTCCTGGCTGACAATTTGGCATTGATTCCTCTCAAGTATCCGGAATTTACAATACATGAACAACATTTCTTTCTCAAGAGCTGTCCTCTCTAGTTTCATGGCCATCAAGATCAGAATTACAGAAATGTCTTGCAAAAAGGTCCAAAAAATTTCAAGAACGTAAGAGTAACAATTGACTCTCTTGAACTTTTCATTAAAAAAAAAAAAACAAGAGTTCCTTCAAGCCAAAAGATCACATAAAGAAATTATAAACACTGGAACACTTCCACATTATTAGTAAGAATAACACCAACTGGTGTTGTATCCTTCATTCCACCCTTATGGATGGGATCCATCAGTGACAAAGAAATTGTTAGGCAAAGTGGACTGCAGGACTTGCTTGAGGGGGGGGGATGCAGTCATGGCTGACAAGGGTTTTGTGATTCGGTATCTCTTAAACTTTAAAAAAGTCCACCTTGTCTCACCAGCCTACTGTAGAGGACCACGCCTGTCAGATAAAGGGACTATAAATACCAGCCGAGTGAGATCGCTAAGAGCTCATGTTTCAAAAAAAAAATTTTGAAATTGAAACACTGTAGAATTCTTTCAGAAGTTATTCCTCTTTTGTTAAAAACAATGTTGGGTAGAATTATTTTTGTTTGTGCTGCTTTAACTAATTTATGTCAAAGAAGCATAAAGTAAGGAGCACACTGCAGAAGCAAAAACTTATTTACTGAATTTGTTGATCTTCTTGACTTTGGAATAACTGTTTTGTGTGAAAATTGCAACTAGGTAAGAGGGAACTACTTGCTCACAGAAAAGGTTGTGGTTATTCATCGTGGTGAATAACAATAAAAGCTGAGTTTTTTCGTTTGTCTCACGATGCAGTCACGTGTGACTGACGACGTTTCAACTGCATACTGCTAGTCTTCTTCAGGCGATGAGGTCGACTGGTCATGCGTGATCTTATAAAGCATGATGCTCTGCCATGATCAGTTGTTTTTTCAACAGCTCTGATTGGTGCATTTCGATCCTTGCTGTTCACTCAGTCCTTTGTTCCCTCGGCGGTCCGCTGTCGCACAGCTCCTCTGTTGTTGTGTTTTTTGATCCTGAGCATCCACGCTCCTGGAATTTAGTCCATCGTGAAATGGTTGGGATGTTTATCATCTTCCATAGTGTCATGGCAAGAACTGAAAAAATTACACCTTGGGTTTTGGGCAATTTTTTTCAGCCAAGAAAGAAATGGCTTCTACAAAACCTCCTCCATGGTCACAAATGTGAGCCGATCTTTGCCGCACTCTTTATTTTCCAAACGACAGTCATCGAGTATAGCTGCCGTTAATCTGTTCGACGAGTTTTCTTCCATTTGAGCGTAAACGATTCTTTGAAGCGCAAACAACTGCATGGGAAGTACTCACCATAATTTTTTTGATGCCGACATACTATGATGATGAAACGGTGAAACAGTGTGGCTGTTTCTTTCTTTTCTTTCAAAAATCTTCACTCCCCCACCCCTACCCCTCTCCTTATTTTTGACCGTCGACTGCCCCCTTCGTTAAAATTTCTTTCGCTCCCCAGCCTTCCGCTGCTATTAAAATCAAAGATGGCGGCCATAATTTTCGAGGCACTCGCTCGCCAAAATTACGCCTGCTCTGTAAGCAACGACAAAATATGTGGCTTCTCTCCCTATAAGAGGCAGCAGCCACAAAAACTTTAGGAGTGTGAGAGCTTTCTTCGACAAGTCCAACGCACCTTGGCCTTGGACTAACAGCATAATCAGTAAACGAGTTGCCAGTAATCGGATCTCTCTGCTATGCGCAAAGGGTTCTGGGATCGCCTTAGGGCAAACAACGCAAATTGCTACTGGCAAAGAAATATGTGGCGAAAAGTTGTCTCGGCGTCCAATAAAACGATTTTTGGGATAATTCAGCGCTTTTTTGCAGCTGTTTTATCAGAAAAGGATGAAAGCAATGTTGATACGTGGGAAGTGTAAGTCTTTGATAAAATAACCATGACATATATGTTAATATCTACCGATAAAGTTCTCTCCTTGCGTAAGATTTATCGTGAAATCGACATCTCGCAATGGTCTCGAAACATCACAAAGTTACGTAGAAATCAAAGGAAATTACCTAATAAAGTATTTTCAGCTAAATTTACGAGTGCACTGCTATTTTTAATACTAGCTAACCTCTTTTATATACAAATTATGGCTTCCGGAAATTTACCTCCTCAAAGGAGAGAATTCGTCGTAAGAGGAGATGGAAATTGTTTTTAGTTTTTAGCGAGAAATTGCTCTTGGAATTTTGAAATAAGTGATGAGAAACATGAAGAAATCCGCAGGTTAAGTTCTAGTTTGATAGAGGGAAATCCGAAGGTGTTTGAGCCGCTACTTTTCTCTTCGAACTCCGTGGAGGATCATGTTAAAAACAGCAAGATCACGGGAACTTGGGCTGAAACTGTGGACATCTTCAGCTGTGCATCGCTTCTCGAGCGACCTATTTGCACCTTCTCATCGTCGCAGAAAAAATGGTACAACTTTGAACCGACTGATTCGTTTTCATCGCTCACAAAAAAGAAGTGCAAGTGTCCAATCACTTTGATGTATCATGATGAGTATGCTCAGGCAAATCATTTTAATCTCCTTCTGCCTAGAGGTAGCTCCTCTTAGTCCTCCTCTGCCTGAGAATACAGCATCCTCTGTTTCAACAGATTTAGGAAACAGTGGTAATTCATATGCCAAAGCTGTGAAACAAATGCCACAAACTCATCCTTCAAACCACATTTGATTAAAGCTACAGAATCCAAGCAACCTGGTCAAGATCTAGCTTCTTTAAATACAAAAACATTGTCTTCGTACTCTAAAACAACTGTGAAAAAGCCAACTCAATCTCCAGAAGCTACCACTGCCAAACAAACCTCTTCTGTGAAACAGCTAAATCCAGCTACATGTACTAAACCTTCTGCTGTCCAACAACCATCTTATTCTACCATGACCAGTTCCCAAACACTAACAGACAAGACTTCATGTACCACTACCAAGCAACTATCTTCTAAACCAGTCAAACAAGTCTCCACTTATCACATAACTGAACTTATTCACCTAACTAAAGCAATTGCTTCTATGGACCTTCGTACTGACCCTGACTTTGAAAATGAGTCCATTGATGAATGTTTGTCAAGATGCCTCACACTTCCAGCAGGACAAAATTTTGGACCCCTTCCAAACGGCATCATTGTGCAATGACTTCTCTAAGTTCCCTCCATTTGGACCAATGGACATTTTTAATCATCTGAAAGTTTCCAAAAGCTCTTTGATGAAAAAGAAAAGAAAAAACACTATATGATGATTCCTGGATTGATTCCTTTGGTCCTAGACCCATGAAAGGTAGAAAGGAAATAACTCGGAGAGAAAAAATTGACTTTGCAAAGAAACTTCAAAAAATTTATCCTTGTTATGGTATCCTTGATTTTTTAACATTTTCCCCAAATTATGATGAAAATGAAAATTCTTCTCATTTTGAGAATAATATATCTCACCTGACTATATTATTCCAAGCTAAGAATTATGTCAAGAAAAATTTTATCAAGCTATCGGAAGACAACCTTTTAAATTTTGCTGAAGAATTTCTAAAAGCCTTGACCTTTTCAGATAATGATAGAATGATCATAAACAAAGCAACCATTGGACAGCACAAAAACAAAAGCAGGTATGAGATGAGACACCTTTTAGTTGCTGGGGAAAAAATTAAATCTCTTTATACCTGACAAAAAACTCTAGGAAAAAGTTCCTCGTATTAATGTATCACTCACTGTTAAAAATTTCACTGAACAAAAAGAATTTAAAGAAAACCTAGTGTATCCTGAAGCCATAGAACATGATATAAAGGAAGAAGAAAATGCAAAATTTTACTACTCAAAAGTCAATGAAAAAAAGCATTGTTCATTTGATCTCAAGGAGCCAGGTTTCCTAATTAGTAGCAGTTATTCTTGGATAGGAGCAAGTCTAGATGGTATTAGAAAATGTCAGTGTTGTGACCCTACAGTAGTAGAGATAAAATGTCCATTTAAAGGGAAGGACCTTGACCCTAAAATTGCTTTCCTGCTACCAACTGTTGGTGGAAAAAAAGATGAAAATGGGAATGTTTTTCTGGACAAAAATCATCTACATTATTTCCAAGTTCAGACTGGCATGGCAGTTGCAGGTTTAAAATATTGCAATTTTGTTACCTACACAAGTAAAGGGATATTTATTGTTAGGATTAATTTTAATGATAAGTTCTGGGAAACTGTTACAGCAACAGTTTAGAAGTTTTACCATCAGCAAATAGTTCCTTTTTTCCTCATGGAAGCCTCACCTAGTGACAATTTTCACACAAAACAGTTATCCCAAAGACAAGAAGATCAACAAATTCAGTAAATAAAAGTTCTTGTTTTTACAGTGTGCTCCTTACTTTATGCTTCTTGGACATAAATTAGTTAATGCTGCACAAACAACAATAATTCTATCCAACACTGGTTTTAACAAAAGTGGAATTCTAAATTGCTTCAATTTCAAAATGTCTCTTTCAACGTGAATTCTTAGTGATGCTACACGAAGGGTATGTGTTGTCCCTTTGGCTGATAGACGTGGTCCTTGACAGTAGGCTGGTGAGACAAGGTGGACTTTTTTAAATGTTAAGAGATCCCGAATCACAAAACCCTTGTCAGCCATTACTGCATCCCCCTCCTCAAGCAAGTCCAGCAGTCCACTTTGCCTAACGATTTCTTTGTCACGGACGGATCCCATTCATAATGATGCAATGAAGGATACAACACCAGTTGGTGTTATTCCTACCAATAATTTGGAAGTGTTCTAGTGTTTGTAATTACTCCATATGGTCTCTTGGCTTGAAGGAACTTTTGGTTTTTGTATGTGAAGTTCAAGACAATTAATTATTACTCTTACATTCTTGAATTTTTTAAACCTTTTTGGCAGACATTTTTGTAATTCTGATCTTAAAGGCCGCGGAACTGGGAAGGACAGCTCTTGAGAAGGAAATGTTACCATGTATTGTAAATTCTGGATACTTGAGAAGAATTAATGCCAAAAGTGTCAGCTAGGAATTTGACATGGAAACCTGTTCTTGTTCTCACCAAGGTGAGAACAAGTTGTTCCCATCTTGTCAAGACTCCATCATTTTTCCTCTGTTTTTATGTCTGAGCTACTCGTTTTTTGATTACTTTTTAGTATTCTAACTACCCCTCCAGAGACGTATTTCAGTGGCCTTTGGTTCTAAAAATTCAAAAACCAAATCAAGCTTAGACCTAGTTACACCTGTGTAACAATAACAGTTTTTAGAACAAGTTACCTGGTCAATGAAATATTTTCTCTTCTCTTTCACCTGTCTGTGTAGCTGATTCAACAAGAAAACTAGCTTCATGATCAGTATCTTCAGGGAATGCTGAGGCTACATAATCTAATTCCGTGTTTTCTTCTAATAAAGTCTCGTCCTCCACAAAGGGCTCATTCTCAACTGGAACTTCAGTTTCGTCACTACTTCGCTTTCTCTTCCTTGGGCGACTATCTTTGATCTGTGTAGATCGGATCTTTGGGGGAGGTCTCTAGATTTACTTGACTCACAATCGTAACCTTTCATGTACAACGTTGGTGTAGGACCTTCAGAAGTTTTGTAACCTTGTCCAAAATGATTTGAACATACCTATTTACTCATTGTTACCTTGAAGTGATCACGATTAATAGATCTAGCCCATGAAAAGACATCTTTCTTGCTCTTGGACGAGTAAAATCAATATTCCAACATGAGGAAGAATAGTTTGCTTTTCTGGGTACCTTCGATCGTTGTTACAACCCCATACAGCACAGTGATCGCAGCGAGGCATATTTCCAATAATATTTGTGTTAACAAGCTTAGAAATGAGTCAGAAGTAGACTGCACACATTTTTTTACAACTGAAAAAGCTTGAATGGGTTACATACCCACAGTAATTACTTAATTTCGAGATATTTCATGACCATTACGAGATACCGATTTTACAATAAACCTTGTGCAAGAAGAGAACTTTATCGGAAGATTTTAACACATATCTCATGATTATCTAAACAAAAATTTACACTTCCCACGTATTAACATTGCTTTCATTCTTTTCTGTTAAAACGGCTGCAAAAAAGCGCTGAATTCTCTTAAAAATTGTATTTTTGGACGCCAAAGCAACTTTTCGCCATACATTTCTTTGAAGCAATTAGCGTTGTTTGCCCGGTGACGATCCCAGAGCCCTTTGCGCATAGCAGAGGGATCCGATTACTGGCGGCTCATTCATTGAACACAACCATAGAAGACAATTCAAGTAAGGAAAGGTTAAACAGAGCATGTCATCGTAAATGATTTAAGTTTTAAGTTCAATACAGTTTTTTTTCTTTTCTTTTTTTTTTTGCGCCTTTTCCAACGACTGGTAATCGGCCATTAGATTTCGTAAAACATCTCTCAACTTAGCGCATAAATTAAACTAAACTAGTTCAAACCGTCGCAGGTACGAGCGCAAATGAAATTGTTGAAAACGCGTACTCTTTATTTTCGAAGTACTTGCACCAGTTTTAGCGGAAACTCTTGGTCTTCCTCCTTTTCTCCTTCCCTTCTTTTTTTCTCGTCTTTCACGAGCCTCCTCTGCTGCCAGAAAACTCCTATCAACAGCTTGTTGATAGGAAACAAATGCCTCCGACGCCTTGTCAATTTTTGCAAAGGTATCCGTCGTTGACAGCTTACGCTTCTTCGTAGCGGGTTTGAAAAATGGCTTGTTTGCATCTGTTGTTATTTCTGCGAAGGAACACAAGAAATCGTTAAATGCAGAAGTTAAAGTCGAGAGTAAATCATGTGGAACACTGTTTGAGCCAATACTTATCTCAATTATTGTACAACTCTATTCATCTTGGAAGTAAAATTGTAAAGAAATCATGTTAGAGTTCCGTTTCAGGTCTTTTCGCATTCATCTTTGCAAGAACGATACGCACTTACTAAAGTGTGAATTCTTGTTTTGCAAGCATCTTCATCTCTGTCTTCGTAGTCTGCCGCTCGAATAAAATCGCTTATTTCTTTCCATGTAAGCCTCTTTCTTGTACAAGAGAATAATTTCATTTGTACATTTTCGTCCCCCCACTTCTGGAGTAGCAATAATGTTTCCTGGTTTTCCCAAACTCTTCCTCGAATCTTTTTGGCAGCCGCCATCTTTAATGTGTTTAATTAAACACGATGGTTAAACAACCTCGTTTAGGTAGTTTTATTAAACACGGTTTTAAGCATGTTTGGTTACACGCGCCCGCGGTGTGAACAGGTAGTTTGATAAAACTAGTTTATTAAAACAAGACTTAAACTTGTTTAAGCTTTGGTGTGAAAAGGGTATAAGGCTTTACATTCCTTCGTTCTTGCCCCAAACTTCGCAACTTTGCATTCGTTAGAAGCGGATCTAAGGGGCGGAAGGGGAGGGGGGATGAGCTAGAACTACGGTTTTTCCTTTTATTCTAGACGAAAACGAAGACACTATAGATGACTTCGCTCATTGGGAAGAATATATGAAGAGATTCCACATCTTAATGAAGGTAAGTGGGCACCAATTCATGTTTTCCCCTTCGAAGAAGTCCTTTTATTAAGTTTTTTGTTTGATTTAAAAAAAAGACTACGCACTTAAATTTATCGAGGATGACCACTTTTGCCTCTCCAGTAGTGTGTTCCCTATGCATACTTCATGAGTGATCAGGTCTAACCAGCCCTGTTAAGGGCTGTAAATCGTGAAGAAAAGAGTTACTGGGAAAATTTTTAAGGAATTTCAAAGTTTGATGTTGGCAGATATTAGCATAAGCCTTCCTCCTTTGAATAAACATTCCTTAAGATCCTCAATGATCTCATTCTATTTCGAAGGAAAATGGTTGCCATCCTTTTAAATACGGAGTTTGGCCACGGCAACGTACTCGTAAAGAAAAAAAGATTCCAGAAGCCGTCCGTAGGACATTAATGAAGCTGCTAGACATCGAGTCCAAGCCCGGAAACTGGAGGTGTCTGGCAGAAAGCTTAGGAGCTTCTTGCTCAGATATACAATTCCTGGGAAACCGTAACCACGAGTCGCCAACGCAACACGTCCTCAACGTATTCGAAACAATGGGCAAGCCTTTAACTTTACTGAGAGACATCTTCATTGACCTTGACCGCTACGATGTTGTTACTGTGTTAAATGACGAGATTAATTGATGCCAAATAGGCCACTGGTCAGGGAATGAGACCATGCCCACCCCGCTCCACAAAGAAATCGAGCTTGGATCCGCAGTGGATGTAAAAGACATAGGACAGTGAAGATTTTAGATATATGAAAATTCACATATTTGCACTGCGGTGGAGAGATGAAATTATAAATTACTACTCGTTTCAGTAGTGTTCTTAGCTGCGAGGATCTTACAATTTCACATAGGAGAGTATTAACTCAACGCTTAGTGCAGTCTTCATATTGCTCTCTTCGTAAGAGATGTATATTCCTGATTGTCATCTTGATGACGTAGGCATTGTTATGGGAAAATCTAGTGATTTTTCTGTGTTTGATTGGAACATGCTTACGCATCAAATTTTCATGTTAATCGTTTTCGATTTATTCAAGTTCTTTCTCTGTAGAATTTAAAAAAATATAGAAAAGCCACAGTAGCTTTTGAATTGCTAACTGTTACATTATTGCTTACTGCAAATATGCTGTTATGAAAGGTTTTATGTTTGATACGCAAAAAGGATAGCAGCAAAATAAGAGAAGCAGGGAATACAAACAAATCCATTTTCATGTGAAACATTAATTTTCGGGTTATTCAAGTTCTTTCTCTGTAGTATTTCAAAAAGTATAGAGAAGCCACGGCAACTTTTGAATTGCCAACTATTACATTATTGCTTATTACAAATATGCTGTTATGAAAGGGTTTTCTTTTTGATACGCAATAAGGATAGCAGCAGAATAAGAGAAGCAGGGAGTAAAATAAATTTTAAACGTTACGAGGGGTGTGAGTGTTTATTGTGGCTACCAATTTTGGCGTTAATTGAAATCATTACAGTTTCCTCGAATGTGATTGGTGTGAGAACTCCTTCATTTTTCAGTGTATCCAGACGGTCGGTCTAATTGGACACTTATAATCAGACAGTTACATCAGCCAATCACACTGAGTATATTGAAGTAAGTCCGCCAATCACAAAACTGATTACAGTAAGCATAGCAACAACTTGCCATGCAAAGCCGGGGATTTCCAAAACTGGAGGAATTTAATACATTCGATAATACCCATGCTGCGGATATTTTCCTTAATTTTGGAGGAAACATTAAGGTGTCACCTCTACATTTATGGTAGTTTCAACTGACATTATTTCGATACAAGAACCGATCTTCCGTGCTGTAGACTAGAAAACTCGTCGAGGTTTGTCGTGTCACCACGAGTCGATTAAAGAAGCGTCAAAGACATGGTAAATTCCCCAAAAACAACTAAGAATGCAAATTTTATGATAGGAAAGTTTAAGTGTCTCCTCTTTATTTGTAATGGAGACAATTTTAAATAACAGCTGAACTCGTGCTGGGCAGAAATTTGGCTTAGCCACTATAAGGTAGGCCTCTTTACTCACTTCTATTTTGTCTTCATTCGCACAATCGCCTTCCTCTAACCTGAATCGATAACGTCTTTTCAGAACGGTTTGTACTTTCTGAATATTACAAGTGGACCTTAAATTTCTATGTAAGTGAAATTATTTGATGTGAAAACGTGTATGGATCTATGTCAGTATCTGACCAATTATGTACTTACCCCTCCCCTAACCTAAAAACAGCCAACTGATAACATGTACTGGTTAGGGTTGGGTTAGGGGAGGGGTAGGTAAGGCGTTGCTCAGATACTGACACTGATCTAAAACTATATAGAAGTAAGTCAGACAGCTGGTGGTCTTGTCTCAACGACATACAAGAGAGAACTCTGATAACGTCAGACCTGATTGTTCTCTGTCTGATATATCAGTTACTGTTTGTTGAAGTGTTAATTCCTGATTATCATTACTGTAACCAAGTAGTCTAACAGCTTCTTTGAGCTGACAGTTTAAAGTGGTTTGTTGTTTTTAATTGCTAATGTTCTTTTTGTTTCTTTTGTTGTTGTTGTTTTTTGCTTTTAATTTTTTTCTGTTTTCCTTGCTTTTATTTTTTCCCTGACGTCAAGCAGTCTTTGATTAGAAAATTAAAAAAACGGCATCAAACACAGAGAAATATCTTTTTTGTTCATGCACCGTTGAAGTGTCTCCTCACTAGCGACTGTTGCCCCCAAACCGTTTAGGGTGCCAATTTGGAAATGCATCACATCAGAAAATCATTACAAATACGTAATTATACACGCTCACTGAGGAACAGATGATTATCAAAACCACAAGTAAAGTCATTGGCTAGTTGAGCTAAGATCAGATAGTTTACGCCATTTTTTACATCGGCTCAATTAAACTGGTGTGCACTTCATAAATATGCACTCATCCCCTCGAAAAGGTTGCGATAAACGAAGGTTACGAGGGCGATGATCCGGTGCATCTAAAAGAAATCAGAAATAACTCAAAAGAGGACAGCGGCCAAGTTGGCGCAGGAGTTGATCCATTGAACACAATTTGCGAAACGTTGGAAGATAGCACGAACTGGGTTGAGCGATCAAACTGGCGATATTTGCGCCCCGTTATCATCGCATGCTTCATTTCAGTTGTTGCCCTTCTTTGGCGATGTTTTCCGCAAAAATTGGCAAAAAGTAGGAATGCTCCAAAAGTGAAGGTTTTAGTTGGGTGAGAATCTCGTCAGTTAAAATGAGAGTCAACATGTAGCGGTTTACTGTCTAATAGAAACACATGGGAAGATTTCTACAAGAGTGAGGTTTTCATTGTTTTCTCTTGCTTTTTTTCTTTTACCTACATTTCAAACAGTTATCATGGATCTTGAGGAGTTCCTACTCACGCTCGAAGCTAAAAAATTTTGTCTGTTTTGAAACTTTATAAATTCTACTCTTGTCGTGAAGCGTTTATATATTATTCTCCAAACTGCAATGAGATGGCTGGAGTGATCGACCTAAGCTCAGTGGGGTGTCCTACACGAGAGAAAGCGGGGTTCCATATAAATATTTTACACTCTTTCTTTGAAAAAAGGGCCTGAGATATAAGCGCTGGGTAAGCAGTGACTTTGAAAGTGACTTAAAATAAGGATTCACTCCCCTTTTACAGCGAGAGTAAAAATTTCTTTAAAATCTTGGGGTGTTGTCCATCTGGAGCCATCTCGTTTGATATAAAAATCTGTTGGGGTCTGACAAGAAAAACAACATTGCATATGCTTTGAGATATCTTGAGAAATTCTGCTGGGAGGGCAAATATTTTAATTTCACTTAGGTTAACTTACTCAGCATCTGACCACTAAAAGGTGTTGGAATTTATGCAGAAGCACAATTTTTTGGGACGGGAGGGGTGGGGGAGTAACGGGTAGGATAAAATCATAGCTAATCAATGTAGCAGTGGTAGGAAGTTTGTTTAGCTGCTGTTGTTACACTGTAAATAGTAAGGTGGTAAATGTAAGTCCATTTTTCACTCTTGAATGAAACTCCACTCAAAGGAAAGTCCCTCAAAAGGCCAACAAGGACTTAAAAAAGGTGGGGAGGGAGACAGTATATGTCAAGTGTGAAAAATAGAAAAGAAATGTGAATAAAAGACAGTGTAAGGTTTGGATTACTGTTTCATTTTAGACTTAAATGATCAATGGTAGAAAAAACTGATTCAGCCTACAAACTAGACACTATTACTACTGAAGATTAACCTGGTTTAAGTGATATTAAGATTAGGAATATTACTAGAATTTCCACAACTCCCCCTAAATGGAATGCTGGTCCATTGTGGTGTTAAGCCCCCCTCACATTTCAATTGGTTACCCTTAGAATTTTGTGTAACTTATTTATACCCATGGTTAATGAGAGGTAATGTGGTCACTAAATGTCTTGCTCACAAACGTAACGCTTTGACTCATCTGTGGCTCGAGGCTGGATCATGTGATCAGAAGTTTGACACTCACCACAAGTCTACCACGAATCTCAAATAAACCAAAATTCAAAGCATAGTACCATAGAAGGGTATGACACTCGCAACTCATAACTTTTGCCTGTATTCAGTTGCACTACCTGGTACAAGACTGTCTTTCTATGATGCAGAAGGAGGAGGAGAAAGGATCAATTTATTATCTAAAAAGTTTTGGGAATTTTGCAAGGACATAATGTAGTATTTTGAACTGGCCCTTGTACTGGAGGATTTGTTCTTCAGGTTGGAATTTATATGGACTGCACACATGGAATTGATTAGGCACATAACAGTATGATTTTAAGAATAGAATGCATTTGGTAAAAGATAAATTTTTCGTGTTTGAAAATATGTTTGTATTCTCTCTAGGATGGCACAAATTTCTCTAAAGACTGGTGGTTTGAGAAGTTTTCTTGCTATAGATGTAAGTAGTTCTTTTTAAAAGTGCATTAGGTCTTCTCCAATGTGGAATTATATTATAAGTATCACTAGCATCATTATTATCATTATCATCATTATAATTACTATTATTACTATCATTATTACAAATGTTTCTATGTAAGCTTAGGTTATAATAATTTTAGATCACAATGATATTAAATTATGTATTTTACTCAAAAGATGACAATAAAGATGGAATTTCTATTATTATTATCATCTCTGCTGTTATTATCATTATTGTCGTCGTTATTATTATTACTAAAACTTACCTGATTCAATAGCAGCTTTTCTGGCTCCAGCCTGTGAAAAAAGCATGTACACAAAAAGTGACAGCATATAAATATAAAAAAATCAAAATCACCGTTTTACCTTTTTTGTGCAAGTATTCAGATAACAGAGCAGTAGAGAATATAACTATGAAAAATGGCAACAAACGAAATTTCGTGAGTCGTGTCTAGACGTTTAGCTTATTCAAAGTTGCTTACAGTGTTAAGATGAACTGCTGACTAGCAAAACTGTTTGTTCATCTGATTCGACTTCTACCGCACCATAATACGTAATCATCAGATGACCTGCTCAACTTTCTCCAATTGGCTTCTTTTAGAGCTGCGCGAGTATTTGAATGTTGCTTAGAGTCTAGTACGTTATTTTGTAGCGATCTTTGATGATGACTTCTTCGGCTGCGAGATCCTTTCGTTGGTTTTCCACCCTCTTTGGTATATCAAAGAAGTCCTACAAACATCTTCGAAATCATGGTAAGTTATTTTTAATTTTACTGGTATTTTTTAGCCTGTGAACTTCGATCGAAAGTTAATAAATTTAGCTATCAGTCGTAACTTATTTAAGTTGATTTTTATCCAGTTACACGGGCGTTTTACGCGTCACATAACGTAAAGTGAATCATAATGAACTACGATTTCTTCTTCGCCTGCGAGATTCTTTCGTTGGTTTTCCACCCTCTTTGATATATCAAAGAAGCCCCTATAAAGATCTTCGAAATCTTGGCAAGTTATTTCTAATTTTACTGGTATTTTTTAGCCTGCGAACTTTGATCAAAACTGAATAAATCAGCTATCAGTCGTAAACTATATAACTTGATTTTTACCGAGTGTATAAGTGAATCTTAATGAACTACGATTTCTTTTTCGCCTGCGAGATTCTTTCTTTGGTTTTTAATTTCTCAATGAAGCAAAACATGGCTCAGTGTCTTTGGCACCACCGATAAGGTTGTTGTGAAACACTCACGTAAATGAAAGGACAAAAATTAAAACGGAAAGAGAGACCTTTTTGTAATCATTTCAACAACTTTCGAGCCATTTGTTAGGAAGAAAGACCGTTACTTGTGTCCAGCATATTTTTCGTTGACAAATTCTCTCTTGGTCACTCGAGAAATAAAAGACATCACAAAAGTACCCGACCAACTGGCATTTGTACAGTCGCTCGAAGCATTCGTGGTAAAATTTCCGCACAGCCCCATACATACCCATTCCTTCGTTAGCTATTTCGTTACTTAAAATGATCGTGGATGAAACTAGCTATTTTACAGTCTCTGAAAGCCATTCGTCTGTGGGCTATTTCGTTAATTAAGATAATCATGGATGAAACTGGCATTTTTTACAATCGCTCGAAGCCAACTGTTCGTGAAATAGTTCGTTGGTATAACCTTATCATGAATGGAACTAGAATTTTTGGCGGCACGGATAAAAATGCAAAAGTTAGTTTTGGTTTCGGTTCGCAAGTACAGTAAGCCCTGAAAAATAACCAGACAGTCAATTTTTAAGGGAGAATCCCTTTACATAATTTTTGACATACATTATCATAGCAATATCTTGGTATCATGATTAGGAGCTCAAACATGCATAAATTAAACATAAAAATAATTATATTCACTTTTTACATTAAATCCCATTCAATTTGGTTCCTTTGGTATTTAGAATTTCAATCTTTAATCTCTTTAATTTGATTTTAATCTCCCCAGCATTAAGACAGTGGAGACATCACACTTGTAATTGAACATTCTATGCATCATGCTTGTGTAATTAGGCAGTATGCATTATTTGTGCACACTGTTGTAGCACATTACACCAAGTTATCTATAGTTATTATCTGATGGACCTAACATTAATTTGAATAATTTCCCTTTATGTTTAAGAATAGTAAGTAAACTTCCATCAGTTTTAGTATTTTGCAATGCACTTGTCACTAGCAACCACCAGCCCCTCTTCCTGCTAGGTGAGAGGAGGACAACATGAGGGATGCTGAAGGTTCACTGAAACTATTTTTTAAAGATTTTATTACAAAATGTAAGGCATAATCCCCACTTAGTGGGTGGCTTGGTGAATAAATTATCTACTGTGTATGGTATGTAGGGTATTATTCTGGTTTCTTTTTCTTATGGCACCTCCTTACCTCCTAAAAAATAAAGACAGCCAAATTGCACAAGTCGAAAGATATATTTGCAAGTGATTTGATAGTGCTATAGAACAGTCAATCAAGTTTACATCAAAGATGCCATGTGCAAACTAAAACCTCTTCCACTAAATATTACATAGCAAACATGCATAACTGTTGGTGCAATGGCTAATGCTTAGGTGTCCCTGGGCTGACAAGGGTTTCCAGTGACAAGTGTAAAAGTATCATGCAATAATACAGTATAGTATAGTAGTGAGGGAAAAAAAAAGAGAAAATAAAATAAAGTGAGAAAAGAAAACAAAAAATAAAGGAAAATGTAAGGGGAATGGATGAGCATTTAGTGAAAACTTATTAGTATATAACAAATGGGTTATACAAATTCGTTCTAGCATTAGCCTCATAGGTTCTATAAATATGACCAATTTTTGAATAAGATATATAGAGAGTAAAAAGAATTATAAAAAAGAACAGAAAGAAAAGCATGGTACCACGGTAAAACCCCACTACCTTGAACTCCCAAGAGAACTGAAAAAATGGTTTGAGGAGTTATTGGGGTTGGCGTTGATTTTCAATTATCCTGTCACTGATTACTGATGGTAATGAACAAGTTGCCAGAAATCAGATCCCACTGCTATGTGCAAAGGGTTCTGGGATCACTACAGGGCAAACATTGCAAATTGCCACAAAGAAATATATAACAAAAAGTTTTTGGAGGGGTAGTAAGAATACCAAAAAGTCTTCAAAAAAATGAGTCACTGAGACACCAAAACAGAGAAAAATGATGGAGTCTTGACAAGATGAGAACAACTTTTGATAAAATCTCCACTCAAGTCATTAGAGAAAGCCTCCCAGTATTCTCACCTTAATGAGAACAACAAAAGGTTTCAATGTCAAATTCCTGGCTGACACTTTTGGCATTAATTCTTCTAAAGCATCCAGAAATTACAATACACGGATACCATTTCTTCCTCGAGAGCTGTCCTTTCTGGTTCCATGGCCTTCAAGATCAGAATTACAAAAATGCCTTTTGAGAAGGATTAAAAATTAAAGAATGCAAGAGTAATAATTGACTGTCTTGAACTTTTCATTAAAAAACCAAAAGTTCCTTCAAGCCAAAAGATCACATGGAGTAATTACAAACACTGGAACACTGCCAAATTATTAGTAGGAGTAACACCAACTGGTGTCGTATCCTTCAATCCACCCTTATGGACAGGACCCATCAGTGACAGGGAAATTGTTAGGCAAAGTGGATTGCTGGACTTGCTTGAGGACGGGGATGGAGTCATGGTTGACAAGGGTTTTGTGATTCAGTATCTTTTAACATTTTAAAAAGGCAACTTTGACTCATCAGTCTAACGTAGAGGAACACGCCTGTCATACATGTCGTGTGGCATCACTAAGAGCTTAAGTTGAAAAAAACATTTTGAAATTGAAACAATGTATAATTCTTTCAGGAGTTATTCCTCTTTTGTTAAAAACAATGTTGGATAGAATAATTTTTGTTTGTGCTGCTTTAACTAATTTATGTGTAGGAAGCAAAAAATAAGGAGCACACTGCAGAAGCAAAAACCTATTTATTGAATTTGTTGATCTTCTTAACTTTGGGATAACTGTCTTGTGTGAAAATTGTAGCTAGGTAAAACTCCCATAAGGAAAGAAGGAACTACTTGCTAACAGAAAAACTTGTAAACTGTTGCTAAAACAGTTTAGTACAATACTTACTTAACAGTAATTATCCCTTTACTTGCATTGGCAATAACTCGCTAGTTTTTAAACCTAGAACTGTCATGCCATGAACTTAGAAATAATGTAACCAAACTGGGTTCTGCACCGGAGACGGTACAGAATGCTTACTTAGAGTGCTAGAAAAGCGGAAAGAGGGTGTAAATCTGCTCAAAGTACAGGTTGTGTGGTAAAAGACTGAACTTAAAGGACTTACCAAGCATCAAGTTCACCAAGTCAGGAAGCCAAGCGTCTCCAAAAGTCAAGCAAGAGGTATACTCTACCAATTCCAAGCACACTAAAAACAAGGACTGTAAGTATTACAGACGAAAAGAAATTGCCTACTGCCCCGAGAAACGACGTGAGTATACCAAAATTCTGAAAAACAAAGGAATTTACTTCAAACAAGATTTCATTTGCACTGCTCACTGGAGCAAAGGGGAATGCAAGAACTTTAACGATCTTCCAGATTTGCCATGTGCACCTGAGTTTACAGAGCAAAAGTTATCAAACAAAACAACCATATTCAGCAAAATAGAGTGTGCAAAATGGTGTAAACAGCAATGGTCAGAAGGGAGCAAGATGGAGGGTTCCTCTAGCAGCTGTGATGAGCCTTCTAACACTGAAATCTTACAAAAGGAAATTGATTATCTTAAAGAAAAGCTTAGAACAAAAATAAATGAAGTAAATCAATTAAGCGATCTGGTCAAAAACTTACTTTAAAAACTGAGACGTATCAGTCTCAGCTTAAACAGTTTGTTCACACAATTGAGAAGACGGCTTTTCCCTACAAATGCTTGAAGAAGAGTCCAAAGTGGTTTTTCTACACAGTTGAGCCTCTCTATGAGTATGCACGGTCTTCGCTTTCTTCGCGATTTTTTGCAAATCTTCGTTTTTTTATAAAGATCTTCGTTTTTCGGATTGAAATGGTTTAAACGTTTATTCAGAGTGTCATTAATGATTACATTATCAGTGGTCTATTTTTGTCGTTTTCAGCCTTGTTGACACCGTTGTCAAAATCGCAGTGAAATTTGGTCAAATGCCAAAATTCAGAAATAACAGATATTTTCTGTAGTGTTTACGAGTTTTGACAGTTTTATATCTGAGTGTTCAATTTGATCACGCAAATTTTGGTCAATTTTCAGATCTTCACTTCAATCTTAAGATCTTTTTTTCCGCGGTGATCTTCGCGTCTTCGATTTCTTTGGAAATACCCATAGAGAGCCTCACAGTTTTTAGAGTACAAAGACAATGTTTTTGTATTTAAAGAAGTTAGATCTTGATTAGGTTGCTTGGATTCTGTAGCTTTAATCGAAGGTGGTTTGAAGGATGAGTTTGTTATGTTTGCTTCACAGCTTTGGCATATTAACTACCATTGTTTTCTAAATCTTCCTGAAACTGAGCTAGAACACGGTTTTTCCTTTCTTTGCAGACAAAAACGAAGGTGGTAAAGATGACTTCGCTTATTGGGAAGAATATATGAAGAGATTCCACATCTTAATGAAGGTTAGTGGGCACCAATTCATGTTTTCCCCTTCAAAGAAGCCCTTTTACTAAGTTTTTTGTTTGATTTAAAAAAAGACTACGCACTTAAATTTATCGAGGTGGACCACTTTTGCCTCCAATAGTGTGTTCCCTGTGCATATTTAATTAGTAGTCAAGTCTAATCAGCTGTTTAGGGCTTTCTTTCTTCTTCCTTTGAATCAACATTCTTTAATATTCTGAATGATGTCATTCTTTTTCAAAGGAGAATAGTCGGCATCCTTTTAAATACGGAGTTTGTACACGGCAGCGTACTCGTCAACAAAAAAAGATTCCAGAAGCTGTCCGTGGGACACTAATGAAGCTGCTAGACATCGAGTCAAGGCCAGGAAACTGGAGGTATCTGGCTGAAATTTTAGGAGCTTCTTGCTCAGATATACAATTCCTGGAAAACCGTAACCACGAGTCACCAACGCAACACGTCCTCAACGTATTTGAAACAATGAACAAGCCTTTAACTTTTCTGAGAGACATCTTCATTGACCTTGATCGCCACGATGTTGTTACTGTGTTAAATGAAGAGATTAATAGATGCTGAATAGGCCGCTGGTCAGTGAATGAGCCCACGCTCCTGTCCAACGAAATCGATTCGTTCCGCGATGGATGTAATTATAAAAGACACAAGACAATGGGTTCCTTACTGACCTTGACCTTGACATTGTTACTGTGTAAAATTACGAGATTAATTGATCCCGAGTAGGCTACTGTTCAGGGACTATGATCACGCCCACCCCGCTCCACAAAGAAAGTGAGCTTGGATCCGCAGTGGATGGAAAGAGATGTTATTTGCCGGCTAAGGGTCGGTCCGTATGGTGAAAAACTGTGACCTCGATCTTGAAAATGCGGACCGACCCTTAGCCGGTAAATAACATATATATATATATATATATATATATTTTTAAACTTAACGAATTTCTTTCCGAAAGAACCCGAATGATTTAGGGCTGTAAATACGGCAAGATCTTCCATAAACTGAACAATATTTTCTTCAAAAACAGTCAATGATCCAACGGAAAGTATTATTCACTCTCATCACCGATTAATTCATGTACGAAGATTTACCTCTGCTCGTTAAGTAAACGGCGAGGAAAGTAATTGTAAGTAAATTAAAATTTTTTATTTTGAAGTTGTGAGAGTTTGCTCGTTTGTTTGCTGCAATAGCGTGTGTAAATCTGGTCTTTCCTCCAAAAAACTAAATTGAATGCACGAATGAGATACTCCAACGAGACACAAAGGGAATTAATGAGGCTTTTTCTCATTGAATTCCTTCAGTTTCTATCTTGCAATTTACGGTACAAACGTCCAAATTGAACGGAATTGGAAAGACTTACTGAAAGCGTATACGTTGTAGAACTGACATTAAAACTTCGCTCGCTCTTTCACTACGAACAAATTGTTTGAGAAAATTCGGATATTAAATGAATGAAAGTTCCATCGATTAGTTTAACTGTAACCAAATACCTCACGTTCTAACTTTCTAGGTACTCTCTGTGAACGATTAAAGTTAATTGCAAACGGTTTTTAGGCCGCTTTTATACCAACGTAATGACACTATTGCTTATACAAATTCATTCTGAAACCAATATTTTTCTGTCAAATAAAGTGATTTGAGAGTGAAAATAGAGGATTAATTAGTTATTTATCGACTTGAGGTAGTGACCGACGTCTTCGCTTAAAAATACTGCCCAGCCGGAAAAACGAGATATAGTTATGAAAAATGGCAAAGAAGGTCGGGATGTACTCGGCGACTCAAGAATGCGTTACCGTTGCCCATGGGCAGAGATAGGAAAATATGGACCGCGCTAAGAACCAATCAGATTGCAGGATTCGTTACCTTGCCCTCTCAGAAAAAATAAAGCGGTTTACTGTTTAATAGAAACACATGGGAAGATTTGTCTACAAGAGTGAGGTTTTTATTGTTTTCTCTTGTTCTTTTTTCTTTTACTTACATTTCAAACAGTTATCATGGATCTTGAGGAGTTTCTACCCACGCTCGAAGCTATACTATAGAAATTCCTCTTTTGTCCAGCGTGAAGCGTTTAAATATCATTCTCCAAATTGCAATGAGATAGCTGGAATGATCGACCTAGGCTCAGTGGGGTGTCCTACACGAGAAAAAGCGGGGTTCCAAATAAATATTTTAGATTCTGTCTCTGAAAAAAGGGCCTGAGATATTAGCGCTGGGCAAGCCCGTTTTACAGCGAGAGTAAAAATTTCTTTAAAATTCTGGGGTGTTGTCCAAAGTCGTACACTTTCGCAAAAGTTTATCACTAGACTAATGGAACGTCGGTGATGATGCTGACAAGATTAGGGCTTTGGAGGAGAACATGAAAAAGCTGACAACCATGCTGAAATGATTAAGATTTTGGAGGAAAACATAACGATCCTTCAGCGGGACCTTTGAGGAAAATATCCTAGAGATTAAGAGGTGGGGTTTAGCTTTGAAGTGGAACTCTTTCTGTGTGTCTTTTTCTCTGTATCAACCCAGAGAAACCAAATCTCATTATTTGCATATATTTGTTAGCTGTTGCGCTCCGTTTTCAGTATATACGCGCGCTTTGCGGAATTTTGAAAGTTTTGTGTTGGCGGCGAGATAGCTAACATGTTATACCCTTCGCATTACAATGTACTGGACCATTTACTAAGCTTGCTTAGTGTTACCGATTACGGCCCAGACATGCCATATCTTGATTTAAGTTGCTGTTTTCTTTTGCATCACGCATTTCTAGGAATCTTAGGCGAAGTTTCTAAAGCTGCGTTTTCACGAAAAAAGAAACTTGAATTTACCAAACGGTCGGACAACATAACCAATAATGGTCGAAAGCGCTTTGCGATGGAAGGTGTTTGTCTCAACAATCTGACTAAGGTGAAGGAACATTTTAGATAAACTTAAGAGATGATGTCAGCATCCATTGAACAAATTTGAAATATTGTGGCAAGTGGCCCAAAATTCGTTTTCTCTTTCATATTTTGTAGCCCAATATAATTGTAATTGTGGTGTAGTTTTTTTGTGAAAATTTATTTCAGTTTTCGAGAAATGACTTTTTTTGTTCGACCGCTCAAATATGCAAATTTTCACCGTGAATATTACCCGAGTTGTGTGACCTCATGTAACGA